TGGGCCGTGTTTCTTGCTAATTTTATTACTACCAGGCACATCGACAAAGTTTTGCGGGAAGAGGGAAAGAGACCAGGGTTTCGGGGAGATATTTTCAAAAAAACTTTGAAAATAGTAGTGTTTTGGGAAGAGCGATTTTTTGATTTGGCGTGTTTTAAGCATTCAATTTGAAGATTTGGAGGAATTTTCAAGCATTTTAACGTGCTATCGAGATGGGAAATGTGTCAAGCAACATTTCTGCGTTAAAAATCACTCCAAGAATTATGATTGTTTCAAAAATAAGATCAACCCAGATTGAAAATTTAAACGGATTTCCTGCTGAAATTTGGCTTAATTTTGGCTTAAAAACTTCATGCTCACCGATTTTTCAGAAAACTATGCACATACGATTCTGCAGAATAAAACCTATAAAAATTTTCGGGAAGAATGTGTAAAAACGATTTTGCGGGATTCGATACGCATTTGAGTTTTGTCGCCTACTGTAGAATTCGACACACCGATTTCTACTCGGGCGAGCTACCGAGTTCATTTTATTTTTGAAATAATCACAACTTTTTTCGTTGTTTTTAACCAAAAAATCTCGACAGACATGAGTCAAGGCACGTGTCACAAGGCTCGTGTACGATTTAAGTTTCGAACAAATTGCGGGAAATTGGTTACACTAAAATCTTTTGAGGAAAGGAACACACTGGCGGAAATCTTCACGTCATCCGCAGCTGGCTCAAAGAGAAGAGAGGCCTGGAACAAAGTGAAAGTTGTGCAAGTTAAGCAAAAACAAACAAAGTTTGGTTTTTGGATACATTTCCTAATGAATGAGTAACAAGTTGGTTGTTAGTTTTTGGTTTGGTTTGCTCCTCTTCTTGATGTGTGAGAGAGAGAGATAATTTCCTCGAGAGTAAGTTTCTCAGGGTGGGAATTAGGTTAAGAAAATAATGGAATAAATTTTCGGCCAATTTGAGGCCATCAATTGTGGGAAGATTATAATGGGAAGTTAGTCTTCGAATTAATGTCCAATGTTGGTTGAGTGATTAAATTTGCGAAATTTTTGCAATACTAAAATTTAGCTAGGATTGATTCTTGGGAAATTTAAGGTCATTGTGACTAGATTACAATGGGGAGTTGTAGTCTTGATTAGTGTGAGGTGTTCATGGGGAAACGCTTTTTAAGCGGGGATTTCAAATTTAGAAAGAATATGAATTTTTTGGGGTATTATTTTTTTCGAAATGAGGAATTTCATCTGCATGTTTTTGAGTGATATTTTCAAATTTTGAAAGCACCTATATTTTTGTGCGCATTATTTGTTTGAGTGGGAATTTAAAATTTCATGGAGAAACATTTTGTCTTTATTTTTTGAAGCGGGAATTTCAAATTTTGAAAAGAAATGCATTTTTTGTGCGTATTATTTGTGTCTGCGGGATAAACTCGGCGGCCGGCTGCCGGAGTAAGATATGAAACCCAGACTTTCACTTTCTCTCCTCGTTCCCTTAAGAAATGCACAGATCTGGATTTGACGGGCATCCTCCAGCTCTGACATCGCCTAGAATTCGTCAAGTGTTAAAGTGAAAGTTTTTTGCCTGGGTATATTTATATAATTTTTGGCGGAATTCTCATGCATGCATGTATATCAGAGATATGTATGTATGACGGCTGTCTGGGTCGTGTTAAAGATTACGGAGACAAAGAAGCAGGAGATGCACATTTGTCAAGAAAAGTGGAAAAAATAATTTACTCGAGTTCTCTCCTCGTTTCTCTTCTAGTTTTTAATGAGGGCGTAGGAGAGGAAGAAGGGGCTGTGCGAGGAGGACGTCACGTGGTTCGTTTGTGGGTGGGAGGGGAATTTTTGATTTTTTTCGGTATGAAAAGTCCGGTGAAATGGAAAAGTCGGAAAGTTTTTGAAAAATGTGTTTTAGATTTTTGCAAATTTTCCAGTGTTTCGTTTCTTTCTGGTTTGCTACATTTCTCTCACTGCATTCAATGCAAGAAATGGGGGGGGGCAATAACCTCCAAGAAATATGCGCCATCTAGCCAAGCGCTGTACTATATGAAGTATTTATAGCGGGGAGGAATAGTTTCTTGCGCTTTGTAGATATTTCTTGCTGGCAAAAATAGCTGCAAAACCCACTTTCTTGCAGGTATTTCTTACAAGTGGTTACTTGCACCAGAAATTCTGCAACCTTTGTAACACCATGCTTTTCACTGAATTTTAGAATTTTTGTAAATATGATATTGCGTATTTGTAGTATATAAAATTTTATGAACTAATTGTAGAAATTGAAGAAATTATCGCAAGTTATGAAGCAATTTTATTCCAAAAAATCTAGCTGTTGCATATGATAAAGACCTGTTTGTTTCGCAAAATGCGAAAGATTTGGATGTGCACAGCCCCTGAGCTCGGTTTGGTATTAAATTCAGGATAATAATGTCACAATAATGGTGGTGGTGGTTGGAGAAAGGAATAATATGGCGTCATCCTTCCTTGGAGATGAAATGAGCGGAACTAATAATTTCACATATCCGCCACGGGACGAGAACAGGGACTCGTCAGAGAAAATTGCACCATGTTCAGAAAGCAGGGCGGCATTTTTTGTGTCCAAGTTCTGGGGAATTGGGGAAAAAAGTGTCATTATATGATTTTTGGTTAATTTGATTTCCAATTTATTTACAAAAGAAGAGAAAATGATGAATACATTTAAAAAGTAGGGTTGAAATTCGTAACCAAAATTAACGACTAAAAAATCACACCAATAATCACAACAAGGGTGAAGTATGAAAGTAAAGAAAATGTCTAAATTTTGTATGAATGCGCAGAGAAATTTGTCACCAAAATTAAAAAAATCAAACTAAAATTTGGAAAATTTACTTAAATCACATTATACACAACAATTGCACTAATTTCAAAAAACACTTTACATTTTAAAATTGAAAAAAAAATCGAAATTAAATTTTGGCAAATTGTGAAATTTAAATCACATTAAGGAATTACAAAAAAAAACACGTTAAATTTCAAAATTAGCAAAAAAATAAAACTCAAATTTGAAAAAGCATGACATTTAAATCACATGTAACAATTACACTAGTTTAAAAAAATACATCAAATTTTTACACGGAACCTCGGTTTAGACGAAATTCTAACTAATTTTTGCAACATTTGCATCAAACTTCTTAGATTCCGGTTCAAAAAACTATCTCCATATCGTTCCGATCATCAAGATCACTTTGCATTCATTCCGCTCAGTTAAATAAATGTCATCATAAACAGGTCAGGTCGGGCTTAGTTGGAAAGCAGAGAGAGAAAGTCGGGGATTTTAGAATAGGAAAGTTATTCCCAGAAAGTGAATTGATATGGATTTTGATACAAGTTTTGTCAACGAAAGTGATTGGATTGGATTACAATTCCTTCTCTTTTCTTCTTTCTTTTAAAGAAATGGAGCTTCGTGGACTTGGAATTTATTCGGATTATGTCAGGATTGTTTTCTCACAGGAATGCAAATCTTTCGAGAGAAAGGAGTGAAACGTGGCCCATTTTTTAGTCTTCTAGCCAAAATAAGGAAGATCCGAGGAGGATAAAGTGTATGATTCGAACCCTCGTTTTGCACCATTTCTCGCCCAGACCCTGTTTTTCTTGAACAAATAAGTTTGATTTTATTGAATTTAAATATTTATTAATCTGGAAAGGATTTCGGGGGACTTCAGCGTAAGAAATGCATAAAGCGGGAAAGATTTTGTAATATTTTATGGTTTGATTTTTAAAGCGAGAAGCCTGCCCGCCATAAGCTCTGCATATAAAAAAAGGTTCTAGTTTAAAAAATCAAACCATAAAAAAATATGGTTTGATTTTTAAATTGATAAAAATATGTACATAAAGTGGAAAAGATTTTGCAATATTGAAAACAAATCACGTATTTCTGAATTGATAGAAATATGTACATAACGCGGGAAAGAGTTAGGGAAATATTGTAAAACCCGGGAAATTAATCTGGATCGGATTTCGGTGCAGAAAATAAAGTGGTAAAGATTTAGGTGATATTTTGGAGCATTGTAAAACCGGCTAAAAAATAACTTGTGTCTGAATTGGCATCAAATATCATTGTGTAACTACCAGAAAAACGTATCACTATTATTCAACCGGTAACAAAGTAATATTTACCAAGAAGTCTTACAAAAAGTTAGGTTTTGGACCAAATCTGCTCACTTTAACTGAGTTGTGATATCCTATTTTACAAAATTATTCAATACGTTGGTAAAAACAAAGAGAAAGGTGTACGTGAGGGAAGTCATGCGATTTCGAATTTTCCACCTCGATACGAAATGACACGTTATTATTGTCCACATACTGCTGTCACCCACGTAGAAACGCCTGTGGGAAGAATAGCCTGCTAATTAGTGAAGCCAATTGCTGGTTTAAATGACTCAAAAGGTTATCCGCGTCCTCATAACAACCAGATTTGCCGTCACTTTTGTCTACCTAATAAATGGAACATTTCACAATCAGTCTAATCTATTTATACTGATTAAATTAATTTTTGAAATATTGTGTGCAGAAATCGGTCAATTTTAATGCAGAAGTTGGCAATAAAATTGCCTAGAGTTATGTATGAATTATACAGAAATAGGATTAGGGACACTTTGGCTTATTCGATTTGGATTTTGAAGCCAGAAAACAAAATTCAATGTAAAAAGTTTGGAAAATTTCTACATCTTATTTATGCAAGCGTTTTTTTCTCGACCACATTTGTTGCTGTTCTCCACCTGTAAATGAATTTCGAAATATCTTGTGTAAAAATCGACTCTGCATATGGAAATGGTCCATTTTAGAGAGGTGCAAAATCCTTGGGAGAAAAATTTCGGCAGAAAAATTGTCCAGAGTTGTTGGTGAATTGTGTAGAAACAAAAACAGGGAATTTTGGCTACTTAATTTTCACGGAGGATTTAAAACCAGAAAAAAATGACAATGTAAAAAGTTTTCAAAAAATTGAGACACGTGTTTTTTATTCTTGCAGGCACTACAAGTTGGAGGCGGAGATAGCATCCATGACGTGGAAGGTGAACTGGGGGGACGTAATTACGAAGGGGGGAGAAAGTCGGGGTGGAAAACGTGGCTCCCTCCTCAGCGTCGCCACACATAGGAACTCCGTCATGGTAAATAAGCACATCAATTTTCTACATTTAGCACACTTCCACTACAAAACTGTTTTACAACCCTATTTCACCGCGAAATTCAAATTTGTTACGAATATTTAACTAGATATTCATGGAGCTAAATGAGATAGACAATCAGCACCATTTTCTGAGCTAATTGTATACACTTCTGGATTCAATTATGTCGAAACGATATTTTCACGGTCTGAAACACAAACGACGCAGTGCATCAAGTTAACAAGTGTGTGACGTAAATCGATACATATGTGACACGTTTCATGAAAATTGAGACTTTGGAAATATGCATCTCCATTTTGGGAAAGTAACAAGCAAGGCATGGATATGTATTTATTTTCAATTTTTTCATTTGACGGTCAAACTTTGTTTGGGTGTTCATTAACTCGTATAGAAGATCATATAAATTTTAAAATATTTTTGTATGTTTTTGGATATTTCTAGGTTTTCAGTCATATAAGTATTTCCCATTTTCTTTAAAAAACACAGAAATCTTTTACATTTCTTATCAAAAAATACTTATAAATTTATAAATTATTTCAACGATATGAGACAAAATTTTTTGCTCCAAAAAATTGACTACAAAAAATCCAGAGCATAAAATTCAAACATACAAATTTTGTGAAAACCATTATTGTTTTACTACATATTTCGTAAAAATTTTACCGTTTTTTTCCTAAATATTAAATACGTATTTCATGGATTTGTCCTAAATATTTATCCGCCCTCTGTTAAGAAGTGAGTGGTTGTTAGAATGTGTGTAAACATTTCCTCGCCAGTAATGGAGGTGCATGTTGTTTAAGTAACCGCACGACGAGGACAAGACGACATGACAACCTTGTCCTTTTGTTCTCTCTCTCTCTCTCGTACATTACAATATTATTAAGTAATCCGAGGAAGTTGGCTGGAAAACTGGGCGAGCAACCTGACCGAGCTTGTGACACGAGATAAAAACATGGGCCGGACTGGAACAAGAGAAAGAGAGAGAGAGATTTGTAGTGGTGGTTGGTGGAGAGATAAGAGAAAGTCAGGGTTTCCTAAAAAAAATATTCGATAAGAAATTTTGAATAAGATCAAAATAAAATGTAAAAATTAAAAGAAGAATTTGTGTGAATTTTGTTGCATGAAATGTATGTCACTTTTTCGGTTAATTTTTTGTCAGCATTCTTTTACTCGCAAATGTATGAAATTCCAAGGTTTAAAGATCAAAATGGGCATAGATTTTTCGTAAAATTCGAAATAGCACTAAACTTGTAGGGATTTTAGGCACTTTCTGATTTAATTTTTGTGTTTCCTGTCAAGTTTTGTCTTTTGGATCCGTGTGTGAAAACTGGGAATGAAGAATTAAGATGTACGGAGAGAATTACGTCTGACGATTAGGATATGTACGAAATTCGCCAATTTATAAAATGTCCAAAATTCCAAGTTTGTAAGATCAAAATGAGCAAAAACAATGACGAAACTTGTTAAATTCGACATACCAAATCTAAAATTTTACGGTTTTCTGCCTTAATTTTTTGTCTCGTCTATTTTTGTGTTTTGGAACCCTGCGTGTTAGAAGAGGGAATGAAGAATTAAGGTGTACGGAGAGAAAGTCGTGGTTGTAACATAGTTATTTTGGAGATGGCTCCTTCATGACCTTTTTATACGGCATGAATCTCTGTCCTAAAGCGGTAGTGGTATCATTTGATGTCCTTCTTTCTCTCCCCATCAGCCCAACTCTCTCTTAAACTGATTGCTCCCAGGGAATTTTTCCTCTCCTAACCAACTCTGACTCTGAATTATGGCTGGATATGAATGCGATACGATTCGAAAGGGTCGTGCAGCCGAGATGGGATGCATTTCTGGCAAAATTTCACCATCCCAAGGGAAAATGTGGGTAATATCTTTATGCCCAACTCCCGGGCATGATGGAATTAGTGTAATTTTATTTATTCAGAATAAAATGGTCACGGCGAATTAGGCGGGATTTAGGAAAGGTTGTTGACCTAGAATGACGACAAGGCCAACATTTATCGACTTGACCCTCACATCTGTTCTGCATAATTATATTGATTGAGATTTGTAATAAGAATTTTTTTAAGGTGGATTTATAGATATTAGATCTTCATCTTACTCTTAAAGCTTACCCCAATTAAATCTCCTTAAATGCAAATTTCTTAAATGGCCCTAATTATTCGACTTTTCAGATAAAAGCGACTTTCCATACTTGTATAGAAAGTTAATTTTTGGTATGGGAAAACTGTCGATTCAAAAAAGTGCTCATTGATTTCCCTTTTTTTCATAATAAATTTCCTCAAAAATTAATTCGAATTTTTATAAAGTCGAGATTTTTGTAGTACCAAAAATTATTTAACTTTGCATTAAGTATGAAAATTTGAATTTAACTCAAAACTTGCGAACCCGATGTCATTTTAGAAATTTGCATTTAAAGAAATTGAATTTGGGTATAGTTAGATCAAATCATCATCTAATACAACCTGCTTTATTTATTTTTACCAATTTTGTATTTTTCTTTTGACAGAGCTCCTACTCTGCGGATTCGCTAGCTATGGCAACCCCGAATAAGCAGCTCTTTGTAAGAACTGTGTTCTACAAGGTAAGTAACTAAGGGCACGTGTATATAGTGAAAGTTGGTACATATTTATGTATGCAAATTTAATGTACTTATTATTTATCCATTCTTTGCAGAAGAGTATCGTCGCGATTAAGAAGATTAACCGAAAGATTGAACTTACTCGCCCGCTTCTCCTCGAACTGAAAAGAGTGAGTGAACAAAGTTTTCGTAGGGTTTCGTTTCCTGCGGGTTTGACACATTTCTTGCCATGAAACGCAAGAAATGCACGAAATGTGAGGTGCAAAAAAGTGCAAAAAATCTAGCCGCGGCTGTATGAACTATTTATAGCGCCGGGCGTCGTTTTTTGCGCCTTGCATTTCTTGCAGGCCAAAATATGCAACTGCAAGAAACCACTTTCTTGCCGGTATTTCTTGCACGTGGTTACTAGCTTGCACCCGAAACGCTCAGTTTTCGTTTGTCACAATTTTTTTGCTTTGTAAAATTTAGATGAAAGATCTGCATCACGAGCACCTCGTCCGTTTCATCGGAGCTTCCGTGGAGCCGCCAAACTGCTTCTTTTTCACGGAATACTGTCCCCGCGGCAGTTTGCAGGACATCTTGGAAAACGAGCAGCTAAAGTTGGACTGGACTTTTAGATACAGTTTGATGCACGATATTGTCAAGGTGAGTGGAAGAGACGTAATTTTGTACATTTTTTACCCGTTACTTTGGTAATGAGTGTGTGTTTTTTTAATAAATTAGTAAAAAGCGGTTCCAATTTTCCCATGAAATTATAAACCTGCGTTGACTTTTAAATAAATACAAATTTTTTATAATTTGGAATTTTCATGCTATTTCTGAATTTTGAAAAGTGCAAAAAAAAACTTTACATTTTTGAAAATTGCCAGTTTTTACGCCTATGAATCCTTAATTTGTTTTCAAAATTATGTTTCGATGTGAACATGCGAGTTCGTAATGAATACCCCCAATATCTCATATGTGTCAAAATTAGGCAAAAAATGATACCGGGCAAAAAAGAGTATGTACATCGGCCCAATTTATCGTCGGGCTGACAAGTAGAAAAAAGTGTATTATTTATCCGAATATTTCAAATTTGATGGAGTCTCATGAATAAAATTCTCCTTGATTTAATAGCGGTGAAAGATTGATGAAATAAAGATTTTGCGATTTCCCCTTCTCGTCTGTGTTTCCCGAGTAAAAATCTGACCCAACTTTCTGCAGAAACATTTCAAACACAACAAACAGAGCGATTTGTGTAGAAAAACTTTATGCCTACATACCAATTTATGCGGAAAACTATGCGCAGAATTATGCATATACAGTTCTGCAGAATAAAACCGATATATATTTTATATAAAAAATATGCAGAATACAATATTCATCTATCTTTCGTCGATTCTTGCAGAATTTGACACAGTGATTTCTACTCGGGTTGGCAGTGGGGTAGATAAACGTGTAAATTTACATAAACGTGGGACTGGGGAAAGTTAAGGACTTTCTCCATTGGGCTATTTCCTACCTCAAATTGTTATTGTTGTGCTTGAAATAAATTTCCCGCCTCCGCCTCCTCCTCTTCGACCCATTACACTTTGGCTGGGATGCTCTGTAAAGAAATTGAGGCAACTTGTTCCCTCGTAATTGCACTGATTTCCGGTTTTTTGATGTCGTGTCGACGTAACATTATTGTTGGAGACATTCCCACCCGTGAAGTTAAAGTAATGTCGGCATTACAAAAAAAATAGGAGTGACATGACTCGGTGGGAGGGTACGTCTCCTTCCGCTCTTCCGTTTCCCGGGAGGATAAAGGCTTCATCTGATTTCATGTTATGAAATGATGTGATTTTTCGACTTTTATTGAGTGGAGTGAACAGCCCCTTTATGTTTTTGTTGTGCCCGTCTGTCCGTCCGTGGGCAGGATATCGCTAGAATGCAGCAACATAGTGCATGGTTTTTCGACATTGTGCTTGCAATACTAAGGCTTCTGTCGAGTTCGATAATGGGGTCCCTGCGGTTAAGGGCAAGGTGACCTTGGCGTGAGGTCAAACGCCAAATTTTACCTTAATTATCATGTGGGGTGTCATTTTGAAGGGAATTTCACCACGAAATCAACACCGTCAATATTTTTGATATCCCGACCAACCCATGACCGTGAGGACTTGAGCGTGAGGACTTGACCGTGGGGTCAAAGGTCATAAATCACATAATTTTCATCTTGGGGTCATTTTACATTTTACTGTATAACGCCACTTTCCTATGTTCGTCTGATACGGTTTATTCCATGCCTTTTCTCTGCATGGGAAAGAATGAGTTGCATCGTTATTGATGGGGAACGATGAAATTTTAAATTTCCGGAATTGATTGTTGCCCGAGAATTTGCATAGATATGGGGAGGGTTTGTGTAAATGAGGCTGTTTTGAGGAGTAGGAAGAGTAGCATTAAATATTTGTGAGGAGTGAAAGTGTGGCGAATTCCGGGTTGAAATATTCACTACATTTCCGGCCGGCATGGCATCCGATTTCATGGGAGTGACGATTGAAATAATTGGAAGGCCAGGCATTCAGTGCTTCGTTCGCTGAGTATATTTCCTGCACTGCAAAGCGAGAAATGCAAGAAAGTGCAAGAAATATGCGCCATTTAACCACGTGCCGTGAAGTATAGCGGCGGGAAGTGGTTTATTTGAATTTCTGGGAACATATTCAGCTGCAAGAAACCATCTTACAACTGGTTACTTGTATCCGAAACACTTCATTCATTCTGGATGCTGAAGATGTAGTCGTCGTGCGAGGTAGGTTGTTTTTGACCAGTTTGGTCCAAAATACGGCAGGCTCTTTTGTTACCTAAATGTACATATTTCAAATTCAATAGGAATCAATGTCCTCGTCCAGAGAGTGACGAATGAGTGAAAGAGCAAGATTGTTGGAAATTAAGGAGAATGCAGTATCACACTTGTGCGGAGTTTGTCCATTTACGTGGAGAGAGAGAGCGAGTGAGAGGGAGAGAAAGCGAGAGAAAGTTGAGACGAGAATGGGATGGGTGGCGAGATAAAGTGAGAGTCGGTGGTTTGTAGCGAGGCGAACCATAATTCATTCCCACCACGACGCAACGACGTGGTTTTAGGGGACATGTATGTACCTACAACCAGATTAGATCAACAAGACTCGTCCTATACACAGTGGTCGAGGATGCTGTGGGGACATGTGGGGACACCAACATTGTAGGATAGGGGAGGGAGGGGCTTGTGTAACATGGGCAGACGATGGGGACATCGAATAACCATGGGGACATGATCCCTCTGTCCTCACGCTTCCGCGGCCACTGGTCCCACATTCATAAATACTTACATACACACGTGAGGAAGGCTGCTTTGTCACAGTGCATATTTCTTAGGAATATTTAGTATCTCGACAATTGTAATTTACAGAGGGTGGATATGTATTTACGAAAAATGACCGGGGTAGGTATTGAATATTTAGAATACAAAAATTAACAAAGCATTTACAAAACAGAATTTCTTAGAAATATTACTTTCGAAATTAATACTCTGAATTTTTTTCAGGTCCAAGCACAACAGATCGTTTAAAATCCATGAGCTGTTTACAAAATAGTTATATTTTTGAACAAATATGTAAAAGATTTTTCAAATAATGAGAGTAATATTTCCATGAATGAAAAACATAAAAATATTTTGATATTTTGTGATCAATGCAAGTTAGGCAATACGTGTAAAAAGCTTGTCGCCATAAAATGCAAAAGTTGAAACTAAATATCTATCCGCCCTCTGATTAGTAATTTATGCCTAAACGATAACACTTTGCAATTAACAACGTACGTGCCTATATTAGTGTGTTGATCTCATTGTGGTAAGTACATGTAATTGTGTATGGTCGTACATAATTTGATATTGGGTTTGTCGGCGAAATTAAAAATTGGTGTTGGAATCACTATTAAGCTTGTGTGTCTGCATTTCTGGTGGTCTGAGTGGATTTGGTGGTGAGAATGGAGTGGGTGGTGGGCGATGATGACGGGCTGAAGGAAGGGCTGAAGGCATAAATTATTAACCGGGGACGAAAATAGTCTCCCGTCCATTATGCAACCCGGTCTCGGGAGGAGGATGAGTTTAGAAAATGAAATGAGCAGCTCCAAAATAACAAAACACACATTTGATGAACTCGCCTGGTTTTGTAGTCAGTGCAAACTCGGGCTCCCACATGGTGGAAAATATAATGGGCAAAGTTCTCCAGGGGAATGGGCAGCAGGGACGTCAGGATTTTGAATAGGCTAATTTTGTCTCTTTTGAGAGATGGATAGCGAAGATTGGGGCTGCCGAAAATTAGCGATATTTTCTACAGAAATTATGACTTATGGAGAACTCTTTTTGCCAAAATATGCCGTGTTTTGAGATTTTGAAGATTTTGGAGAAAATGACACGTCTTTCTGGAGACGAGATTCTGTAAAATTCTGGAAAATGTTTAGGTGGAGGGTAAACGTGGAGGATATTTTTTGCGGAAATTGTTCAGTATGGATAAATTTTCTGCCAAAATATGCTCACTTCTCGGAGAGGTTTTTGCAGAAAATGGACATTTTTCTGCAGGCGAGACGTAGAACTTCTTTAAAATTATTTTTAGAATTTTTCTGCCTAAACTTTTCAGTATTATGTGAACGCACAGGATTTTTTTTAATTTTGGAGAATTTTTTTGCTAAAATTTGTCCAATTTTCTGCACAAAAATGATCCACTTTTCGGAATTTTTGAATCGTGTGTTTTGGGGAATTTTTGCCGAAACTTTCTATATAATTTACTCCACAGAAAAATATCGTGCATATTTATTCAAATTCTGCAGATAGGCAGAAAAAGTGTCCACAATTTTTTCTGCAGAAAAATGTGCAATTTTTCCCCTATTCGACTATCACCGTTGAGATGACCTCCTTTCTGCACAGCCCTCGAAATGTGGTGAATACTTGTGGATAAAATATTTTTGGCGTGTGTGGTAAATAGTTAAATGAATGAAAATATTGACTCGAGTTTCGTGGTTTTGGTAAATATTTAATTGAGGTGAAAGGTGAAATAATGCATAAATTTGGTTGATTTTGAGGCGATGCACTACCTGCACGGGAGCGATATCCGATCCCATGGAAATCTCAAGTCAAGCAATTGCGTCGTGGATTCTCGTTTCGTGTTAAAAGTGACGGATTTCGGGCTGCACTCACTCCGCGGACCGAGCGACGATGGGGACGAGGGCGTCGATTCCTATGCGTTCTGGAGACGTAAGCAAATTTATGAAATATTTGGATTCAGTTATTTTAATTAGGTTTGGAAAATTTGGAAAAAATTGGAAAATTGTGGTTTTTACCGTGGAGAAAATGGGTGAAAGTCAGCTACGTAATGACAACGACTCGGGCAAAACGACATATCGTACAAGCGTGTTTTTCCCACTTTCCCTGTTATTTTGAACGACAGTAAAAACTGAAAAATCACACCACCGCACTCGCAAATTTAAGATTTTTCCATCGAAAGGGAAGAAAATGCGTCTTAAACTGGACATATTTTACGCTTTCAAATTTCTCACGTGTTTTCTCCTCTTCGGATGCAAATATATCTGCCAAATGTGACCATTATGAGATCGTCCCTTGCAAATTTCATGCTCATTAATTAAATTTGAGATCGATTAATTTAGCCTAAATCTGAGAGCATATATGCATCTGTTGTGCGGTGCAATACATTTTGTTTAGCAATAAGAACTGGTTACTGACAGGTTTCGTAATTATTCTGTCTGCACAGCCCGCGGAGGGAGAAATCCAAATGTAGGAATTAAATCCTCATTATTTTTCCGCCACACTTACTTATTTACCATTGATGGCTTTCACATGAGACGACGTGGCTCATCCAGCCGTGTCGAAATGGCGACAGACGAGAAATCAATGAAACGAAACGAAACGGATTACAGGGAATTAATTTATTTCGCTTCGTGGAGAAAGCAGAATTATTAATAAATAGAAATGAGCCACACATCAAATATTCGTGGGGGTGGAGATGTATTTACTCTAAATAAGTACATATGCTCTCAAGTACAAATTGTTAAACGGGGCAGGTTAGATATTCAAATTTGTGAGAAAACTGGTTTTTACCAAGTTGGTCGGTTTAATAGAAGTGGGAATGTTACTATTCATATTTGTGACCAAACCGGTAACAAGTTTTTTACCAAGGGTTTTTTCTCGGTAGGAGAAGTGATGAATCTAGAATTTATACATAAAGTGAACGAGTTATGTACTGTGCGTATGGAGCAAAACTTACGAGAAACCCTAGTCTCAGCACAAGATACTTTAGGAGGCCGTAGGTTTTAGCTCCACCCGCACAGTACATAACTCGTTCACTTTATGTATAGTTAATAAATTTCCCACGTGGTAAGAGAGAAAATAAAAGTTGGAGTGTTACATATTCAAATTTGGATCAAAACTGGTAACAAGGTTTTTTTTACCAAGTTTATCAAGGGTTTTCTCTCGGTAAGAGAAGTGATGAATGCGTAATTCAAACAAAAATGTAATCTCTAAACTCCCCACGTGATGTGACAACAAAATAAAAGTGGGATTAGTAGATATTAAAATTTGTTACCAAACCGATAACAAGTTTTTAACCAACTTGGTCGGCTTTTTTCTCGCTTTGTTGATATTGATGAGTCATAAGTCGAAATAAAAATGTAGCGCTAATTTACCCACGTGGTGCGAGGAAGAAAGCGGACCTTAGCCCCAATTATGACCATATCATTATCATGTCGGGCCGGCTGTGTACCACTTTTCAACTTTTACTCCCCGTAATTCCCGTGAACCGGGTGAAAGTTATGACTTGTTCTTCAGAGAAGAAATGGAGATGAAAAACGGGTGAAAGTTTCGTTGGGAAAATTGACACTTCATTTTTTCCCAGGGGTCATACAGAAATGGTGGGATAGAATTTTCCCCCACCTTTCCATTAGCAAAAATTGCGAGTCGGTCTTGATGCGCGAGCCAGGTTCATGTTATCGTCTGCATGTCCATCCATTCTGTAGAACGTGTGATGTTTTAGGCGTCCTAAAAATAGAAAGTATTTCCACCCGTGTCCCGAAGAAATGACACTTAAGGGGCGACGAGATTATGATGTCCGACAAGTTTTATGCCAGACGTGAGTATGTATGTAAGGATGGAAATGGGGTGAGGATCGTGCGGAATGGATGCCGTACATTTTGAAAAATTTATCAAATTGGCCTATACATTTGAAATGGTGGTGAAATACTAGTCCAAATTTTTTTATTAATATTTTTTATTATTTTATTTTATTTTTAGTATTATTTTCACTAACAAAATTTGAACGATTCTTTGGTAATAAATTAAATTTCTAAAAATTTGCAAGCAATTGAGATATATTTTGGCTTATGCATATCTCAAAAACTGCGTTAGTCCTCTCAATATTATTTCGGATTATTGATGTATTTACTAAAAATTTCGCAAATTTTTCTACATCAAAGTTGTTAGAGTGTGAAAATTTTGCTATTTAATTTAATTGGGATTTAAAGATATATCTAGAAATGTTTCTGCGTGATTACCCACACAAAAATAGTTAATCGACGGATAAGAGAAAGTTATTCGAGGCAAAAATAACTACTTTAAAGCCTAGATTTTTTAGAGAGGAAAAGTTTTACGTTTTTAAACTTTCACTTTAGCTAAATTCTAGGAAAAGAACAGGCTTTTTCTATTTTTAACGTGACGAAGAATGTGATGAATTTGTACGTCTAGGAACAAAACGGCTGTTTTTTGGCTAGATTATTCACACGACATATTTCTTCTAGCAGAAAGGATGCGATTTTTTTTGCAAAGGTCACCTCAACCTTATAAACGTTACCTCGAGGAAAAAAATACCTCAGTCAGTGCATCGAGAAACCGCTAAAACTCGTTCCACGAGCCATTTATCACTCCTTAAGTACGCAGACGTTGCATAATGTGCCTTCTCGTGTGTAGTAGTTGAGTTGCTTATTGGCAACGTGGTGGCAACGTGACAAGACGAATTACCAATTTTTTTAAACAGGGTCCAAAAAAGTGAGACCAGAAAGTGGAAGATTACTCATTTATGGCGTGGCAGAGTGAAAAGTCTTTCTCTTTTCGGGACAAAAAGGCCATTGAGACGGAGACGTATTGACATAAGGAGAAAGTCAGTTTGGCCGCAAATCGAAATATTTTTTTTAACTCGGAGTTGCCAACACGTGGACTAGGGCATCCAAAATCGGGTTTAAATTTTCCTTAAAAACAGGTTTTGTAAAAAACGGTTTTACTTGGTTTTCGATTTTCTATAATAAAAATTGAGTTGAATCTAGTATTTACCATTCATGTTTTTCATGTAAGAATTAATTTCCCAAATTAATGCATAATTTTTTATACTTAGAGTTTTACCAGACTATATTTTCTAAATTTTTAAAACTGGTTACGAAAGTTTGCCAGAATCGGAAACCAGTTCTTAAAAATTTTCCGTTTTTGGATGCCCTAAAGTGGACATAAAGACATTTTAGTATTTTTTAAAGAGGCCATCGTTACGATTGGCTGGACGTTAACGTTGTTAGATAGGGATGGGAGGGACTTACTAATAATGACGGGATAGGAGATGTCAGAGAAAGAAAACCTTAGGAAATAAGCGATCTTTCTTACAATGCAAGTCTTTTACGTGTACAACTCAGATCTTATTGGGACCAATTTCATTTTGTTCAGCACAAAAAATAAGCCTACCCGTATTTTTTCATTTTTCGTAATGCTCTAATTTGAGCGCAAGGCGCGAATTTTAAAACATTTTTCAGCCAAAACCTCGGTTTTTAAAAATTCCGCAAATTTTCGAATTTTAGCGCGAATCCAAAAATTCGAAAACATGTCTCTTCAGAATGACTTACCTGAGTTATGAAAAATCCAATTGCCTCGAAATTTGATTTTCAAAATTTTTTGCCAGTTTTTGAATTTTATTAAAATTATAAAGTCTTTCAAATTTTTAATTTTTCAAAAAATAATGCATGTGGATTTTTTAGAAGTCAAGTAAGTCATTCTGAAGAGACATGTTTTCGAATTTTTGGATTCGCGCTAAAATTCGAAAATTTACGGAATTTTTAAAAACCGAGGTTTTGGCTGAAAAATGTTTTAAAATTCGCGCCTTGCGCTCAAATTAGAGCATTATGAAAAATGAAAAAATATGGGTAGGCTTATTTTTTGTGCTGAACAAAATGAAATTGGTCCCAATAAGATCTGAGTTGTACACGTAAAAGACTTGCATTGTTAGAGACAAGGTTTGCCCCGCCCAATAAAATATAAATGGCAATTAAACTTTCACTCTGGTCAAGAGAGAGAAAAAACTGCTCTGGAATCAATCAAGTTGAACAAAAGGTGACGGAGAAACTAGTTTTCTCTCATTTTTTATTGTGCAATTGTTCCTCCGCTGGTCAACAAACCCAATTTAATTTCTTGATGACTTCCTCACCAAAAAAAGGAGACGAGGACGAGGAAATAGCTCTATTTTAAGTGAGGAGTGCAGGAAATATGTGGCGGTTCTTGTGCATACTCCTCTTTGTCCATTTAAGAGAAAGTGAGAAAGTGAGATCGGTTCGCACGTTTTGGCACATTTTTTCCTTTCTTTCTCCGTTTTTTACGACTTTGTACTGTTCATAGGGCGGATATGTATGCATGGGAAATCGGTAAAAAATTATAAAAAAATTCTATTTACGATAAAAAATACTTTTATTTATTTATTTATTTTTTAATTTTTTTATTATTTTATTTTATTTTTTTGTTTTGTAATTTTTGTAATTTTTTAAAATTTTTTTATTTGATTTTTTTTTGTGGCCCAGTTTCTTTAGGAAAAAATTACATCGTTGAAGAAAAACCTAAAACATTTACGAAATTTGTACGAAAAAAATAAGAATTTGCGCAAAATTTGTATTCTTTGATAATGCTCTGAATTTTTTGTGGTCAAATTTCATTGAAGAAAAAAATAGGCTCGTATCGTTGAAATATGTATAAAATATATTCGTATTTTTGAAAACAAAATATGTAAAAGATTTCCATATTTTTGAAATAATAGGGGAATATTTACATGTCTGAAAACCTAGAAATATGAAAAAATATTTATTTATTTACACAAAGTTTGACCATCGGTCGCCATCAAATTGAAAAGTAGAAAATGAATACATATCCGTGCTCTGGTAGTGATATTTGTGGATGAGGTGGATGGGAAATGAGAGTGCTTGACCAAGGCGTCTCCGTGGATACCCTGGGGTCGCCTGACTTACGACTACATGTGAAAGCAATCAAGTGTTTACGGCGTCAATTGGGCAGATACATCTTTATCCAGGGTTGTACAAGGGGTGGCTGAAGTGAAATGGTGGGGAAAGGCGGGTCCATTTCATACAGATAGGATTATCTACGATAGATAAAAATAAAATTTACTAGGGTAGTGTCTTTCATCACTTAAATATGGTGAGAAATGGGAAATAATGTCTTTTCTCCCACCGTTTTTACCACCATTCAACAGCTAATCACCCATTTTTCCCACCAGTAAGGTCCACTTTTCCCACTGTAAAAACCCCACTTTCATCCAATGTAAACCCCACTTTTTCACCTTATAAAAACCTAATTTTTTCACACCTCCCGTAGTAAAACGTGTTTCTTAATCTTGGTAAAAACAGCACCCTGGCCGCGACATATTTTATTCTCGCGTCGCTGTGTACCCGTGTGGGGAATGTAAACGATTTCCCACACAATGGGACGTGTTGACTGATGCCGTCCTTTTTTTATTGCAGGGAAGCTGTGGACATCGCCCGAGTTGTTGAAGATGAAAAACCCACTGCCTGAAGGGACCCAAAAAGGGGACGTGTACTCATTTGGGATCATCGTGCATGAAATAGCTGCTCGCCAAGGCCCTTTCTTCATCACGGAGGAGCCCTCCCCTGAAGGTGCGTGCCAATCACGTAGCTATTTATACACTCTAAACTAAATTGTGTAAAATTTACTCAAGGTTGGGTAAAATAGAGGATGCTATGTCTACAATTGGGTGAAATTTATTAAATGTTGTGTCCCGAGTAAAAATACACTAGTAAAAAAAATCCCGAGTAAAAACAGCAGGTTTCCTGCAGAAATTTGGTCCCATTTTGTGCAGAAATTATCCAACCGTTGGATAAATTATACAAGACATTGTATAAATTTTACCCCGAGTAGAAATCACTACGTCGAGTTTTGCAGTAATCGACAAAACCTGGTCTGCATAATTTTTTATACAATTCTGCAGAAAATTTGCATAGGTTTTATTCTGCAGAACGGTACCAATTTGCATATACGCTAATTCTGAATAGTTTTCTGTAAAAATTGCTCTGCAGAAAATAAGGCCAAATTTCTGCAGGAAACTGTTCGACTTTTTACTCGGGACAAAACGTTGTTGTGTCATCTTCTATTTTGAGTAAATTTTACACAATTTTATTTAGAGTGTATATTTACTCGGGAAGATTGAACAAGTTGAAAGCGAAAATAAAATAATTTATGTGAAGAAGAAGAAGAGAAAGTTAATTTGCTCGAGGGAAGGAATCGTGTTTTTAAGGAAGCGATAAAATTTTGGGTGGAAGTCCGAAATTGAAAAGTTTACGGGTATCATCTCTCGTTTCATGAGATATTTATTTGTATTTGTTTAGCTATTTTATTCGTATTTTTGCAAGAAGGGAAATAGAGGGAGAGAATTTTAGTGAGAAATTTCTGAAATGAATTTTGTTTGGATTATTTTATTTACAAAATTTGAGGTGAAAGTTCTTTTCTCATGGCGTGTTTGGATATTTATTTGTTTTATTCCAATTGTATTTTTAGAAACGAAATCCTGAATAAAGATATTGAAGTGATAAAGCGAGATTGAGGTGAAAGTGGGTGAAAATTCCCGAGTAAAAATTTGAACGGCGTTCCTGCAGAAATTTGGCAGAAATTTTACCCAATATCCTGAAGAAATTTGGCTAAATTTTCTGCAAAACAAACATTTATGAAGAACGATTTGTGCAGAATTATGCACACACAGTTGTGCAGAATAAAACCGATAGAAGTTTTCAACTATGCAGAGTATAATTTTCATCGAGCTTTTGTCGATTCTGTAGAATTAAAGAGTGAATTATACTAAAAAATTTTGGGATAAATTTCCGAAAAATATTTTAAATTGAATTTGTGAATAAAACCCCACATTTATTTTACAGAAACAGTGAATCGGATAATTGGAGGGGAGAAATTGCGCCCTTCGTTGGACGAGATTACGACGGACGATGAGTTGATCGTGTTGATGGAGAAGTGTTGGCACGAGGACCCCGTCGAGCGACCAGACTTCGGCCAAATCAAAATGATCATTAGAAAGTTAAACAAGTGAGTTTTTTAGCTAACATTTTTTTTATTTAAAAAATTAGATAAGTGGTGAGAGAAACTTTTTGGATTTGTCCCCTAAAATTCCGTTACTGATTACCATATTCTTACATGGTCAGCAATGATTTAATACCAGTTTTCTAAGACTAAAAAGTTTGCTTTTGTGTGGTTGTAAAACGAGGATAAAACTTTCTACATGCATATTTCTTCATGGTTCGAATTGCGAATTGGTGTACGCCTGAATTACCCATGGATCCACTTGACTCAAATACTTGACTTTCAACGTGGACGGCTCTTTGGAGTTCTATTACGTTCAACTTTGTCAAGGGGTGTGCATAATTTTGATTTACCAGATTTTAGGCCGCGTGGGAGACGAATTAATTATAAAAGACGGCAAAATATTGAGAATTTTATGTAACAAATTTTCCGAATTAAAGTAGGAAACGAGGAATATTTCCTATTTTCCTCATCTCATTAACTGAGGTGAGGACTCGATAAGCATCAAAATGAACACATTTTTAATCATTTTTCGACTTTGTGCATTTATTTTATAATTCTGGGCACCGAATTGCAGAGCAGGGAGTTTCCATTTAAAAAGTATACACTTCAGATTTTGACAGTTTTTGAAGGAGGAGATCTCAAGTTTAGGAAGCCTTCAGAAAAATTGGAACTCAACGAAAAAACTCATCGCCATTCGATTAATCAACTTACTGATTAGAAATTTGTCGTCTAGAATTTTAAAATAAATTCCTAAGGGGAGAAATAATAAACAACGTATGGATTTTGACGAAATTGGTGATGAGTCATTGGTCCATAATAGTTTTTGTAGACGGGTTCGAAATTAGGAAATATCGGCTCAATTTTAATTGACAACATGAAAATTAAAATTTTGATTAATCTGATTTTTGGAAATTTTTAATTTATTTACACAAAAAGTACCATGGAGAATAAAGTACAAGAAGGCTGATAGCTGAAGCATCTGGGAAACATGGATGAAAGGGAATTCGGTCTGGCTGACATGCTCGAGTGGAGAAACTCTTCCTTCGTTACGATGATAATAAGTGATTCTGACTAATTAGAAATTTGAATAAATAAATAACCTCGTCATCCTGGTCGAAGAGAGAGAAAGCCTTAAATTAGCTGTCAATGACTAGCTGAGTTTGCGAGGGAGGCAGGAAGGATGACGCTCAGGGAGAAAGCTAACTTGGCACTTTCTCTCAGGAAACTAGGGTTTCACGTGCAAATAACCACTCGCAAAAAATAATGGCAAGCAAGTGGGTTTTTGCAGCTATTTTGACCTGCAAGAAATGCAAGGCGCGAGAAACTACGTCCCTCAGCTACAAATCATACGACGGTTCTTGCACTTTCTTGCAGTTTCTTGCACCTCACATTTCTTTTACCGGGAAGAAACGAAACACTGGGAAAAACGAGGACATGGTTTCTCTCCCAGCAGACCAGACGGCACCTGTCTCCAGAGAAAGTTTGCCCTTGCCTTTTGAAATCTTGAGTCGGCAAACAAACCACTTATGCGGTAGCTTAACGGCAGCATCTCTCCTCATCCAATAAAAGTTTGGGGATGACTTTCACTCAGAATGGAGGTCTCCCAGTGTGTGCTCTCAGATTTTGAGTTAACAGATCTTACACTTTTCCAATTTACTGCGTGCATTCTCCTCTTCTGATGCAAATATCTCTGCAAAACGTGCCCATTGGGAGATAGCGTCTTTCGCAAATTTCATAGTAAATAAATTTGTAACTGATTGACACTAATTTGCTAAAAATACGAGAGCATACGCTGGGAGACCTTCCTTGTCCGGGTTGGTTGAGATGGATGTGCTTTCACTTTCTAAAAGTGTCATAAGTGAGATATGTTCTTCTTGTTTGGGACAAGTGTCGAGAGAGGAGAAAGTTGTCTCAAAATCTGCTCCGTCTTCCGTAACCGGACAAACTTTGCAGAGGTCCGCAGCTGTTGTCGGAGGAAATTAAGCAATTAAAATAATAACGAAGGGATAAGTGGTCATGCAGAAAGAGTGCGGTCAAAACCTAGCCTAACTATGTGACATGTTGGTGAACGCGATATCGTCTCGGCTTATCTGCGCCGAAGTCCATTCGTTAATTTGAAAGTCAAATTTTTAAAAATTTCAAAATTGTTGTATGTCGTAATCGTGTATTCCAATATGACCTTGTCCTCGCACCGCAATCAGATTGTCAGATTTTCATCTTCTTGTTAAACCTTTTTTTCGAAATTTCGATACTATGTTCCCCTCGGTGTTGTCGATATGTCGCAATACTGCGCCCTTCACTATGACCGTGTTTGCGCCACGCATTATGCACCTAAACGTACCCCACATTGTGTCGAAATTTCATGCAAATCGCATGGAAGCTGGAGAAACTCTGACATAATGGCAACAAAATTTGTCGAAAATAGAGGTATGATTAGTTAATTGTACTGTTTTTCAGGGAGAACGAGCGTGGTCCTAGCCTCGTGGACAATCTGTTGGCGAGGATGGAGCAGTACGCGAACAACTTGGAATCTCTGGTCGCCGAAAGGACGGCGGACTACTTGGAGGAGAAGCGGAAATGTGAGGAAGTTCTGTACCAACTCCTCCCAAAGTAAGTGATTAATTACCAATTGCAACACTCGTCTCAGGCGATTTGAATAAATCTGTAACAAATTTGACTACGCAGATCTATCGCGATTTCTCTAATTGCGGGACAGCCCGTGATGGCGGAAACGTTCGACTCGGTGACAATATACTTTTCGGATATCGTGGGATTCACGAAATTGTCCGCGGAAAGTACACCCATGCAGGTGGGGCATGTTTTTATAGACACATGACGTGCGGGTTTCCACATAAAAATGTGCTGAATTTTGTCAGGTGGTGACCCTGCTGAACGATCTGTACACCTGTTTTGACTCCATCATCGAGAATTTTGATGTTTATAAAGTCGAAACCATCGGAGACGCGTACATGGTATTCATTTTGATTTGATTTCGAATAAATAATGGGCATGATCACAACAAATTTAGCATTATTTGGCATTATTGGCCAAGTTTGCGACAATTTTCGGAAACTTGTGCTGGAAAACTGTAATATTTACTAAGAAACAATGTTTCTATTTGGCAAAATGATTTCGCAAACGCACCCTCATCAGAAGCGATAGAAATTACGGATAATTCATGGAAATTGAATCAAAATATGAAGATTTTTATACTTTGCGAAATCATATTTTTCAAATCCCGATTTTTTTAGCGTTGCAAATTTTGCTAAAATCAGAGTTTGTCGTGAGTACGCCCAATATATATCTAATTTGACTTGTTTTGTAGGTCGTGTCCGGCCTCCCTGTACGTAACGGGGTATGTCACGCGCGGGAAATAGCCCGCATGGCGCTCGCGTTGCGTGAGGCTGTTTTGAAATTTTCCATCCGCCACAGGCCCAGTGATAGGCTCATGTTGCGAATTGGGATGCATTCGGGTAGGAATATTTTGGCCTATTTTTATGGAATGCGTATAAGATAAGTACAGTATTTACAAATTTTTTTATGTGCAGGACCTGTCTGTGCTGGCGTCGTGGGTCAGAAAATGCCGAGATTTTGCCTCTTTGGCGACACCGTTAATACTGCGTCACGCATGGAGAGCAACGGACTTCGTGAGTCACAAATTATTACGTCGACTTTTTCTTTGCAAAAATAGATTTTCTCACAAAAATACGGTACCGCTGTGAGAAAGATTTGGAATATTTATGTAAATGGCGGGAGGAGAATTTGCAAATTTGATGCTATCAATACTAAGAATAGCCGTGACTCACTGTGTTTGTCTGTCCAATTTGAACGTGTGCGCTGGAACTTGGTTGAACATGGGGCAAAATGCGACACAACTCAATGTTATTGTAAATTTAATAAAAAAAACATAAGCGCCCCACCTTGATTTTCAATGATTGGGGCATTATGAGATTATCGATTTTTTTATATTCACGCATTATGCGCCATCTATTGATACTGTTATGCCATTTATCAGGTCATCAATCATCAATTGTGTGTATTACATTATTATTGTGTAAAACATTACAGTTGGGGGTTGATTACATCCGCATCTCATATCACCCCAAAGTTGTTTAAAATCACGGTCACCGCCACCTATCGGCGTTTTGAGGAACTATTTTTAGCTGCTAGAGGACGTTCTTAGCTGAAAGTGCCAAAACCTTCACAAAACGTTGACTAGCAGAAAACCGAGCACACAACTCCCCCGATTGAACCCGGCTTGACCCTTCGAACATCGCTTAGAGTCGAGACTCGATCTGTAACATGGGCACGCCCCTTATACAAGGCGACTTTTGACACGGGCTCTTGCACCTACCTTATAGTCGGAAGTTGACCCTGGACAAACCCCTTATACTTTTGACTTTTTTGGGAGTTGACTTTTGGATTAAGTGTTAAAAGGATTAAAGTTCTAAAACTTGGGATTAGAGATTGTGATTAAGGACTAATTAATCCCCTATCCTAATCTCAATCTAATCCTAATCTAATCCTGGATTGACCAATTTGTCTCTGAGGCTAAAAGCCCGCAATGCGGGCTTCGGAGACTACTTGTCATGTGTGAAATGGGAAATAATATTTTTTCGTTTTCTTTTTGCAGCTCTGATGATTCACGTAAGTCCGAAAACGAAAGAAGCTCTCGACTACTTTGAAACCTTCATTCTCGAACTTCGCGGCGAGGTGGAGATGAAAGTAAGCATACAAATACATCCGTCGCTAAATAAGTATTTATGTGGCGGTGGTTGAGTATAAATTTGGGTTTTTTCCGATTTTACAAGTCCGGATTTTTACAAAGTTACCAAGGACTGCCTGAATTACCTCATTATTCGTCATGATTGGTTAAGTAAAAGTGCCATATTTTTTTCTCAGGGTAAAGGAAAAGTGACGACGTACTGGCTCGTCGGCGAACGTGAGCCCCCACCCGGTTCAACCCCATCGATCGAAGACGCACCCCCCGACCTCCTCCCTCCCCCACCACCACCACCACCGAGTGACAACAACAACCAGAAAGTCCTCCTCCCCACGTCGAGCAGACTCGTCGACCGGGACAACCATCCCATCATGTCGACCAACTACTGCAGCGGCGGCGCCGGACTGAACAACACGAACCCACACGTCCCCCTCCTCAAGGGGAACGATGACACCGCCACCTCCTCAGATCTGCCCCTCGTCACCTTACGTCACCGCGGGATGGTGGAGAATAATAGAAACTTGTATAAAAATTCGAGTCGAAGGGAGCCAGCCGATGACGCCGCGTCGGCAACGACCACGTCCGAACTTAGCTTTCTGCAACAACCTGAATCTATAGCGTAGAAAGAAAGAAAAAAATTCAGAAATTAGGTTTTGAAAATTGGGAGTATTTTTTTCGAATTTGGTTTTTGTGAAAAGGGGAAAAATATATTTTGATGATATGTATTATGATGATGGGCTATCAGGGTCCAGTTAAAAAAATCCAGAGGAACAATATACTAGTCAGAGAGTCATTTTGATAAGTGTAGAATGAGTTAATTAATTAATTAATGACTTAATTGAGTTGGTAATTGTTAGAATTTTTATACGGTTTATATTGACAGAGAAGAGAGAAGGGTGGCAAGAAAAGTTAAGATCTCCGACTTTTTCATACAGCTCTCTCTCTCGCTCGACACTTTTAATTTATTTACGTGTATGAGGAAATGAATAGTTTTATGGGAAAGTGTGACCATCAAGTCAGAGGTCAACGACGCCGGTAGAATTTTACGCGTCGCCGCCGGAGTTAAATCTGATTTCTTCAAGATTGGAACAATCACCACGCAAAATTGGTCGGCGTTAACATTCGCATGAAATCGTACATGATTGTTTTGTCAAGTTTCTAAATATGTGCTGTTAATTAATTATGCAGATTTATGCAGAGGGGAGGAGATGATTGGAAAGTGGTGCCGGTGTTTAGTGGTCATATTTATGTGGACGCGGAAGTCGTGGGGACATTAACTTGTACGATTAGGGGAGGGAGAGGTTTGCATAACATGGAGTGATGATGGGGACATTGAATAACCGTGGGGACATTGTCCCCACGCTTCCGCGGTCAATGTTAGGAAATATGTATGTGTGATGATATAGGGTTCCATTAATTAATTGTGTGGGCTATGTCTCGCCCGACGTAATTAATTAACAAATGGTCCCCTCCCCAAAAATGGGACAGTATTTAAAATGTAATAGTCACGTATTTATGTATTTGTGTAAAGATAAGATTGAGAAAATTGTATAAATCCTATTAATTTAATGGTAAAACGTAAGTGAAATACGGTGTAAAATCTCTCTAATGGAATTACTACTTAAAAAAATGATGTCACATTATATTAAATGAATGAATTATATATATTAATTATTAATTATTATCCAAAAGTATATGGTGCTGTATATGTATTTATGTATAAAAATATGTATATAAAAAAGCAGAATTACAAGAAATTGTATGGAAAAAGGGTTATTTTCACAGATTTTTAAACACGGATTCTGACAAAAAAGTAAGTCGAACGGGAAGATGTTGGAGATTACGTTAGATGCCCTATAATTCTGAGATTATAATAAGCACAATTGGTAAATTGGTGAAAATTTATTTATTTATTTGCTTCGTGCTACTTCAAAAGTCTTCATTTGAAGACTTTTTGATCTGATTCAAAATTACTATGAATTACTGAAATGCATTTATTATTCGTATAACAAAAATGAATAAAGAGAAACCCGAGAAAACGTGTGATACAGAGTTGTTTAACATGAATTGCATAAATATTATTAAAGCCACTCGTAATTTGCATGTAAAAATACATCTGGAATTGTATGATTGTTTTTACTTTTGTTAACGTAGGATTCGATTACTACGAATCGTCAAAGAGTCAAAATCAGCACATTTATAATCGTTTCTCGGCTGTGGGAATATATTTTAAAATTCTGGACGACAAATTTGTAGTCAGTACGTTGATTGATAGAATGACGGTAAGTTTTTAAGCCAGTTACGATGAGTTCCAATTGTTCTGAAGGCTTTTAAGAAAATTGAAATCTCCTCCTTCAAGCAGTGTCAATATCAGGAGTTCTTATTTTTTTTTAATTGGGAACTACCTGCTTTCAGAATCTTAAAATAAATTCCCAGAGAGGAGAAATGATTAAAAATGTTCTGTTTTTGACAAATTTGGCGACGAGTTATCGAGGCGTACGAAAGTCTTGTAAATTTAGGAGAATCTTTCACCCCAGAAATTGGAGAGGTATTTGTCTTATCTTGTGTCTGGAAGGGTGGTCTTTTAAAGTATAGTTATGTCATCGGCTGCTCCATCGCCACCCGCACTGGTGGAAGGCCCACCACCCCCATCACACGGCGTGTACGGGTTGGTGGCTGAATATCAAAATTTCAAGTCTTTTATGGCCTGCGGGAGGTCGGGGAGTTTGATGTCTTTGATCTGCTGGGAGATGTTCATGTTCATATTCTTGACAGCGGAGACGGCCCGAGCGGGAGCGGCGGAGAGGCCGGCCTATGGTAAGGGCAAAAGTTAAGATCAAAGGTATATCGTGAATGATAAGAAGGACGACTTACCTCTTGCCGTTCTAACTTGTTCTGTTCATCTATGCGGGTAAATATTTCGGTCATATTGGTCTCCAGCACCATTCCGCCCATGACGAGCTCGTTCAGTATAAAGTGGACCTGTCAATTAAGTAGTTCAATTAATTACAGTTTTATGATTTTCATTAATAATTTTAGCAAGTTTGTGAAACTACAGATACGAAATTCTGAATTGTGTATTACTTATTAGCTTAATTGAGCTTGTGCTTCTTTTAGTTTTGCTTCATCTAACTTGAATCTTTTTAATCATACAACTAAATATTTATCCGCTAAAAATTACGCAGATTTTGAGATCGATGAAGTTGAGCTGGGTCACTGTATTGAAGGCAATTCATTAAATTTTGCACTTGGTTTATTTTACCTTATCCACATGAAAAATGAGGTCTAACTCGCACACATTTTCGAAACATTTGTCCAGCGTTTCGACAAAGACTTGGATTAGGTCGAGAATTCCCAATTCGGATTCGGACGAGTCGACACAGAAGACAAAGTAGAGGGTGGCATAATGTCGGTAGATTAGTTTGTAGTCTGCCCCGCCGATCAGGCTGCATATTAAGGTTAATTAATTTTTCTTAATGACGACATTCGCAGAATGATAACTAATTTGTCAAGATAAATTAGCTAGATAATGTACCTTCCTCCTTCTAAGAAATTGCAAACATTGTCATCCCTTTTGGAGACGAGATGGAATGTTTCTTTGACGATTTGCTGCTGAATTTCTTCACTCTGAGGAAAAACACACGATAAGTGAGATGGGAGTTGATGAATATTTTACTAACTTTGATAAGATATAAGATGACGACAGCTTACAATGTGCACATAAAACTTTGAAAGTCTCGGCTTTCCGTGATTATTAAAGACGAGGATGGCTTTAATCATGATGAGTGTGGAGGATGAGTGATGATAACTGATGGATCAGCACTTATCTAGAAAGAGAGAAAAAAAAACTACAATATTTGAAAGATCAAAGACAACTTCATTTTGTTATAATTTCTTAATAACAAAATATAATATTGGCAATTAAATGTATCCTCCTAACTCACCTCACTCTTTCCTTGACCAACTTGTTAATTAATTGTTTCGTGGCAGAAAATTTGTAATTATTTAGGATCAAAATTACTATTCAATTTTTTTGACTTTTTGAACAATCTGGGATTTTATTATTATCCCGAAAATTTGAACTCGTCCCAGTTCGATTCGAGCAGTGCAAAGAGAGACAGCAAAACAGATGACAGATGATTTGACTAAAGTGTATTTTTTTAGTTTAATATTAGTTTTAATTAATTAATTAATTAACCACCTTCGTGGGCGTGGTGGTCACTATGTTGCCCGAGTGGTACACGCCTTTCCACCTGAGGGAATCGTGGCTCGGGTCTTTTCAAGCGGTCGTCGGCTTGACCGGTCTCGACCTCGAGGGCGACTCTGTTGATCGGAGGGTTTGGGAATTGCTCAATCTGGGGACCGATCTGGCCCCCACGTTCATCCTGAACCCCACCCTTCCCCGCAAGAAGCCCAGGGTAAGAGGTCAAGGTCATTCGGAGCAAGGTCACGTTTGTTTTGGTTGGTATATAATTTCGGATTTTTTTTGTAGCGAGAAGGTCTGGAACAATCGACATACGTACCGGAAGGAATCCTCCCGGTCGCGTGGACGGACAAACATCGCTCCATTGTGCCCGCCGTGATCGTCGTGTTCTTCAAGGATGACGGCGCCGTGACGGTGACCAAGGCTTTGAGCAAGTTAAGGTTGGTTGAGAAAGTTAACTATGATTGTACGTTTAATGGTTGGGCGAGACGTGGATAAGGTTGGTAAGATGTGTTTTCAGTTTACAAGGTTGAAATCTTCTTGTTAATAGGGGCCAGCAAGAAGGGCTGCTTTTAAAAAATAGATTAAGACGGTCCAAAAGTTGTGGATGGTGAAAGTTTCCTAATTTTTAATACCATCTTAATTAAACTTTGACCTTAAATAACTTTTGACATGGCAGATTTGGGAATGTAATTCTACTTTTTGAAATAGTTCTTATCTCTTGTGGAAAAAATGTCCATGGAAATATTTCGCAGATTGAAAAGACTTGTTATGCTTGTTGACGAAGCGATGATTTAGTAAAATTCTGACATTTTTGTTCTTCTTTTTGCAGGGACGACTGCGCCCCGTTCGGAACTCAACTGCTCGTGATGCTGATCAAGGGACCGGGAGAAGAGGAAGTTTCCACGGAACGAGCGTCCGCGCTCTGTGCAGCGGCCGATATTCCGCCCAAATCGTTGTATATTCTTGTAACGAGTCATCCTGACAGGATTCACAGTTCGGTCCACAGGTCAGTTTAGCTGGACGATGGGGTTTTAACGTAATTAATTATGTTAATTTATGTTTAATAAATTGATAAGGTTGGAACGTGGGATAAGGGACGTGTGCACGTCTTATTATGCGGGTCGTGCTAGGAGGCTGAAAACGAATAAGGAGAGAACAACCCAACTCGTCCTCCATGTCCGGTACAATGTCAAGTTGGCCTTTTTCTTCGAAATTAGGAGAGATTATGGATCTGCGATTGGGTAAGAATAACAATTAAATGGTATGTTAAACTATTGGGCGTACGTACTCACCACAAATTGAGCAATTTTTGCGAAATACTTAGCAAAGTTTTTGGTAAAATAGGATTGTTGTTGGTAAATATACCGGCAAATTTGTTATTTCGCAAAATTGTATAGTAAACTACTCTTCATACGGAGCGATAAAAATGACGTATCCTAATTCACAGAAATTGAATCAAAATAAGATAGCAGGATTGTACAATAATATTCTGCAAATCCCTCCATGTTTTGCAGATTTATGTTTTGCAAAATGAGTGAGTACATACGCAGATTATTAATAGTTAAGTAGTAAAGTAAAAATAAATATGAAAAATTATTCTACTTTCTGTCTGTGCAGCCACTACGAAGCCGCCTTCGACTCGCTCGTGAAGCTGGGGACGTATCTTCAAGAGGTGAAAGTGGTGGGTGGTGTGGTGACTTATCGCCTCTGTCGGATCCACCTCCTGAAGCGGGAGTGGGCCGAAGGGAGGCTCAAATTCCACAAAATGGTCGACACCTTCAAAAAGAGTGGAAACAATGACAATCTCTTTGAAGTCCTCGCCTTCCTGGAACAACAGTAAGTGGAGGAAAAAAGGAGTCACAATTGTCGAATAATTCATGAATGCGGTGACATATTGCTTCCACACATGGGTTATCGCTTTATGAAATATGATTAGTTGCTTAAAAATGGTGCAAAAAATGAGAATTATTTCAAAAATAAAATTAGCTGGGTACCTCAAAAGTTATGGAAATATGTCGGTCGGGATTTCTTACTTAAAAATGAAGTAAAAAATGAGGATTATTGTACTTTTGAAGTAATCCTCATTTTTGCTTCATTTTTACTCAAGAAATCTCGACGGACATATTTCGACAATCGATACCACATGTTACGCAGTACACCCATAATTATTTAATAATGGACGTCCGCTCATCTAGTTTTGCTCATTTTTCTCCAGATATCAACACTTTGGGGACCTGGTGAAGCAATATTATGGTCACGACGCGACGAGCTGTGGCCTCGATCCTGTCAACTATTACATCGTGGCAGCAAAGTATGCTCAACAAAGGGCGGAAATGGCGAAACAAAAGTCACAAGTAAGCCAGCCACAGAAGATAAGAGTACTTATCAGATTTTTTTTTTTGTAAATTGAACTTTGTAGGTGGCTGAGCAGACTGGTTCTCCTCCCGTGATAAATGTGGACTTGACGTGGGAGCCAAAATATTTAGGCCAGCGGCCCTGGCAGATGGACACCCTGGGCGATAAAGTCCCACTTTTGGAGCACTTTGAAAACGAGGTGGCCCACTCGGACCTCATCATCAAACATTTAGGCCTGGCTTCCGAGTTTTGTAAAGAAGTGGGACATTTGAGGACGAGATGTCAACTGAGTAAGTGTCATGATTAATGAGGATTATGCAAAACCGGGTTTTCTAATTTTACCGAAGATCGGATTTAAATCTTTGATAAAAATCGGGTGGTGTAAATAACTGGTTTTATTTATCACGGTCGAAACCGAGTTTGTTATGAAAAATAGTTTTGGATTTACAATCTCATGTAATAATTAATGTTTCTGAAATATTGTTGTCCCAAATTAATGCCTGAATTATATTTAATTGTAAATTTGGCATGGCAATATTTGCAATTTTTGAAATTCAGGTGTTGGGGGAAAATGTAAAACCAGTTTTACGAAAATTGGCAAAAATCTGAAAACGAGTTTTGAAAATCTTCCTCTTTTAGACGTGTATGAAGCTGTATGTATGATAAGGTGTCTTATCCTTCCCTTTCAGTGAGTATGATGGGTGACGAATTTCTACGGAGTGGCGAATACGCACGTGCCATCCTCCTCATGGCACATGTCCTCCGAGAGTTTGGTAAAGAGCGGTGGGCGACCCTCCTCCTCCACGTGGCGCGGGCTGGACTCCGCGCCGCCATCGCGCTCCCAGACGTCGCCGCCTATCTCAACTTTGTCGTCATCCTGCTCAAGGTGGACTTGCGCGGGCTCCTTGGAGAAAAAGAGGCTGCCTTGTTGGGCGAGAATTTCGACGCTGTCGTGGAGAATAAGGTGCCACGGCATGACGGTAAGTAATTTATCTCGATATTTACCACTTAATTATTCACTCACGGTTCAGCAGAGTAAAAACGATAGAAATTTTCTTAAGGGTTATGTAAAAAAAAATACGCAGAACAGAATATGCATCGAAATTTAAGTGACCGGTTGACTATTTATAATTTCAGGACGGGAAGTGACTTCTTTTGCCGCGGAATTCAGAAAATCTGATGAGATCAAGAGTTACGTTGGCGTGCACAGTGAACCCTTTCTCTCGGCCTGGATTGGTTTTGCGGAGGAGAGCGTGCTCATCCATAGAACGACGAAGGTGGTGTTTCGCCTCCAAAATCGCCACAGTCGTCCCGTCCACGTGAAGAGCATCGCGATCCAGACAACCATTCCCGAGTATGATAACTCCCTCAGGCTCGACAAGGTTTTAGAGGTCGGCGCCAATATGGAGGAAAGCTTGGAAATCACGCCGCGCGAGTTGAACAAAGTCATTCAGGTGGAAAAGACTAAATTACTTTATTATTGAGCGTACTCACGGTAACGGCGCAACTCATTTTGCAAATGTGCGAAAAATGAGGAGATTTGCAAAATATGGTTTTTCATAGGGATAAAACAGTATAACTTGATTTAGTTTCTATGAATTATTTGTAATTGTTATGGCTTCTTTCTCTTGGAGAAAATGAGTTTGCGAAAATTGGCAAATTTAGTAAATTTGATAAGTTATGTTGATATTTACGAAATATTTAAATGTTGTCGTGAATACGTGCAATATGTTTAATAAAGTTTAGTCTATTTCGAATTATCATTTGGTTTTAAATTTTTAAGAAGTTCAGTTTCTTTATTGTTTAATGTACTTGTGGTTTTGATTTTTTAGTTACAAGTTGGCGTAGTGGACATCGGGAAGGGCGACGTTTCCGTCCTCCTGCACTACTCCCTCATCCACAAGGTGCCTTCACTCACTCTTTGGTAGGAACTGAATCAATGCGAATTTTTAACCTAGGATTCATCGCCAAAATCGTCAAAATCTGCACACTTTTAATCAATTCCCGGCTCTCTAGGAATTTATTTTATAATTCTGGACGACGAGTCTATAGAGTAGGGCGTTTCCAATTTAAAAAATATGAACTCCAGATTTTGACACTTTTTGAAGGATGAGATCTCAATTTTAGGAACCTTTCAGAAAAATTGGAACTCATCGAAACTGGACTAAACACCTCACGGCCATTCTATTCATCAACTTACTGACTACAAATTTGTAGTCCAGAATTTTAAAACCAATTCCCCAACTAGAGAAATGATTTAAAATGTTTGGATTTTAACGATTTCGGCGATGAGTCATAGTGTCCTAATTTAGAATAGTTTTTTCTCATGGCGTTTGTTTTTGCGTAGGAACGAGGAGTGGGGAGAGGAGCACGCAGGCCTGGTGGGTGGGGCGTTGAGCAACGTGGTGAAAGTGGAGGGAAGCCGGCCGATGGTCCAGTTTCGCGTTGATCGGGATGAACCCGCCCTCGTCGGAGAAGCGCATAAGGTGACCTTCTTCTGGACGAATGGTCATCTGACCCCCATTTCACGCGTACTTCTCACCTTTTTCCTCTCCACGTCGAATCCACAGTGTGAGTGAGATGCAGCTTACTATTTAACGTGTTTTTAATACTTGTCGAAATTGCTTGGCTGAGATTGTTAGCCATCAAAAAGTCGATAATTTCAAAAACACAATCAACTTCGTAGGTCTGCCCTAAGAAATGTGATTGAAGGTGAATGTTTCCCAAGTATTTTCATCACAGTTTGACCATCAATAACGTTCGAACTGGCAGAGCTCCAGAGTTAATTGCATTTTGAAATAATCCTACTTTTATTTATTTATTTTTATGCAAAAAAATCTCGACGGATACATTTCCCACGCCGACAACACGTGTTGAAAGGCGACCGCCACCACAACGTGAATCGAGGCGAAATTCCCAGAGGAAATTCGACCATGAAATTTTGTGCATCAATTGGTTTTATTGTAATTTTTGCAGTGGTTCGACTCTCCCCTGATCCCGCCCTCCTGCTCCTGAATGCAGACGACAGTGGGGGTGGCTCGCTCAGCTACTCCATCGAGTTAGACACCCTCGCCCCCTCCGCCACGCAGGAGACGACTCTTTACCTCCGCGTCCTTGGCGAAACGGAAGTACGTCTCATTTCCAAAGTCAAATACGTGGATTCCTTCGCTCAAACCGTGACAGCCGACTTTTTCACCGTTGTCGGAGTGGTGGCACCGTTTGGCGTGAGTTCCACGGTGCGCGACCGTCAAGGAGAAATCATCCCAGATGCGGCACTCGGATTAAACCAGCCCTTCCTCCTCCTCCACGAAATTACCAACGTGACAAAGACGACGGAGCTGAGGATAGCAAATATCCGGTTTAAGGAGGGCAGTGTGAGTAGAGATTATATGCGTAGATAAGCGTACGTTATCTATTTGGGAAATATTTTTGAGAGATTTTTTGCTTACAAATGTTCCCAAGAATTGCGATTGAAGGTCGATGTTTGACATGTTTGTTGTAAATAAATAAAATTTGGGATAGGAAACTTTGATTTACAAAAAGTTTTGAACGGACAGATGTACGAAATTAATTTGTATTTTTGAAAGAATCCCAATTCTTCGGTGGACCTTTTACAAAAAAAATTATTCTGGAGGAACATATCTCGTAAACGGATAACGTGTTAAGCTACGATTGAGATAATTATAGTGTTAATTGTTTCTGTTTAGAAATGCGTGGCGCAACGTGTGGCAAGTGCAGGCGTGGAGGATGTCACGGTGAATCCTGGCGAGACGATTTCCGCCTTCCAAATGCTCCAACTAGTCCAACTTCCTGTCGGAGGAGTGGCCACGGTGGGCGTGGTCGTGCAATGGTGCAGGTGTGTGAATTTACCTTAGAAATATGAGCAAAAATTTGTAAAAGCTTGCCAGTTTACGGATTTTGCAAAGTTATCAAGGTCTGCGTGAATTACCTCAAAGTTTTCTGTTTATGCACAGGAATGGAGATGACGACGGGATGTTGCTGACGACTGAGCTGGCCGTCGCACTTCCGCGCGTTGAGAGCGACACGGGTGGCGGTCTCTATCTGACAGGGGAATTTGGGGAGGGTCATCTCAAACGGAAAATGACAGCAAACTACATTCTTCTCAATCGGGGGACAAACTGTTGCGACTTAACCGTTTCAATCGACTCGACGGAGTTTTTTATGAATGCCGGACCTAAAAGGGTGAGGCTCCTCCCAGCGTATGCTCTCCTATTTTGAGCAAATTAGCCTTAATCCTTCGCAAATTTAATTAGTATGCAATTTGCGAAGATACATTTGCATCTGAAGATGAGAAAATACGCAGGAAGTATGGAACTGTAAATTTTCTCCTCTTCGGATACAAATATCTCCCCCAAACGTGCCCACTTGGAGATTGTATATTCTGCAAAATTTCATATATATTGCTTAAATTTGTAATCGATCGACACTAATTTGTTCAAAATCGGAGAGCATATACATTGATAAATCTCTAATGTCTAAGAGGAGCAGAAAATTTGCAAAAATTGAGGGTCAAAAACAGCATGAATTATATTCTTTTTATTGTCTTTATTTTCAGATGAGCATAAAATTGAACGGTGGTGATCACGTGGACCTCTCGTACATCTTGTTCCCCTTGAAAACCGGGCTCGTGATGGCGCCCCGTCTCGTCGTCGAGGGGACGGATGCCGGTCAGAATGTCGTCGTTTATCGGGACCACCCCAAAACCGTCTTCATCCGGGTACATATAACGTAACTTTAATAAATGTGTGCCTAATTTTGTTAATAATTTGATCCTGTTGAATAATAGAGAATCAATGATGAGGGCGAAGAATGAAATGGTCGTTTTGCAAACGAGTCAAGGAATCATCATCGCAACGGTTTTGTACGCCCAGGGATTTTGGGGGGATTAATTAATAGATTGAGTCCGTTAATTGACATTTTGTACAAAAAATTGTGTATTAAAATCTTCTATTTAAATTACTGAGGCAGTTCGCGTCGATCTTCGTAAGTCTGTTACCACGTAAACTTACGAAGATCAGCTTACAAACCAAAAACATGCCTGACATCTTTGTAAGGTTTTGTAAGTTCATAAACAACAATTATGTTCAAGTTATTCCCAAATTTCGTGAAAAGTTTGTAAGTTTCAAAAGTTTACTTGGTTACGGATTTACGAAGGCTGACGTCAATTGTCTCACTAAATATTTAACAGTCCAGAAAAGTGAAGTCCTGCTGTGAGGAAACGTCGCCTCAATATTTTAATAAATATCTTTGCTATGTGTGTAAAGAATGATGAGTAATGCTAAATAAAGAATAAGAATGGTGATCATTATCGACTCGATATTTTTTAAGACGGTAATTTTTTTGCCATATTTATGCGACTTTTGCAAATGAAAATAGTTTTGTATCATTATGCATTTACTAGAACCCTGAGTGGTATGATGCTTTCTGCATGGTGGCGACGATAATTGATAATATGCAATAATTTTTAACATAATTTCCCGAGATAATAAGTTTTGTTAGTTTCTCTTCTAAAATTAAAAACTTGCCACGCATTTGAAATAAGATGCAATTTCTTGAAAATCAATAATTTCCAGCGTGTGACACAGTTTTTATTAACAACATAACAACAGACCAAATTATTTGTAACCAGCAGAATAATTGTAATATAAATATTATAATGAACATATCAAATTTGCTATATTAACAAAACATCAAATACTACAAATTTAGTAGGAATTACTAATCTTCAATTAAGAACTATAGACATTTAATTTGGGATTGGTTACTTAATATTGTTCGATTAATTGCTTATCTTTCTACCAATAGATGATTAATAAATATTCAAAAAAAGTTGATTCATTTCAAAGTAGTTTAAATTTCCTGTGGGCTATTTCGTTACTGCGGCCAAGACCTGCCACACTTTCCACATGTCAAGTTTCAGCTCCGGCAAGGTCATGGCGGGCAGGAGCTCGCGCACCAAGTCGTGATGGAAAGCCTTCACTCCAGCTTCGTCGCCAGCAAGGCTGCTGGTGAGTCGAATAAGATGACCCTTCATTTCTGCCACATACTCTGAAATCTTGTCAGCTCTGGAATCTCGAGCTAAGAATTAGAGGAACGTATATTTATAATGGGGACTCAAACCGTGTTCAATCCAGATTATTTTTTAGCAGCTCAGATTGAGAGACCAACCTTATAGAGACAACATTTAAAGCGACATTGCACAAAATTCAGAGAATTACGGACATGAAAACGCTCGGTTTTCGGTGCCTTGCCGCAGCAGCTCAGACTTTTCGCGTATTGATTCCCCGTAAAAACTGAGCATTTTGAGGACTTTGCGACGCCCAGAATTATCTTTATAACGCTCTTAATTAGGCACACTAATTGTTGTTTCTAACGACTTGGTCTTTTATACCGAGGAGGTCAAAAAATAATTTGGGTTGAACACGGTTTGTCCCCATTGTTAGAAGAAGTTTAAATTTTCGACCTCACAATGCAATGGTTTGACGTGGAAATACTTACCGTGGTCATCATGCTCAACTATTTCACCACCCTGTTCATCATCTTCCATTCCAAAAGCATCGGCAGCCTCCCCAGCTGAAATTAAATCAAGAGCATTTTAGAAACATTTACTTTCGGATGCCAACAATTGTCAAAAACTTTCAATCTCGCCTATGCTCACGATATCCGTGGGTTTCTCGCCTGGAAGAAGATCATCACGATTAAAAGCCAAATTAATTACGAGCGACGAAAACAAATTTGACAAAAGAAAAATATCTACTCACTCTCACTGCTGACACCCAGCGCTGTTTCGAGTTTCTTAAAGGCACCTTTTTTCTTGAAAGGGGTGACAGGACTCGAATTCTCCTTGTGAACAGGTGATCTTGACCGAATGTTGTCATCCTTCTTCTTTCCCACACTCTTTACTCGAGGTCGGCCACGTGTTCGATTTCCATTCCTTGGACCGGCCGTTGAAGAAGATGTCTCCCCCTCGCTTTTTTCTAGGGTCCCTCTTCGAGATCTATTTCGAGGAGATCTAATTACGCGCGAAGCGACGGTGGAGCGTGAAGGAGAGCACCTTTTCACCGGCCTAGGCCTAGGCCTAACCTTCACAAACAGAGGGTCCTCGTCACTGGGTGGGAATGATTGAGGAGCCCGAGCTGGGACGACCTCCTCCTTGTTCTCAGCTGTTCTTGGTACATACTCGTGTGGGGGTGGAAGGACTATGGGAGACGGGGGAGGGCTCACGGCTTCTTCATAACTTGGTTCTGGAAGTGGGGTAGGCACAAAGACCTCTCCTGCTTCCGCCGCTCTGATAGCAAGTTTCTCTTCAAGCCAGGTATGCCATTTAACCTGCGCCCTTCGAAACGACTGTGGGGACAGTGGTACGTGTGCCATCTTTCCTTTTTTCCTACCAACTGCAGTAATTACCTTCCTCTTTCACTAATCAAATAAATAACCATAATTAGCTACCTATAAAGTATTAAGAGTATTAACCTAAAAGACTAAAAAACTTACCAGATAAACTTGGAAGTTGACGGATAAATGTCGAGGATTTATTAATTATTGGATAAGGCAAGGCTGGCAACGTGGACTGACACTGACTGCAGTGCTTTGCAAAATGGCGAGAATTTAAAATTGGAAGCAGGCAGGCTGCTGAATCTCATCAGCCGAGCAGAAGAGAGATTTTGCGAGGAGGTGCGATTTGACGAGCTAGACTTCCTTGCAGATTGGTAACACGATTTGCATACTCTTCAACAAATTCCTCGTCACTTTTTACGTGACAAGACATAACATCCCTGATGGTTCACTTATTACGTCGTGCGTGTTGTCCAGCATGGGCAGAGTTTTGAACTTGGAAGGAGTCGATAGATCGCTCCACGTCCTTCACTGGCTCTCCAGAAAGTTGAGAATTCTGTTCTTGGAAGCGATTTGATGAGTTCGATTGCCCTGCAGATTTTCAGGAATGTCGTGACAGGTCGTGACAGGTCGTCCGTCATTCGGCTGGCAAGTCAAACGATACAAGACAAAAGTTGGCCATCACCCGACTTTCATTGCATCCCTTTTGGCCACGACAAATTCATCATATGACGTCTAAACTAACCCATTAATAAATTTTACAAATTGTGAGTCATTCCGATTTCCGAATTTAATTTCTTATCATCAAAATTCATTCACAAACGAAAACAATCTTTCCTCTTTGCGCAATCAACATTCTTAAAAATGAGCCGGTTACGGTGAAAATGAGACAACCTTCTTCTCCACATTGGTTTCTTTCTGGAAGATTCCAGAAAAGGGGCATCATCTCAGAAATTCAGAAAAATCCACTATAATAATAAGCACTCGTCCTACAATCTCACAATGGTAATGTCCTCATATGTCCCCCAACTTTCGCCGCCACTGCATCATTTTTTAATACTTTTTAGTTTTTTACGACCCTCAAAATCCGTAGGGCCCTGCCTGCTCGCCCTATCGGGAGAGTGAGCAGTCAAAAAAGCATGCCAGAACCTTGGCGCTACTCCGAGTGAGGCTCTCCTGTCATCTCGCTCCTCGCCTGGCTCGGCATTGTTTTCGATCGTCATTTTTTTTGATTTTTTGTTTTTGCTTAATTTTTTAAAGTTATTAGCAAGAATTTAGAAAAATGTTGAAGACAAAGGCAAGCAAGAAGACTGTTTCTAGGAAGAAGAAAGAAGAAGTTGTCGACGGAGATGAAAAACTTCCAAATGACGAATCTCCAATGGCACGACAAAGAGTATCCAATTTTCAAATTCAAACGCCCGTGGTAGTATTGACAAGGGTCCGTGAGTTTACCCATTCTTTTTCTTATAAAATCGTCGTTGCAGAATAAAGAGGGCAAGCAGCTTATCGATTTCCTTCATTGCTCTCTGCAACGACGAGATGTGGAAAAAATACAGCATCACTCTTTTACTACATTTAAGACATTTTATTCGCTTACCTTACCTGGATGAATGAATGAGGTTTGCTGTATTAATTGCAGGACCGGGGAATTGATGATCTTTGCCAATCGTTGAAGCAAATTACAGCCGAGGAGGGAGCATCTGGCCCTTGTGGAAAGGATCGTTCAGTCTGCCAGAGATGTCGTAAATCAGGAAAAGTTGGTCGAAAAAGCTGAACAAGAGTATGGTATAGTCAATACCACTGACTGCAAAAAGTGCAAATGGCCCGTGTGTCCTGATTGCAAAAAGGTATTTTTGAGAGAAATGCTCCACCTATTTCATTCCTGGTTTGCAAACGCGGGTATAAAAATCCTGGAATGAGTCTCAGAGTGAATTCTAATATGTTTTTAGCTGCATTACAAAGAATGCAAAGACTTGGCCAGTTTCACGCGTTTATTTGAAGCACGAAGACTTCCACATCCCATGCTTCTGAACCGAGCCAGTGCCTGCTGGATGCTGGGACTAATGCGGTTATCCACCCTGGAACAGAGGAACAAGGATCTGTTTCGGAAGTTTGAGCTTCTTATGAAGGAGAGGGATTCCAGTTCCTTTGAACTTACGCGGGATGATAAGAAATATTACGACGAGTTCTTGAAAGAATTTCAGAAGCATTTTCTTACTTTGCCGCTCTGGAGTGGTCTGGAAATAAAGCGCATCATGGATGCGCTTATGTACTACCGTGTACATACGGCTAGCATTTCTTGGCCAGGTGCACGTGTGGGGTGAGATATTTTATTTACTATTAATATTGTCGTTCATAAATAAGTCAGTCATAATAATCGTGCTCATTATGTAAATATAATATTTCAGCGTTATTATTAACAAGTGTGTCCTGCTTGGGGTCAAACTCCACTTTGCATGTATTCCAAATATGATCCTTACGAAGGAAGTGAATGCTAGTGGGGTCCTCTTGAAGACTCTGAAGCCAGTAAAGGAGGAGGCGATATTAAGTTTGGGGATCTATCAGGATGGAACCGTGCCAGATGCCGACAGCGATGGATTTGGGGATTATCTCCGTGAGCGAGGTCCAGCTCATAAGAAGAAATGCACTTCTTCAGCATGTAAGATTTGCGCGAAGAAGAAATGAAGTTAGTTGGTGGCGTTTATTTAAGTGTTGTTTTAAATACCTTTTAATCCACCTTTCCCGTCATCCAACTTTAAGTTGTAATATTATTTATATTGTTAATTAAATTTGCAAATTAATCAATAATTAATAATATAATTACATACTTAATGAAATTTATTTTACCCGTTGAAATACATGTGTAATTAAATATGTATGAAACTGATCATTGCTTGCTTATATAATAGCACTGCAAAAAATATGACAAATTTTTTTTCGGACATACAAATTAACTAAAATAATAAAAAAAGGTATTCGAACTATCGCTGTTTTTTACTTAACTGCATTTCCTCGACTAAAATTTCCTACTGTTACCACTTTTACTACTAAATTTGCTACAAAACTGATTAAAATGAAGCTATGTAGCAGAATTTTCATTAAGCTTTCACGTTTTTTTTCATTTTTCATATGTATCAGAGCAGTTAAGCAAATTCAATTCGCATACTTATTCTTATCATTAACACCTAAAATTAAGGTTTTCCATCAAATCACGGATCCCTCAAAAACATAGAAATCCAGTTCAACCCCTCTTTAAAAATACAACAATCAGATTTACCATGAAACAGATTACACGTCAACAAAAACCACGTGCTTTTTCATAAATACAACATTATTCCCTCGTCATCCCCTCAATCCCCCCAAAAAAAGCACAAATTTCCACAAAAATCCCCCCCTCCTCACAGATAATGAATGTCCCCTCCTTATATTCCCTTCATTCTTAACAATATTATTACATATTACACATTACGCAACCTGTTGTACTCTCACACATACCGATACAGAATACCTGCACAGGACGCCACCACCAGTACCACCACCACCATCCTGGTATTAAAAATACAACAAATTCATCTCCATCTAAAACCCTTCGAGTATTTTTTACACTACAAACAAGCCACGCAGCAAGCAACCCTCCTGCTTACTAAAATTCACTTGCTCTTTAACGCCACACACTTGTCGAGCTTAACAAGTGAATTCCCATCCGTGAGAGCGGAAAAGCACAGACAACGTAGGGGTGAGGAAATCTAGAAATAAGGTGCTCCTCTCTTCCGAACATATTGCTTAATAACAACAAAATTAATACGTAACAACGACAATAATAACAATAAAATATTAGCAATCCTACAACGCCAACGAGTGTGTGGCACCACATCCTCAGAAACAAATTCCTTTACTCATTTTCATTTAATCGACCAACTTACATTTTGCGTAGTGTGCATTTTGCTCACACTTTGATGAGTAATTATTATTGAAGTTGATGTGGTAAATAATTTGAGATTGGATGAGTCACGCGAATACCATTTGCAGGTGCAAGAAGTACCAAATTTGTGCAGGAATCGTATTACTTACTTACTACTCGCGTCGTTTTGTGTTAGTTAAACCTGAGCTTGTAGAAATTTGAGTCCTAAAAAATCTCAAGAGTCTCGAGAAATAAAGTGTGAATAAATATTTGAGTAGTGAGAAAAACAGGCAGGATACATAGATATTTTGCTAAATAAATTTTGCAATATTATTTCCTCTCAATATTTTTACTCTTAAAATTCATCACAAAAATCATCACATTACAAAACGAGCCTAGAAGATTCACCAAACTCTATCCGAAGTAAAATAAGGTGAGTGAAAAAAATACACATTTCCAGAAATCTAATCTTGTGACCCCGTCGAGTCTAAACTGAGCGTCCCCTCACTCAATTTAACCATTGCACTCCCACATTTCCCATTAAACACTTGTCATTTCATTACACATTTCAGGCTTAAATAAACCGACGCGTTACAACACCTTCATTTTTTGAACCCTGAGCCGTGACTGCTTTATTGTATGGAAGGGATGTGTGCTGGGTGAGGCGGAGTCGTAAAAAAAGAAAAAGAAGAAGAGGCATTCATTCCACACATTATTATTATTCGCGAGGAGTGACGGTTTGCAAAATTTCTGGTCCTGGTGAGTGAAAAAGCCAGCCAGCCACGCACGTCACGAACCACCTGCGAGTGAAATAGTGTTTAACGGATGTCCATGAGCACGGAAGAACGCATTTTCCAATCCAATCCGCTCTGAAAAAAAGTACACGAATAAATCGAATCGACTGCAAACTGTGCATGTGTCCATTCACATAAAACCAGCATTCTGTTATGACTACGACGACTATTTGTGTATCCGGGTGATGAATAATTGACAAGAAGAGAGAAGAAGAACTCGGCCCCTCGTGCATTTCCAGTGCTTCATATATCCAAAAGGACATTTGTGTAATCAATACATCGGGAAATATACGATTCCGGTCGAAAATCGCATCGATTCTTGGGAGAAATACGTCTTTTTTTAAAGTGTTAAAATGTGGTCAATTTTGACCCCGTCGATTCTTCTCGTCATTCTCGTGGGACGGCAGGGGACCGGTATGTTTTTTTTTATTTTTTGGAAATTGTTCATGCAGTTGGTGGTAACTTTGTAAAATCCGTGCGGTTTGTAATAATTTTACACACTTGTTCAATAAAAGGATTTATTGTTAGTTGATCTGATTTTCAAGTTTACAAAAATTTGGAAGCTGATTTTTCTTCAATTTTTTTGTAAAATTCGGTAAAATCATCACTGACTGCGGCGTTCTCTCCGTGTACATAGAAATTCTCACCTTTCTTGGGCTGTAATATGTGTATACTGATGCAATTCACGCAATGGTAACTTTGTAAAATCCGTGCGTTTTGTGAAATAATTATGCAAACTTTTGCAAAATAAAGTAAAGAGACACACTTGACCTGACCAAAAATTTGTAACCAAATTTTCCGAAATATTAGTAAAAATTTTTAAGATCATCATGGATTGCTGCCTTTCTCCATGTACATAGAAATTCTAATCTTTCTGTGGCTGTGATAGACCTGGGAGTCAAAAACACTTTCACGCAGTCATTTACAACCTTGTAAACTCAGTGCGTTTTATACCATGCATAATTTTTGCATAACTTTTCTAAAATGAAAACATGGGAGCTAATTTTCCTTAGAAATATGCGTAAAATTTTGTAAAAGTGTACAGCTTTTACAATGTCACCTTTCAAACCTGTGTGAACTGCGACAGTGATAAAAATTAATAGAAGGAGATTGATCAAGTTAATTTCGCCTTTAATTTTGCAAGCTGGGAAAAATCTAGGGCAAGGAAAACTGTGCAAATTTTATGGGGAATTTATAGTGTTAACAAGACCTCACTGTTGTGAATTTCCTGTGTTTTCAGGAGTATGTATGTAATTTGACTATACTTTTGTTGTCTCCGTTTTCAGAGGGGACGTTGTGTTACCAGTGCGACTCGTGGGAGCATTTGGGCTGCGGGGAGGATGACTATTTGTACGATAAGGACCGTGAATTCCTCGTCCCGTGTAACCCGCTGACCTACTCGCAGTCCTCCGGCCAGTATCAGACCGCACCCCAAACCTGCCTCAAGGAAGTCACTTACTTTCTACACGACAAAAATTCACCAGTTCTTGACCCCTATCATAGATGTGAGTTAAAATGTGTATTCATATTTTTGCAGTTTCATCGTATGAAAATCGCGAGCTGAGGAAAAAATTGGTGCATTTTTCTGCCTCAGGAATCCTCCAGAAAATGTCTACATTGATGTAGAAAATTTCAATTTTTATGCAGAATGAGTTACAGATATAACTCATTCCGCATAAAAATTGAGCAGAGTCTCATCTGCAGGAACTGATTCTGCAGAAATAAATTCAAATTTGTATTTTCAAATTTTAAACTGGTCTATTTTCATAGCGGGGTAGCCCTCCACGGACCGAACCGAATGGAGGTCCCCCAGTGTATGGTCTCCGACTTTCACCAAATCAGTGTCAAATGATAACAAATTTTATTAGTATCCAATTTGCAAAAGACACGACCTCCCAATGAGCAGGTTTGGCGAAGATATTTGCATACGAAGAGGAGAAAATTTAGAAGGTATAAAAGTTGTCAACTTTAGGACTTTTCTCCTCTTTGAATGCAAATATCTATCAAACGTGCGCATTGGGAGATCGTGCCTTTTGCAGATTTCCATAAAATTGGTGATCGAATGATATTAATTTGGTCAAAATCGATCGAGTACCATACGCTGGGAGGCCTCCATTGTTAATTTCAGTCAAGGTGAACTGTGTAACTCTGTATGATTTTAGTGGCGAAACTGAGCCCATATTTTCAGCCTGCTCACCTTGATTATCTGTTAACCTTTCCAGATAACCGTCCCCACGTAATGCGTCACTGTGGTATTTCCCTCAACCCGGCCTACAACCGGGGGGAGGATTACTACGACCGGTGCGTCAAGACGGAAGCCGTCGTCAACGGGATTAAAGCGGAGCGGTGGATCTGCTCCTGTTCGGGGGACGGGTGCAACTCTGCGACCCGTGGCGTCGTCACCACCGTCTGGATTTGGTGCACTGCTCTCGCACTCCTCGTCACTTCCGGCACACTCTTTTAAACCTCTTCTTAGACCTACATACGTCTTTTTAATACTGTAAAAAATAGTTAAAAATTTATACGAAGTTTCAACGGGTGTAAAACTGCGAATTTTATAATGCAACCTTTTCAACGGGTCTTTTTACTTTGGGAATTGTACGTCGCTCGAAATTTTTTGGGCAAAAATCAATCCAAAAAATGAGAATGATTTTAAAAATTGAAGTTAGCTCTGCCCCTTCAAAATTTGATTCAGATTGTAAAAAAATGCGATTTTGGAAACTTTCACCCTCAATTTTTAAACAATTCCAAGTTTTGGGTTTATTTTTAACCAAAAAATCTCTCGCAGTATTTCGCAAACTGAATACACACACATTTTCTCGTTACAAAATTTGCAGTTTTGCAGAGTAATTTGACCTACTAATTTATACAGGTAGCAAGTAAATAGGGGAACAAAGCGTCATATTTTTGAACCAAATATTTTTCAGACAATCTTAACCATAGTGAATAAGTAATTGTACATATTTACATATGTAGCATTTCCTCATAAAAATTCGCCCTCTCTTCTTCCACACGTATGTACAAAGTAGATAAGATAAGAGATCTACCTTTTAGAGAAAATTAGTACCAGTAGGAAATTATTTACAACGAGGGGATGAGTAAAGTAACGACGATTTGATGGCAAAAGGCGACTGGTGCTCAGTGCATGATCTTAAATAATTAGAAAAGAAGTTAAGTAAATTAATTTAGCTAATTAATTTTTCGAGGATTGTAGAAATTTCAAATTTTTTGTTATGTCCAATTTCGAAGAAAATTTGCTCTCATTTTTTTAAATTCCTTTAAGCTAATTAGCTTACAATTTTTGTTATCCCCAATTTCAAAAAATGATATGAAAGTTTGCTCTCAATTTTTTAACGTTTTTATCCCTTTTTTCATAATTCGACAGTCTAAATTATTTATTTAAACAGGTCGACAATTTCTCATTTTTTTCAATTTCTTTAATTGGACCCCAGAAATTTACAATATTTTTTAACCAAAATCATTTTATTTTCCAAATCAATCAAATGTTGCACTAAAATGTTCATTATTTTTTTGTACAATTTCCCAAATTTTGACAGACATGAAAAAAATGTGGCCTGCATTTCATATAACTTTGTCAGTTTAGCATACATAACTTTGCAAACTTGCCAACTTTACGTGTTTTTAACATCATTTTACTTTCTTGTAAAATACATTTATTTCTGCAAAAAATTTACGGATTTTGAGAAAATAATTATGCAAAACTTTTCTTTCCTCCCTCGAAGGTTCTTGTTGCGCATTGTTCTCAAAGTCAAACTTTTATCGAGTTCTTTCTGCATAGTTTAGAGAGGTGGATCTGCCGTTGAGCTGGAGTTAAGACTTCTGTTAGTTTAGGATCAGATTCCCGTTTTTTTTGCTGACCCCGTTTTTAGAGTAATTCTACCCTGATTTCAATCTGCAGCGAATAATAAGAGATGATCCCATGGATGGATTATTGTGTGGATTTGGATTTCAAATGTGGATCAGGTCGAAGGAGTGGGGGAACGTGCGGAGGGGATGTCACCCATATTTTTATGGGCAGGCTTTCATTCTTCCCAGGACAAGTGGGAAAAATGGAAAAAAAATCGGTGATTGAGTGTTCATAAGAGCTCCTCAGTCAAAACGTGGCGAGTAAAAAACACTCTCACCCATTTTTCGCATATTTTAATGGTGGTAAAAAGTGTGAAAAATGTAGTTTTTCCCATTTTCTACCCATTTTGGATGTATTAAAACACAGCTTTTCCCATTTTCCACATTTTTTTAAACTTATTTTTAATCATGATAAAAATTCAGAAACAAATTGTTTTTCCCATTTTCCACCTATTCTGGATGTATGGGTGGTAAAAATAGGATAAACACACTTTCTCCCATTTCCCCCATTTTTACCGTAATCATGCCAAAAATTAAAAAACCACTAATTTTTCCGACCCAAATATTTTCTACGTATGGTTGGTAAAAATGATTGGGAAACCACACTTTTTCCCACTGCCCTTCTAAATTTACATTTTAATTGCGTCTCCACATCCTCTCTGCACGACTCTCTCCGGATGAATGAGCATTATTATTATTATTTCTTCTTCCTGGCTCGATCGACTTGCTCCAGTTTCTTCTCCTTTTTCATCTCATTTCGTGCCAGTGACGCGAATCAATCAATCCAAAAAAAAAGAATTTAAGCTCTCAATCATGATTTACATGCTTATTTGCTCTCTACTTACGTACTTATATCGACACGCTTGGGATCAAGTAGTGAAACGCCAATAATTTGGTCTACTTGTTGACTTGAGAGAGATGTGAATGTCTTGTTAATGACCCTTTTACATAATTCTCCATTTTTTTACATGTGTTCTTCATCTCGTAAATGAGACCATTAACTACCATCGAACAAGTCATTAGTGCAAAATGATTACACATTTTGAGCCCAAATTGGTCAAATTGAGGACAAAATCTGGACTTTTTCCATGAGATTTTCCATGGTTAGAAAATCACCCGTAAAAAATAAGACTATTAATTTAAATAGAAAATAAGTACACATTTTGTCAAATTGAGGACAAAATCTGGACATATTTACCATTGAAAATGATCTTATCGAAAAAATTGTACAACATGTGACATTATTTTACACAAAATCACCCGTAAATTAATTACGGTAAAATCATTAATACAAAATTCGTCCACATTTTGACCGCAATTTGATCAAATTGAGGGCAAAATCTGGACTTTTTTCCCTGGGTAGAAAATTACCCCTAAAAATAAGGCTACTAATTCCCATCCATTTTCAGCACAATTTTGTTAAATTGAGGGGAAAAAGTGGGGCAAATCATCATGACATTTTCACTCCTTACAAAGTGACCCGGTTGCTTAACCTGATTTAATAATGATCTTATTAAAATAATAGTGCGACATTATTTTACATATCTTGATCTGCTGCACGATTATGTACTGCCGTAAAATTATTCTAAATATTTTAAATTAATTAATTAGTTAATCATCGTCACAAATTTTGAAACATTAATTAATAACGACTGGGTGGAGGACGTAGCGTATAAAATGACGAGTTTATCGTATCAATTTACCTTTATTTTTAGTACACAATATAAACTTTATGAAGGTTGTAAAATAAAAATAAAAATAAAATTTGTACTTACATGAACGAAATCACCTTCAAGTTATGTACGCATCAATTTCATTAAATCCATGCAATTGTCGTTAAAATTATGTCAGGGTAATAAAAATTTTGGAAAATTTCTACATTGTTTTGGAGGCCTCGTTAAAATACAATGACATCTTTTCCTTTATTAATTTGTCCTTGAAATTATGTATTTGTTAATGATTTGCATATGTATATATTTGACACGAAGGGTAACATAAGATTCAAGGAAACTCCCTTAATTTTAAGTCTGCTTTAATAAATCCAATCCACTGATATAAAAGCAATAATAATTTCATGAAATTTTTTACTAATAAATTCTTGTCGATGATTCAGTGCAAAATAAAATTGTGCTGCATGATCAAGTGCAGACTATATAGACTGCGAAGAAATTTGCAAAAACAACATCTCATGAATAATTATGTACGAACCACATTTCACGCTATTTTTTACTATCCACGCGGATTGTGCATACAAAATGTCATTAATTTCGATGTCACATTAAGCGAGTTGAACCCCCAAAAATGGTCACATCTCTCTCTCTGCACGGCCCCATTTTATTTAATAAGTGCAGAAAACACGCCGAGAGAAAGTTACCCTGTCATCATTATCTCATACTTTCACCACTCTCGTCACGCGTATAAGGTAGGTAGGTATTTATTCAAGATTGATGTAGCATTAGCTTTTACAATCATCATTTTCATTTCATACAAAACATTTAGATAGATATTAGCAGTATGGGTGTAGAGGGAAAACCGGAGATGGTCTCGGAAAACCTCTACATGTATTGGGAATGTGGCCCAATACACCATTCGGCCCATAACTGCTGGACACCAGGTAGGAAAATGTATGGCAGTGATACATAGGCGGATTCCGTGGTGGTGGTGATATCCAAATGAGGGTGGCGTCTGCATGCGGAAGTAGACAGGTGAAGGTTGTTGGGCGGGGGCTGTCCACGGACCGCGGGATCTTGCCCACGTCCCCCATGGTAGCCGTAGCCGGGGCCGACGACACCCCCACTTGCCCCTTCCCCCATCACAACACAATCAGGTCATGGGACCCCCGTAGACCTGACCATGCCGCCCCCCGTCATGCACGACCCCCTCCGCCACTTTTCAAACAACCACTCCCCACGGTCACCACCCCGATATACCAAACAAAAACCTACCTGGGGAGTCCCTCCAAGGCGTAGATCCTCCCGTGCACTGGGTCCGGCGAATCCATCTTCGCCTGATGGCTCAGCTTGTCGTTGCTGGGACGGGTGTGGCAGGGGGTGTCACTAGGCACGCAGGTGGGGGGTGTGAGTGGACGAGGCTCACGTGGCGAAAAGCCTTTAGGACACACTTTACTTGCCCTGGCACACCCGCGACCCAGATGGAAGAGGATCCAGATGCAGAGCGAGAGAGAGATACGTTGTGCACGGAGGAAGCCAAAGATCGTCACGCGTATAATGCACACGTATTATTTTTAAATAGCCATTTGCATATTCATTTATTCTCCCTGGTAGAATTGTACAGTGCTCATTTAGTGTAAAGTTGACCATTTAAAAGGCAAATCGGGCAGCATGCCTACAACTCTGGTGAACATTAAAATCAAAGTTTTATTTCGGTCGGTGAATAATAATATCCTATTTTTTTGGGGGGGGGACTTATTTGCATAAAGCAGCTCATCGACCTTAAAAGGCATGCTAAATAACAATGTTTTTTGGGACGTAGTTTCTTGCAGGTCAAAATAGCTGCAAAAAAACCACTTTCTTGCAAGTGGTTACTAGCACCAGACTTAAATATCCATTGCTTTTGTCAATTAATTTGTGCTAAAACCAACGCTTCCCAATTATTAATTTTGAGGTTTCACATCCTATGAAATTATGCAATTATGTCCTGAATAGTTTCCCTTTCGACGTAACAAATCCGCATTTGAGTTGAGTCGACATTTATTGCAAAACTCTGTGAAAACAGGGGGATTTATTCATCTCCTCTCTACCCTCGCTTCAGTCACTCACGTGTGAAATGTTTTCACATTTATGGGAAAATCTGGGCAAGACGACGTGGATAAATAAACAGAGGAGGAAGGAAGGATGTCAAAAGTGAGATTCATATTGAAATTCAATGTGGTAACGGATGGGCCGTGCACAAAACAGAATAATGAATCCTCCAAAAGTTACATAAGCCTGTTTTTCGTTTTTTTTCATAGAAATTACTCCAAAAATCGGGATTATTTCAAAAATAAAATCAACTCTCTGCCCATTCAGGGTCAAAAAGTCTTCCAAATCCCAATTTACACCTTCAAACTCAATCAAACTTTCACCTTCCATAACTTTTGACCTGGCCGACGCTACCAAGCTAATTTTTGAAATAATCATAATTTTCTGGATTAGTTTTTTATCCAAAAAATCTCCACATTTAACAAAGTGAAAGCTTATCCACGACTCATCTCACTACACGCCGACATCCCTTCCGCACCGCCCGCATCCTTGCCGAAGTAGTAGACCTCATCACCACCACGGAATAAATCCTGGGAGGAGGAATAGCAAACTTTATGAAGGTCATCATCATTTCATCCAGAGATAACTTGTATCTTCCCGATATCAATAATACCAACGAACCACCAGCACCGCAACCATCACCACCGGGCAGGCCTTTCCGCAAAACTTTCCCATAATTATGTATCTAGCGAGAGAGAGAAAGTTGAATGGTCGTCTGGTTTTCGTGGGCATGATAAAGTAACCAAAGTTTTCCCTTTGTTTGGACCCTGTCACGAGTACACATCCAGCCGCAAAGTTCCCCCCGTTATTATTATTATTCAGTTCAGTGTGGGCGAGAAAGAAGGGAAAAATCCTGTTCCCCAATTTTCTCAACTTTCCGCAAACTTTCACTTTTCGGGATAATTGTGACATCAATCTTTTCCATATTACTTAATTGGAACATGGCATAGGAAATAAGTTGGGAATTTACTGCGTGAAATGGAAAGTTTGGGGAAATTTTACATATTTTTTAAATCATTTTAATCTTCATGGTGATTTTAATGATGGTTTTCATGGGATTTGGTTTTAGTGAAATTTTCCATGTTTTCTTCAGGATTTTCATAACGTGAAAATTTTCATGACGGTTTTCACGTGATTTTCATGATTGTTTTCATATGATCTATTTTTATCATTGGCTTTCATGATTTCATGATGATTTTCATGATTTTATCATAGTTTTCCTAATTTTCATGAGTTTTCATGTGTATAGTTTTAAGGAAGTTTTCCATATGTACATGTTTTCCGAATCTACATCGTAGTTTTCATAATTGTCGTCATGGTGTTCACAATTTTCATCATAGTTTTCATGATTTTCACAATTTTCATTGTAGTTTTCATGATTTTCACAATTGTCGTCATAGTTTTCATGAAAATTTTCATCAGTTTTCATGATTTTTTCATGTGATTTTTGTGATGGTTTTCATGTGTATAGTTTTAGGGGAATTTTTTCAGAATTTTCATCGTAGTATTCATAATTGTCGTCATGGTTATCATGATTTCATGATGATTTTCATAATTTTCATAATAGTTTTCATGATTTTCATCAGTTTTAATGATTTCATGGAAATTTGCAAGTTTATTTTCATATGATGTTCATGATTTTTAAAGCCACAAAGATGTCTCGATTTGGTAAATACATACATATGTAGTGAAGTCGTATTAGGACCACGTGGGAAATATGAGACGTTTATGATTTTAGCCATATGCATGTCTTATTCACTCGTGTAAAACCCCACTTTTTCATGCCATGATAAATTTCAAGACAAAATTATATTTCTTCCCAACTTATTGAAACTTTTTCACAATTTCATATCCATCATCCCGGTCCTGACGGATCACTTTGGAGATTGATTGAGTTAAAGCTTCAATTAGAGGAGAGAGATGGATATCAATTTTTTCATAGTATGTATCTCCTCAAAATTTCGCATAGATCATACTTATCAGGACGGATTGGATCTTTAAAAAAATAAAAATCCGACTCCTCTAAACAAATTGGGCATCCTTTATCCTCAATTAGTGTAATGATGAGATGAATAAGACGATATTTTTGGTGTATTCTTATTATTATGTAGTCAGCCTGGATCCCATTCAGTTCAACTTTCCTGGAAATCCAGGAAATTTCGGATTTTCAAAAATCATCTTAAATGCTATACTGATTTCCCATAATTTTCTATTTGAGTATCTCCCACTCGTAAATTGACTTATGCCAGTAAAAAAATATTTGCACAAATATCATGTCAGAAATTCACTCGCAAATTGGCACAATTCTTATCCCCATCATTTCAATATATTTCCCAAATTGATTCCTTATTATTACTTCCTCCTAAAAATTATGCCACTAAAGAAAAAATCAAAAATTCAATCAGGTTACTTGGCCCAATTTTCATTAGGTTCCCAGAAACGAAATCAGATTGCAAATGAAAATGAAATGGGACATTGCAACTCATCCGGAACAGCATAAAATTCTGCCAAATAAGACGACGTACGACGTCTCACTTCGTTAAGAGGATTTCCAATTCGATCCAGATTTGTTTTTATTATTTCCTCTCGTTCGCCACATGCAAACATACGTCGTCCTCAACAAAATGCATGGTCTTCCTCTCGTCGTGGAAAAAGTCGCAATTTTTACCCCACACAAAATATACGGACGACCCTCAGCATTTTAGTCTCAATTTTTCATCCCACTATAAATACTACACGTTCGAAGAGATTTTTTCATTATGTGACACGTCGCATGTCTGTCTCGGACAGAAATACTTGTCCTCACACGTATGCATTTAGACGCTATTTTTTATTTATGTATGTACCATATGTCCATCTTCTCTTATTAGCGAAGAGCAAAGAGTTTCTTATGTTGGAACATTGTAGACAATTAATTTATCAATTTAACCGAGAATTTGTTTTCCGATTCAAATTAATTTTTGGGAATTTCAAACCTTTATTACTACGCATATTTAGGATTAATTCATACAATGAGAATTCCAAACAAATTTCTTTAACCGAGAAATTACAATTCTCAGGAAAATAATCATGTCCCAAATTCGCTCCCATTTTTGGATTTGCAAAAATCAAACCAAAACTTGTTACAAATAACAAACTTTTAAAAATCTTGGATACATTTTTGGACAAAATTTTCCCAAGAAACTTTCACGTTTCTGAAACCCATGCTGTGAATCATCTACAGTGATCTACATACCACCCACTTCAAGAAAATGTACGTGGTGAGAACCCACAAATAAAAAGGTGTCCCCATACGAACGACACCACCGATGTCACGTTCTCCCTCATTTTCGTACCATTTCTCGCCATATTTACAGACATCCTCTCCTCCTCGATATTCATTCATCTGTATTGAAAAAACGACGTGTTGAGTTCCTCCCACACTTTTTGCACGTACACATTCACTGAATTCACTTACGAACTGTACGAGACACGTAAAATGAATGCTGAACAGTAAACTAAACATACTTGGATGATGAAAAATCTGTGAATTAGTCACCATTCGACGCAACACTTTCTCATGGATGACTCCCTAAAAATGATAAACTTTTCGTATTATTTCGACTGCATACAAACATATGAAGCCACACCACTTTTCCTTTCATTCTCATTCATTCTCATTCTCAGCTCAAAAAAGTCACGAGAACCAAGCTCACTTGACAACAAGGAGAAGAAGAAGGGTGCGAATTTGATCGTCTTATCAGCTCCTGAGTCAGTCTAAGGAAGCAAATTAAGAAATTAGGCCGCGCGTTAACATTAACCTTTGGAATAATTTGCAATCTTTTTTTTGGGGACAGTGTTCAGTCATCGAAAATACGGCATGGACAACCACTTTGCGTTTATTATTCGTGGGGAGAAAATAAGATGAGGTAGTTCTCGTCGCATGGAGAAATCGTGTCGGGAAGGAGGAAAATTTGTGCAAGTGAAATTTCAAAGAAGTATAGTTTTGTGTATTTCGGAAACTATGAGATTTCGGTGAAATCGTGTCGGGAAAGAAAATTTGTGCAAGTGAAATTTCAAATTTGAAGTTTAGTTTTGTGGAAAATATGAGATTTGGGTGAAATCGTGAATTTGTGCGAGTTAAAAATTTGAAATTCGATAGGGTTTTCTGTGCCGTGTAAGATATGAGATTCGTCACGGACATTGTGGTCAGCCTGTTGATGGCAAGTATGGTTTTAGTCCTGGTGGAGAGTGCGAGGAATCGGACGCGGAGGGAGGAGGACCAGAGTGGCGTCGCACGTGGGAGAAAGGCATCCCTTGTGAGACGCTTGATGAAAAATGGGCGTCGCATTAAAGAAGGCAGCGTACGTTTAGCCGAGGGTTCGACGGAACATGAAGGTAAATTCGGGGTTAAAATTGTCACGTGGGGGCAAGAAATGATATGTAAATCAAGGGGTCACGATTTAACGTTTTTTCTGCCGATTTTCGGGTCAAAATTACCAAGTGGGGGAGAAATTTATGTAAATTTACATACAGGAGGTCAAATGGGTAGCACGATTTTACAATTTTTCACCCATTTTCTGGTCAAAATTGACACGTGGGGGCTAAATTTACATATAAGAGACCATGTGAGTCACTATTTTACGGATGCCAAATTGGTAAAAGTACTCTTGACTCAATCGGTCAAAATCTTGCCAAAATTTTGCCAAAATTTGGTGTCCTCGACCACAACTTCAGTGTGAAATTGAACTCGCCAAAATTACAATTTGGCAACATCGTCAAATTGTCCCCAACTTTTCTGAAAATTTTACTAATTTTTTTTGTGTCCAGGGACATTACTCAAGTTTTTTCTAGGAATTTTTTATCGTTTGCAGGCCGCGTGGAGATTTACCATGATGATCGATGGGGTTCAATTTGCGATGATGAGTGGGACGAGCGAGAGGCTGCCGTCGTGTGTCGTCTGCTGGGCTATAATGCGAGCACAAATAGTGGTCCTCCGCACTGGACGCAATTCTCCGACGTCAAGATTGACATCAAAGCGACACACAATGGGAAATTTGGACCAGCTCGCGGTATGCACGTCCTTTGTCTCCTTTTCTCTCCAACCCTGTCCGTGTACTTAGCGCCAGAGGTGGGCAAAATAGGCCAAAATTCGCAAAAGCCCACACTTTAGCAGTGGTGGGGAAAAATTTGGAGAAAATTCGCAAAAATTTGTGTCAAATAATATATTTTTATCTTCGTGTCCAAAGTAGTTTTGTATTTTCGAAATTTAATGGTGAGTTTTTACTATGCAAATTTTATACGCAATTATTATTCAGGAAGCAATGCAATATTTACAAGAATTGGAAACTTCCAAAATTTAAATAAACTCAAGAAATTCAGATCTTGAAATAGGACGATGTTTTTGGGATCGTGTTTTTAATGTGAATGCCGGAATTGACATTTTTTACTCATTTTAAACACTAAAATTTTACATTTCGCATTTATTTCATTTGGATTATTCGAATGAATCATTGAGGAAGTTCACGCAATCCCTGGTAACATTATAAAATCCGTAAATTCTGTAAACTTACAAATTTTAGGAATATTTCGAACGAAAATTGACTTCAAATTTTAGTAAACTTACTCTGGTCAAGAGCGTCTTTTTATTTTGTAAACGTTCGTAAAATTACTTTATAAAATTTAACATATCTACAAAATTACAAAGGACTGCGTGAATTGCATCAGTATTTTGAAATAAAAGTATGTCGCAAAGTATTCGGTATTCCGAAATCAGAAATATTTTGCCGACTTCTGAAGAGTAAAGTTGTTTTTTAAGAAGAATGAGATGAGATTGGTGAGTGAATTTTGATCTTCTTTTGTGCTCGCGTTCGTACATTGCGTCAAAAAAAACATGACAAAGGAGAAAATAAAGCAATCAATGTCATTCTCGGGGGCTGTGCAGAAAAAATGCGTCATCACATCAACACTCATTTAGGACAAGAGGGAGGATATTCAATTATTTCCAACTTTTCCATTTGATTTCGACCGACGGTCAAACTTTGTTCGCTAACTCGCATAGAGCACTAAAATTTCAAAATATTTTTACATATTTCTACGTATTCAGTTATATAAATATTTCCCCTATTATATCAAAAATAGAGAAATTTTTTGCATGTTTTTTTTCAAAAATATACATATATTTTGTAAATTTTTCAATGATGAAAGAAATTTTTTTCTTCAAAGCCATTGGACCCCAAAAAACCAGAGAATTACAAATTTTTCGAAAAGTCTTATTTTTCATAAATGTTAAATACATATTTCAGGGATTTACATTTTCGTAAATACAATTCCTCCTTCTGTTTAAGACAAAGCCAGGCTGCTCTAATGTTATGCACGGTCCGCATAAATTCAAATACAATGTATTTACGCGATATATTTACATCCTGTCCAAATAAATCTATTTTCCATTGCAAAAATGCAACTTTATGTGTTTCAGAAATATTTTATTTGACACGTACAATTTAAACTTCAAACGTCACGTAAATTTCTGCAAGTTTATGAATACCCAATAATAAGAACTTTCGAAAGACGACTAAATCTACCCGATCTAGACTCTGACTCGTAGTTTCTGAAAACTTGTCTCAAGGAAAAGTCAGATTCACTCCCAGAACTTTTATTGACCACGCAAATTAATCAATATCACAAAGTCTGATTTTTCTGACAATCTCTCAATTAAATTCTAATTCATCCTGAATTTTTACAATAATTATCCAAAACGGTATCGAGTTTTCTAGTCTATAATTTTACATATAACGCCATAGAAATGTCTGCCAATTATTTTACAATTAAAATTATCTGTGTACATTTACGTCATAATTTAACAAGAACATTTCAGCGTATCAAAATTTAACGAAACAACATTTAACAAAATTTTATAAAATATCTGGTTTCACGTAAAAAATCCACCCAAATTTGCAAATTTATCAATTTTATACATACCCAACACCCAAGGTGTGAATTCTTTATTACTTTAGGGAACAATTTAAAAGAATCACAACCGCTATTTTTTTAATTGTAAATTCTTTCACACGACTCATTTTAAACTTAAAAATTTCCTATAATTTTACTAGTTTTTAAACAAGCATTAAACAATCATTACCATACCCCGGACAAATATTTTTTTATCCTACCCTACTCGTGTTGAGCTCAACATGAGTAGGGTAGGATAAAAAAATATTTTTCCGGGGTATGATCATTACGCTCAAGAGCAGAAATATTTCACGTACAAAAACTTTACAAACTTTATCAAATTTTATCAAATTTTCCCCCAAAAATACGTCGCCCGTATACAATTCCTGCATGAAAAAAATATACAAATTTCCCAAATTCCACGCCACCCGTGAGTACGCCGAATACGTATGTACGAGTTGAGACGTTGATCGAGGTGATCTCACACCGTGATTTATTTCCGACAACTTTCTCCACTTTCTCCTCCGATTATTATTTGCATCGTCTCGCTCACTCGCTTGCTTTCTCTCTTTCGCAGCCCGCTACTGGTTGGACAACGTGTTTTGTGACGGAAATGAGAAGAATTTGACAGAATGTCGCCACGACGGGTGGGGCGTGCACGACTGCACCGATGCCGAAACCGCCGGTGTCGTTTGCGCCAGAGAAATCCCGTCCGATGAAGAATTCACCTTTACAACGCCACCCCCACCCGTCCAAAAGTTCAAGAGGAAGAGGATCGAGGTCAGTGGAGCAAGTTTAATGGACATGAATTTTTTGAAAACAATAATTTACATGCTTCATAAATACTTGCATTTCCGAACACGCACGTGGCGCTACAATCTTTAGAGAAGCACGTATACACGTGTTAGCAATAACACGTGTTATTAATATGTCCCATGAGATTTTTTGACTAAAAATCAACCCAAAAAAGAGGATTATGTATTAAAAAACAAAATTAGCTCGGTAGCTCTCCTTATTCAAAAATTATAGAAAGTCAAAATTTCAAAAATTCCAATTCTATAAGACTTTCGACAACTTTTCTTTCAAATGGCAGAGCAACCGAGTTCATTTTATTTTTGAAATAATCCTAATTTTTTATTGGATTTCTGAATACAAAATTTCCATGATAATATTTCGCAAACTGAGGAAAAGCTGGTTTATAAATAGATCCACCGTGACGTGATATTGTAAATTCCCACGATACCGCTTTTCCAGTTTGATCATTAGTTTGCCATTTTCTCCCTGTGATTTCAGGAAATTGAAGTGAAACTTGCCGGTGGTCGGTTACCCAACGAAGGCAGAGTTCTCGTCAGGCTGGGAAAAACGGAGAGTGAGTGTCTCATCGAGATCTATCAGCGTATGCACTCCGATTTCGAGCAAATTGGTGTCAATCGATCACAAATTTAATTAGTATTAAATTTGCAAAAGACACGATCTCCCAATGCGAAAAGGTTTTTGCAGAGATATTTGCATCCGAAGAGGATAAAACGCGTCGATAAATTTTACATTTTCTAATAATTTACGGCAAGTTTTCTCCTCTTCGGATGTAAATATCTCTGCAAAACCTTTTCGCATGGGGAGATCGTATCATTTGCAAATTTCATGCTAATTAAATTAGTGACCGATTGACACAAATTTGCTTAAAATAGGTCAACATACGTCATTCGTAGTCTAAAAATGTGGTCACTGATTAATTAATTTCTTTAGAATGGGGCGTGATCTGCGGGGACGGGTGGTCGTTGCGCGAGGGTGCCGTCGTCTGTCGCCAACTGTCCCTCGGTTTCGCCCAAGTCGCCCCACAGACGGATTTCTTTGGAGGAAATCTCTCCTCCTTGGCGACCACGGGGGTGCAATGTGTGGGGGAGGAGGGCACCTTGAACGACTGTCTCCACCACCACGTCCCCCCCAACGAGACGGCCTTCTGTCCAGGAAATGGGCGCAACTTTGCTGCCGTCATTTGCACCGAGAGTGAGTCAGTTAGCTGGAGTTACATAAGTGGAGAGGAGGAGAAAGTTGTATGTTTTATTGCGCCCCGATCATGTCCACATGTTACGATTACGACACGATCAAAAATGTGTCACCAAAAACGGCTCGATTTCATTAGTGGGAGAACTACGCAGGGTTTCACCGTGTATGGCGACGACCTGCACGAAATGCATATTTCATCCTGATTTCGAGATACGTTAAGTGAGCAAAATGGGCGAAAAATGGGAAAAATCGGGGTAATTTGTCGATATAGCAAAAACCTGATTTTAATGCACGAAATGCAAATTTCTTCCTAAGTTTGGCGTGTACAAAATGTGTGCAAAATTCGAAAAATCTGGGTAATTTGTCGATATCTGTAGCGACGCCCTAATTTTTCTGCATTTAATGCACCCTTCTTCCTAATTTTGGAATACGTCAGTGGGAGAAATGGTAATTTGTCGATACAACTCCGCCCGAATTTTTATGCACGAAATGCACCTTTCAAGTGTTCGAAATGGGCTAAAATCCCTTCAAATTATTCGTCCTCCCACTTTCCCCGGAACTCTGTGTTATTGGTGTTCCATAATAATGGGATCTATTTACTCAGTTGGATGGGGAAGAGAAAGCGTGATCCATTTCATCATCATCACCGCTTCACTCACTTTCACTCCATTTTCACCTCGCACAAGTGGACAAACAATTCGCTTTTTATCTCCTCTCGCCCATATAAAATCGCTTTCATTCTCACCTCCCAATCTCCCCCGACTAAACCGCAGAGTGAAATTCTATCGTTTTTATTTATCCATTACGTAACTACTGGGCTGATAAGATGGGTGGGTTATCATCTGGTCAACCCAAAAAGTTAATGCCCCAGAGAGAGAGACACATGACGACATGACATGATTTCACTTAGGAAAGTAATTTCGTCTCGCGGGACCGAATCGGACGCCGAATTTTCGAAATCTGACTTATTTGTCTCAAAATCTGGATGAAATAATTCAATCAGCGTCTTGAAAATCGGGGGGTCGTCAAAATTTTGACCTTAACTGACATCACGTGACTGACACGTGTCCTTGATCTGGGCGTCTCATTTTAATCAGGACGAAATGCAATTGGTGTCTTGAAAATCGTCACAAAGACGGAATACTGACCCTGCATGGACAAGAGTGACATCGAAAAATTCCGTCTCATTTTCGGGTCACAAAGGTTGGTGGTGGTGACACGTGTAGTTGATGTGTGTCTCATTTTTCCCCCCTAGTGCTGCCTGACCTGGTGCCGGATGCGGTGGAGGTGCAGCGGTCGGCCTACTTGGAGGACAAACAGCTTTACTTTCTCCAATGCGCGATGGAGGAGAATTGCTTGGCATCCTCCGCCTACAGGTTTGGATGCAATATTTTATATAAAAAAAATCTCTATTTTTCAGATGAAAATCACATCCGGAAAAAATTGGCTCGTTTTTTCCTCTTCCTGAAAAATGCAATTCATTCCGCCCAAAAATACATATTTCAATTTGCAGAAAATCTCAATCTTGAAAGTGTACATAGAAATCCATCCCTTTTGCTAAATATTTCTGATGAGGGGAACATTATATGAAAACTTAACTATTTTAAATAACCTATAAAAAATAGACTGAAAAATTGTTTAAAATTATAGAGTTTCGTCCGCAGAAAAATATGTCAATTTTTAGTGACACGTTATGAAACTTTAACCAATTTTTTGCCAGCCTGCCTCAACAAAGAAATATCCACAGAAAAATAGTCCGAAATTCTTGTCTTTTCTGCCGCACAATTTTCGAGGACATCTTTACAATTGTTTAAAATAACAAAAAAATACAGAAAACAATTATCCACAAAAATTGTCCGGAATTCTACTACAGAAAAATATGTCAATATTTTCCCCTGGTCGATTTTCCTCCCTAACCAGAAACGTCCTCTATGCCCTACGTCCTTCTCCCCGGGATGACATTACGGAGTGTGGAAATTGGCGAAATGACCCGTTTTTTGTTGCAGGCAACAGAGCGAGAACCATTACGGTTGGCATTTGGAGACGAGACGGCTTCTCCGCTTCACTGCGAGGATTGTCAACTCGGGCAATGCTGACTTCCGTCCGGCCATCGCCAAACATTTATGGCAGTTCCATGCCTGTCACATGTACGTTTCAGCCACCATGCCTGCCTGCCACGTGTAGAGCGGATATTTCCATGACATTCCGCATACACGTCCTCCTCCCTCCCAAGTTGTAGTGGAATTACTCGGAATAACTCTAATCAAATAATCCACCCAGATAAAAGTGTCATCATCTCCTCGCGACGAGTCGTGTCTCATATTCTGTCATACGTTCAGAAATACTGGGCTCTTTTTTCTTCTTGTTCGGGAAACCTTGTCCCAATCAGTGTTTCTTTTCTTGCGGGTTTGCTGCATGCATTTCTTGGAATGGAAGGCTAAAAAGGCGAGAAGTGCAAGAAACTGCAAGAAAGTGCAAAAAAATATGCGCCATCCAGCCTCGCGCCATAAGAAGTAGCGGCGGGGCCGAGTTTCTTGCATTTTTTGCAGGTCAAAATAGATGCGATAAACCACTTTCTTGAGAGTTTGCTATTTTTTTCCGCTGCAAAGCAAGAAACGAGAGAAATTCGAGGTACAAGAAGCTGCAAGAAATGCGAGGTGCAAAAAATGCAAAAAAAATCGAGGTGCAAGAAACTGCAAGAAAGTGCAAGAAATCGAGCAAACCCGAAAGAAACGAAACACTGATTTAAATACATACGTTTTTAGACGGTGTAAATTGAATTTCTGAAAAAAAACAGACTAAGGAATCATGATTTCATACATGTTTTCTTTTTTTCTATTATTTAATCCGCTGTTGGCCGTCTTCCTTCCTGCGTGTCACATTTTCATGGAGAAAGAAACACGCACTTTCACTTTCTCTCTTTTTTCCCTTTCTATCTGGAGTTTGGCCAAATTCTACAGCTTCAAATTCTTCTCTGGTCTACCTTTTCTTACAAATTTTCGCGTTAGGCTTGTTAGTGACCTTTTCATCAGTGCCAGACTTCTGAGCAGGAAGTGAAATGCATTTAAGTCTGAATTTGAGGAAAGGCAAGTGAAGGGGAAATTTATCGCAGTCTCATTTTCCCCAGTTTCCCATTGTATGACTTCAATTTCATGAGATTTAGGATAAATGCAACTTTTCATATTTTAAAATTTATTTGATGCCATTTTAGAAATTTGTATTTAAAGAGATTCAAAAGGGGTGGAGTGAGATTAAAAATCTATCCCACAAACTCGCCATCTTGTGCAGGACGCATCGCCAAAATCGTTAAAATCAGCACATTTTTGATTAGTTCTCCGCTCTGGGAATTTCTTTTAAAATTCTGGATGACAAACAATTTGGACGCAATTCTGGACGTAATTTGTAGTCAGTGAATGAGAAGAATGGCGATGAGTTTTTTTTAACCCAGTTTTGATGAGTTCCAATTATTCTGAAGGCTTCATAAACTAGAGATCTCCTTCAAAAAGTCAATATCTGGAGTGTACATTTTTTTAAATTGACAATGCCCTGCTCTACAAAGTCGTCTTTCAGAATTTTAAAATAAATTCCCAGACCCGAGAAATGATTAAAAATGCACTGATTTTGACGATTTTGACGAAGAGTGCTACGCCAATAAACAAAATTTAATTCGTCTCTAGGCATTATCACAGTATGGAAGTATTCGCCGTATTTGACGTTTTGGACGCCCGAGGTCGCAAGGTTGCGGAAGGTCATAAGGCCTCCTTTTGTTTGGAAGATAATGAATGTGTCTCAGGCGGTGAGGCGAAAAAGTACGCATGCGCGAATTACGGGGACCAAGGGATCAGCGTGGGCTGTGCGGATATCTACCGGTCAAATATTGACTGTCAGTGGATCGACGTGACGGACGTGGCTCCGGGCATGTATACTTTCAAGGTAAGGTCATTCATATGACCTTTTTTACCTCGAAAAAAAATCGAACGTAATTTTCGGTCAATAAAATATCTAGCGACAAAGGAACTTAAATTTTTCAATTTGTTTTTTGTCCCCATGTAAACAAAATTGTCAGATAACCTCTCAGTTTTTTGTATCTATTTTATCTGAACGATCAGTAATAAGATCAGGGCATCCACAATTGCAAAATTTTGAAAATCAGGTCTCAAGTTTTTATTTAAATAATTTTAAAAAATTGTGTGGTAAAATATTTTCGAAAAATTAATTCTGACATGACAAATATGGTAAATAAATAGTGCTAAATTTGAACTTTTAAACGGGTTTTACAAAAGATTTTAAACCTGCTTTCTCTAAAATTTCCGGATTTTCCGATAAACCGGATTTTCATGCCCTAATTATGATCAACCACATTTCTTCTCTTTTTTGATAAGTCATAATAAATTACCATATTTTTCCACAGATCTCAATCAACGCAGAAATGAAAGTGGCGGAACAAACTTTCTCCAACAATGCCGTCACGTGTGCGCTGCATTATTCCGAAGCCGCCGTTTTTGTCACAAATTGCACCGTAACGCATCCCTATTAACGAACCAACGCTTAAAATACCGACACAGCCATAATTTCAAGTTTTTTATCACAAAACTTCACCAAATCGAGTTATTCAAATACACAATTTATTAAAAAGTCTTACTCAAATTTTACTGCTGATTATGTAAATTTAACTAATTATTACCAAATCCAGTAAAATAAAACACCAACACTGCCATAATTTTAATTATGTTAATAAATAAATGTATCCCAAAAATTGAATTACACAATTTATTTAAAAAATTTTGTTAATTTAACTCTTAATTATAATTATTTCCAATTATTACCATACCAAAGCCAGTAAAATATGTACCGACGCTGCCGTAATTTGAAGTATTTAAAAAATATCTAGCTTAAAACATCTATCAATAAAATATATATGAAACATCGAGCAATTTAAGTACATAAATTATTAAAAAATTTTGTTAACTTAACTCTTAATTATAATTATTTATCATTATTATCAAACCAAACCCAGTGAAATATGTATGTACCGAACACTGCCATAAATTTAAGTATTTTAAAAATAGCTGAAAAACTCCATCAATAAAACATAAATAATAAACCCAACTATTGCAAATGACTTCAATACATGAATTCTTCATAAATCTCGTTACTTTTAGCTTTAACAGAGTACTTAATGACTCATCGCCAAAACCGTCAAAATCAGCACATCTTAAATCATTCTCCGCCCTGGGAATTTAGTTTAAAGTTCTGGACGACATATTTGAAGTCAGTGAGTTGATTAAAATAATAGCGGTGAGTTGTTTAAGCCAGTTTCGATTAGTTCCAATTTTCCCGAGGGCTTCTTAAACTTGAGATCTCCTCCTTCAAAAACTTTCAAATTCTGGAGTTTATATTTTTGTAAATTGAAAACTCCCTGTTCTACAAATTCGTAGTCCATAATTTTAAGATAATTTCGCAGAGCGGAGAAATGATTAAAAATGTGCTGATTTCGACAATTTTGGCGTTTAGTCATACAATTATTAAGTATTTCTAATTGTTGCCTACATTTTTGCAGAATATTGACGTCCGTCAAATGGTGCTAAAATTTCTTTTGATTCAAAAAATTTCTAAAGAATTACTCAACATATTGTTAATTTTACTGCTAATTGTTGCCAAAATCTTTGCAAAAAACAGGCATATCTCTCTCCCTCCTCATAAGTGGTGCTACACAGTTTTTTTCTTGCAAAACTTTGCTACTACATATTCAAAAATATTGTTAATTCTAATTATTCTAATCATTGCTAATTGTTGCCAAAAATTTCTTTGCAAAAAGCCGACACTCACAAGTGGTGCAAGTTTCTCTCATGTAATTGGACAAGCTATCCTGGCCATAATAATGATGACACCCCGCTTAGCTTTTTTGTCCTTGGTCGGGATTTCTAGTCCCAGCTCAGAGCCACCAAAGAAGTAAATCGATCTTGACTTTTCTCTTCTCTCTCTCAAAAAATACTCGACTTACGCTACACATACTTCTTCTCAGGGGCCCTGTAAAAAGCACGTGGGGAAAATACACTATTTTGCAAATTTAAATTTTGAACTATTTTGAAATACACCAAAAATTATCCTACTCTGTTTTGGATTTTCAGACAAAAAGACGACAATCTCTTCACCAAAGAAAAGGCAGCAGTCCAACGAAAATACATTTTGTTAAGAAATTAGCTGTCAATTACTCTATTTTAAAAAGTTAATTAAATAAATTAACGCATTCTTTGGTAAGTTTGTAAAATAATTTTGCAAACTTTTACCACACAAATAAACACCTTGATCGCAGCAAGTTTTGGCAAAATTCGGATAATTTTCTCCAGAAATATTTTTAAAATTCTGTAAAATTTTGTTAGTTTACAGAATTTACGGATTTTACAATGTTACCAACACCTGCGTAAATTGTCTCACTACTGGAAAGTTAATTTCTTCGTAAAAAACGTGCACATAATTTCGTTCAACTGCTGCTTTCTCCATGAACATATGCAAATTTTCGTCTTTTTTAGGACGTAATAGTCAAATTTGGACGGTCCAAAATTTCTTAGTTTAACCATTTTGACCACCCTGGTCGAATTATATTTTTAATGTATTTTGACAGCGATGGAAAGCTAATTTCTTCACAAAAAACTTGTACACAATTTCATTCCACTGCTGCTTTCTCCTTGTAAATAGCTCACCTATGACAGTCCAAAATATTGTATTTTCTACTAAATATTTTCCCTATTATATTTCACTCCCTCTCCCCAAAAAAACTGCCACATCCTGCCCGCACCTGCCCCCGCTGGGAGAAAGAGGATGAGACGAAGAAACTCTGATTGTGATAAATCTTCATTTTCAATCCACTCCGTTTTCTCGAGGAGTTGCTGCTTCGAGGCGACACGACAGTGACAGAATGTTATTACGCCGCCCATGCATCCAGCCAGCAACGATACGGAGATATCTTCTTACCCGGATTTTTTGACCCCGTCCCGTGAATCAGAGGGCATTTTAGGAAATAATAAAATCCATATGGAAATCAATTGCGTGGTCGGCTCGTATTTATTTACCGGGTAAAGTGAAAGTGATGCAATACTTGGGACATGACGCCGTAGGTGGAAACATGACCAACTTTTTATTCCACCAGCAGCACCAGCAGCACGACGAGAAAGAGGAGGAAGAGAAAAGCTTATTTGCTGTCTCAATATGCTTCACAGGGTTTCGTAATTCAATTTTCGAACTTGTGGTTTTTTTGTTGGTATAAAATTGTCGTTTTTAATTGACTATGGAAAAGCTAATAGCTTAAAAAGTTAATTTCCTCGAAATCCACAAACTAATATTTTCAAGCAAATTATAAACGGAGGTCTCCTAGCATATACTCGCAAATTTTGAGCAAAATAGGTCACAAATTTGATTAATATAAAATTTGCAAAAGTTTTGTTTTCGCACGTTTGATCCAGATATTTGCACCCAACGAGGAGAAAACGTTAATTTAAAAAATGGAAAATTTGTCAACGTTAGAACGCGTTTTCACTTCTTCGGATGCAAATATCTCTGCTAAACATGCCCAATGAGAGATCATTTCCTTCCCAAATTCCATACTAATCAAATTCGTAATCTATTGACACTGGTTTGACCAAAATCTGAGAGTATACGCTGGGCGACTTCCATTTCCATTCAATTTTTAACCCTATTCTGTGAATTTGTTGTTTTAGCACTTTCATTTTTACACGAAAATTTGTACCATAATTATTTTTTTTACCATGTGTGTCGTAGTCACCCTATGACAAAAAGTTAGAGAGAAAGCGTGTCGCTTTGAAATGTAATTCGCCTTTTTTCACTAATTTTGCGCTAAAGTTAGTCCACTGTGCGGTAATTTTGCACCATGTTCATGTGGTGGTCACCCTGTGCGAATATTAGAGAGAAAGCGTGTCGTCGTCCAATTCGTCCTTGTAAGTAGAGAGAAAGTAAAGTAAAAGTCGTCGTTGTGATCCCAAATCCCAAGATGCGCCGGGATGCCGTTCCTCCAGCCTTTCTCTTCTGCCATACACACAGAGTGAAAGTATGTATAAGCAGGAGCAGAAGTATGCCGTGAAAGCCGTGTCGGAGCTGAGGGAGGAGGTGGTCGCCTCTCATGTAATCAAAAACAAGCTTCTTTCTTCCTCTCCGAATCTCTCAACATTTCCATCTCAACCAATCTCATTTCGCATGCTTCAGGCCCACACCAGTCCCTCAAAGAAAACACAATAGCACACAAAGCACACTAAATAATGGCGAAAATCGATTACAAAGTACAAAGATAGATACAAATTTGAGAAAGAAAATCGTGGTCATAATTAAGTGGAAAACTAGCATCCATAATACGCTAAATAATGTCAAAATGAAAATTTGTAGCGAAATTTTTGAAAGAAAATAGTCATAGTTAAATTCGTGGCCAGAAATTCGCGAAAAAGTGAATAAAGCGAATCCAAGATTGGTTACGAATTATTTGTTGAATTTATTTTAAAAATACAAAAATTGGTGCGTAAAAAAAACCTTGGGTTCGAAATTTTAAAATTCCCAAATTTCCAAGTCAGAATTTCATATTTTTTAAGAAATATACGTGCAAATATGGTCAACTTGCTGTAACAAAGTGAAACTGGCCGTATGTCGTAAAACGACCCATTTCACTGTTTACTTTCTCCACATTGTTTTCCTATTGCCCATGTTTTCTACTTCATAATAACTGAAATCTTGTAGGAAATATGATGCAAAAGATTGCGAAATATTTACCACTTTTCCCAGGAAAAACGCCTCTTTATCTATCAATATTCAATATAAAGAGACACACATCCGTCTAAAAAATAACTTTACACGACATTTATGTACATACGTCTAGATCTTTCGCGAATAGGAAAACACGAAAAGAAGTATGAAATCCGTTGGAGGAGGAGAGAGGAAAACAAGACCAGGGTTTTTAGTAGGCGTAGCGACTCAGTGTTTCGGATGGAAGTAACCACGTGCAAAAAATAAGGGGAAGAAAGTGTTTTTTTTTGCACGTAAATATTTTGAGCTGCAAGAAATGGAGTGCGCAAAAAACTATGCACGTGGCTAGATGGAGCATATTTCTTGCAGTTTCTTGCACCTCGCATTTCTCACATTTCTTCCCTCCAAGTGCAAGAAACGTATCTAGCAAACCCACAAAAAACGAAACACTGGGAACACTGAGAATAACTATATAGAGAGGAAAACACGACCAGGTTTTTTAGTAGGCATACACTCACACGGGGAGAAAGCGTGAGTGAAAGTCAGAGTTTTTTTTACGGAAATGACAACCTTTTAGAAGAATAAATGAAAGCGTGGTAAGTAAGCAAGTTGGGCCACCGAATTTCCGTAAGGTTTCAAATTCAATTCGCATCAGAGAAGCTGAATAGTAATCCAATTCGATCCTCTTCTCTGCTCGGCAAAGGCTCGACTTTCACTCTTCTCTTCGCTCAGCAACTAGTTTATTGAAATGCAAGGAGAGAAAGAGAGAGGATGTATTTGTAGGGTGTCAATTAACACAATTCTCTGTTCAGTCCCCCTCCTCCCCCCGCTATTTCTTGGGCGGAGATGAAGTTTCAATAGTCTTTTCTTGTACAGTTTCGTTCGAGAAAGAGGTGCATGAAGTGAAATAGTGACGAATCATGTATTTAATAAACATATGAATTTCGGTTATTCATAATTATGTGGGGCGTATACTGAATGTCTTATTGATTTCGTATCTCATTTAGGATTGCGAAATAATCTTGCGGAATAGGAAAATTGATTGCATTATGTTTTCCCAGCAAAAAGTTTTGCTACTAAATTTCGCAAAATTTATCATCTATTTGCGATGAGAAGGTTGGAGTGAATACTTGTGTGTCAATTATTAGTCAAAAGTGCCAGTTTTGCACCATTTTCGAGTACTTATTTTATCAGAATAAAATATATTGGGGGTATTCCTTAAGAGTTCGTATCGTTAGTAACGTCAGCAAACGAAGTTCGCAAGTTCGCAAAAAAATTTTGCATGAAAATTCATTTTGCGAATTTACAAATCTCCAAGGCTAGTACTTAGTTTGCAAATTTGTTTTCAAAATTGCGATTTAAACTCGTAGTGAATTATTTCGTCTCCTACCAAATTTGAGGTCCTTGACGACACTGGAAAATGCCGAAAAAGTCTCAACTTTCCCCCCTAACTTTCCCCTGCCTAATACAAATAATAATGATTGCATTTCACTCATCTACACGATTCTGGAATGGATGCAAGTGAAGTTTCTATCTGAGAATCGAAATTGATTGAAATCTGGGACAAAAATAAATGAGTCCTCTTCCAACGTCGCCCTCTCAGCACGCACGTACGCCCAATTTCTTACCACATTTCCATCCATGTGTTCACCTCAGTGTTTCGTTTGCTACATTTCCTGCACTGCGAAGCAAGCCACGCCAGAAATCCAAGAAGCTGCACGAAAATACAAGAAATTGCGAGAAATATACGCCATTTAGTTTCTTGCGCCGTGCATTTCTTGCAGGTCAAAACAGCTGCAAAAAAACCACTTTCTCTCCGTTATTTCTTGCAAGTGGTCACTTCCACCCGAAACACTGGTCCACTTCCTCCACCCCCACAATCTAAAGCCCCCAGTCATTCCATGTACAACCCCACAAACTAAACTCTCATCTCTTTCTTCTCTCAAGTGTTTTGTTGTTGTTCTTGTTTTTGAGCCACTTTACACCTCAAGAGGCATGAAAATTCTGCACTGATTCCACTCTCACGAGAGTTTCTCATGATAAAAGTTTACATTTTCAAATCATTTCACTTCTCGAGTCGAGCGTGTAAAAATCTTGTTGAAAACGTGAACATTTTTTATTAGAGTACAATTTTGAACGGCTTTTTTTCCTGCAGAAATTTGACCACATTTTCTCCAAAAAAACTTTACGCAGAAAATTATTTAGCAAAAAACTATAATTTGCACACACAGTTCTGCAAAATAAAACCGATAGAAATTCCGGGCAGGATTATTTAGCCAAAATTTGTAGGATAAAATATCCATCCAGCTTTTGCCAATTAGTGCAGAATTCGACACAGTAGGTGATTTCATCATACCTTTATGGAGGACCCCTCGTAATAAATAATCCCCTTTCTCCTCGTCCTTGTGCTAATTAACCTGCCTGGAACTCTATTTGACCAGACGCTGATTGAATAATTGAACCAGTAAAAGGAACAAACGTGTCGCTACACAAATACATAAATTCGTGATGACTTTCACTTATCAAAATCATCATTCCTCGTTCCTCCTCCAGGTGATGAAATGATTGGATTTTTTGGCAGGTCGGGCCAAACGGATGTCACCTTTTCATTAAACTTGCATGGGGGCAAATTGAGACGGCGTCCTCCCCTCCGTACGGTCCTCCTTCTCATTTCTAAGGTTTCACTCAAACTTGTTGACAATCACTTCAATCAAAACTTGAACCCTATCGCAGACCTGGAGTCGTGTCGTAATTAATTCAAAGTGGTCCCAACAGGCGGAAAAGGCCTGATCCACACCACTTTCAGGCTTGTACATACTCACGCTTTATTTATTTATTTGGATACCGCATACCGTATGATGTAAGTGACCACGTTTACTTGCTTGTCGTCAGTCCACATGTACGTATTTGTGACCACTCGTGGGGAACATGACATTGATTTTGACCCGTTAAAGTAAAGTGATTACAAAATTATGACCTACTTACGTCAAATTTGCTAAGCTGCAGTGTATGTAATTAATTTCAGAGTGATTTTCGCGATAATTTTCCTACTCGCTTATCCAGACTTGGGATGACATCGTTTCTCCAGTGTTTCGGGTGAAAGTAACGACTTGCGCGAAATAACGGGTAGAAAGTGGTTGCTAAATATTTTGACCTGCAAGAAATTTAAGGCGCATGAAACTAAATGGCGCTTATTTTTTGCAGTTTTTTGCACCCCGCATTTCTTGCCTTGCTTGCTTTTCAGTACAAGAAATGCAGCAAATCTGCCCAAAACGAAACACTGCCTTTCCCCCGAGCCAGCATACATAGATAAACACTTAATTAGTCCACGGTGAGAGAAAGTAAGCCACCACCACGACCACCATCACTCTGTGTCTGTGGTAAATAAATAGTGGACTGAATTATTAGTGTAGAGATGATATCTGTCTCTCTTCAGGGAAAAATGCACATATTTACTCATCCAGTTTCTCTCCCTCAACAAGTCGTACACCGGTTCAGTCTCGTACGTACGTACATAATTGCACAAAAAGCAGTACAACGACCCACTCGGACAGAAGAGAGTGGGTCGAATTGCCTCGATAAGATCACATAATATTTAATACGTAACGTATGTTGATACCCGGGTACGAATTTTTGTGTTCCCTCCAGATGGTCACATTCTCCTAAAATATGCGTTTTCCGTCCATCCATTACGCACAGCCCTCTTTCACTTTCACTCTAACAGGATTATGTACCTACCATTTTCCAATAGTTCGAAGCCGTAGAAATTTTCCATACAGATTTTTTTTTCGTTTTAGAAGAGAGGATTATTTCCATCGCATTATTTTGCATTGGACTGGAATGAAATATGTAAAAAGTTGCTAAAAGATTTGCAAATTCTAATTCAGTAGAATTTCGACTTAATATATTTTTCATGAGGGGAGAAAGCAGCCAGCACGTGGTCAGTGGGCGAAATTCATGCAAATAAGCTTTGCACAAAATGAATTTTTTGTTCGAAAATTAAAATATGAAAAGTATATGAAAGTATTAAGTATGAAAATTTATATGAGACGAATGAGATGAGATTAAATGAGAAAGTAATGAGCACTTGGTCACGATTCGTGCGAAATTCATATGAAAAGCGTATGAAAAATGAAGTTTTTTTTGCACACCATGAATTTTTTGTTGAAACATTAAAATTGGTATGAAAACACCTCATGAGTCATACGCGAAATTTTTAACATATGATGTATTTAAAATAACGTAACGTATTTACGAACGTAACGTATAACGTATGATAACGTATTTAAAATATGCAATGAGTTTCTGAAGTTTTTATTCAAAAAATAAAATAAAAATACATCGTATGAAAAAATGCGTATGCAAATGAGATCAAATTCACACACAATAATGTTTTATTCCTCCCTTTTAAAAATTATCATCCTCTTTATTATCCTTATGATTAATTTACTGATATAAAATCATACCTAGTCTTCCCACACATAGTTATTACTCATTTATTAATTAGTATTTAATATTAAGATTAATTAACTTGATTAAATATAACGATAATTATGCCAAGTGGGGTTAAATAATAATAATAATAATTCATTAAAAGACACTATATTTGCATTCGTAATTCTAATTTATCGTGGTTTGTGAGACCCTGCAAGGTCCGAGATCATTCCACATTCGCTAAATATTTTTTTACACGTGCACAATTTACATACTTTACAAGTCTTCTCCTTCCACAAAAAGACATACATGTCGTGTCATTTAAGTAATTAATTATGCTTACAATTAACCGTACATTTTTTTAATTAGAAAAATTTTGTTAGACAGAGAAACAAAAACATTGGCATAATTCTAAACACAAAAAAACAATAAAAAAGTAGAAGAATTCAATTTTGCAAAAGCACGTGGCGTCACAAAGGTAAAATTTTACTCCGGACTTTGAAATTCAATTAACAGTACATTTTAATTGGAGAAATTGACCCAAACAGAAAGATTCGCATATATAATTTTACACAGAAAAAATAACAATAAACAATTTAATTTCTGAAACACACGTGTCATCACAAGATAAAATTTCACTCATTCTCTCGCTACTATTTGGGACTTCCATAAGCTACGTGACGTGTCTTATTTTTTTTATTATATTCTTAGCCCCAATTAATTATTTGCAAATAGAAATTTCCAGTACGAATTTCCACCCAGGAAATAAAAGTGAAAGGTGAAAAAAGACATAGCCAAGAAGATATAAGAGTGGGAAATGGGGGGGCAATATGGCATTAAATTCGTCTCCTTATCCACTGATAACTAACTACACTGCCCCCACGCTTCCCACGACATGACACGATATCCATTTAATAGCACAAGAAGTAAGAAGTATTTTTCGTCACAAATTAGAAACTCGCGAATTTTATTGAGCTTAAAAATGTAAGAAAGGAATTTTCACCTATATTTATTTTTATTATGTCAACCTTCGTCACCATTTTGTCCCCTCCATAATTAACGCAAGAAAAGATAAGCGTCCTACACACGCGAACGAAGAAGAACAAGATACCCGTCGATTTCTAAGATAAGTCTCGTCTATATGAATAATAATAATAATAATAGTCTACTCTTTACAACTATACTTTCCCTCATATTAAATTGGCCCATCTTATCAAGCGTTCAAAATTAATGAGTTATTATTTTTAGTACAGTTTACTTATGTAAGCCTCGTCTTTAAGTGTGTATAGTCAGATAAAAATTCCCTACCTACCATATCCACGCACCATTTTCTTCGTCTTCATTTTTTATTCCTTTCTCCGCTATGTATCTACATACACATACACGTGGAGGGCCTAAATACGTATGTATCGTACGTCTAATCGCATCAGTATTTGCTTGGTTGCATGCCCGTTACGAAATTAGTATGCACTATGTAATAAGATTTAAATACGTAACGAAGGGACCGTGCAGAACGGGCGGATAAGATAAGCTCCTCCCGATAAGCTCCCGTATTAAGCGAGGAGGGGTAAAAAAAAGAGAAAAATTTTACACTCCATCCTTTCCGCACGACCCCTCCTCAAACTGGCATCTGGAAGAACCGGAGTCGTAAAAACACATCACTTTTGCTACCTAGTTATGCATTTACGTTGCGGTGGATTCGTATTTTGTGAAATTTGTCCATTTTTCGGTATAAAAAAACATTCGAAAATTATTTGCATTATTTCAAGACTTAAATTACCTCTGCCCATTCAAAAAGATCAAAATGGCACGAAAAAAAATCGGGATTTAACTTAACAAACTTTTCAAATGTGTTGTTACCGCTCTGCGAAATTTGTCCATCGAGATTTTCAAAAATCCGAACAAAAATTCGCATTATTTCAAAAATAAAATTATCTATTCAAGATCAAAATTCGGTTGAGACGGTGTAACAAAAAGCAAATCACGATTTAGCAAACTTTCACTTTTTGAAGAGTAACCTGAGCTAATTTTTGGGGAATAATCACAATTTTTACTCGATTTTTAACCAAGAAATTTAATATTTCCTAAACTAAAAACACCTCTTTATACGAATCCACCGCAACGCACGTCTACATTTTGGGAGGAGTGGAATGGCTGGGTTTGGCGTTAAAAAAACAGAAATATCATGACAGCTTAACTAACATTACGAGGAGATAAATATGACGAGGATTTCTACTAGTCTTAACCTGATGATTATGATGATATAGTTTGTCAGTAAGTGGGGGAACGAAAAATGGGGGGAGGCAGGTACAAAAAGTTGTGCTGGTGTAATGGAAACTCACAAGACTGACGAGAGAGAGAGTAACAAAGTGTTGATAAGATGACACTCCGTCCGGGGGATGAAGGGGACGGGGGACGAGGAGAATTAGCATGTCTTTTCATCTTTTTCTGCACAAAATCAACTTTCCCTATTTTGCAGGACACTACTTCTAGACTTCTTCTGAAAAAAAGGACACTTTTAGGTACACGTTCAGATCAGAGTTCTCATATTTTATTTTCCAGGGTAGTTTTTGCTATCAAGTTCGAAATTTCCTCAAAATTAAAATTTTAATGCACGAGTATTTTGCAGGTCAATTCAATTTTTAATTCACTTCTTGAATCATCAAAATTCAAACACATTAAAATTATTACTAATCTGATTTTTGGAAATTTCGAACTTGCACAGCAGCAAAAACTACCATGGGAAACAAGGCTTAATCAGATGCTTGGGGCAAATTGAGACGACTTACTTTCGCCTTTCTCCTGAAGGGGAAGCAGCCCTTGGTTTCGGGGGGAGGGGGGCAGTCTAAGAGGAGATCTGGCGTCGGTGTGTTGTTCGGCCCGAACACGTTCAGCTCGCGAAAACAGTTCGTCTCCACCATCTACAGAAAAAGGAATTGGCGAATTTTATAGGATGCGTATTCAGAGACAACTTTCGCAAATTATGCCAAGTTTTGCACCCCATTTCGCTAAACTTTTTCTTCAAAACTGTGCCATTTTTGGGTACAAATTTACCCAAGAAGTTTACTAAACATGTTTTTATTTCGCAAAATGACTTTGCAAACTCCATTAGAAGCCATAGAAAGTACAGATAATCCATGGAAATCAAATCAGAAAAGGATAACTTGCTATTTTTAAGTCTTTGCTAAATCATTTTACACATTTTTGGGCTTCACAAATTTGCTAAATCAGTTCCCCTGCTAAATATGTAAGACGCTGTGGTGAGTACGCCTAATTTACATAAGCACGTACCTCATCCTGCCAGGGAATGGAGACAGAACCCGTGTTAAATTTTGTGTAGAACGAGTCATCCGTCGCGTCCAGGTTGACCCCTTTCACGGTGGAAAACTGCTCAATGTCCAGCACATCTTTCGCATACACGGCGTGAGGCTGAGGAATAACAATACACGAATCAAAATCCACACAAAAATCAAATCACATACATAAACCTACTGTTCCCAGAGTATAAATCCAGGTCGAACTTTTCCTATTTCGATATCTGAGGTTGCCGGATAACTTTTAAGATTTAAAAATGAATGGAAGGGAGCGCACACACATTTTTGGTACAAAACTGTACTCAAAGTAAAAAGTTTGTGACTGTAATACCAGCACTATATTTAACCAATTATTTCGGTAATTGGTGCGAAAAAATCCTGTTCAATACCTTACAAAGTGTTGACGTCAAAGTGAGTGCGCAATTTCAATTTTGAATCGTTTAAGTTGTTTTGAGTTACTGTAATACCAGCACTATCTTTAAGCAATTATTTCGCTAATTAAAGTCAGTAGAAATTGTTTTTCACTTTGCAAAATTTGTCAACTTCAAAGTAATTTCACAGTTGTAAATTTGAACTGATTAAGCCGTTTTGAGTGACTGTAATATCAGCACTATCTAAACCAATTATCTCCGTAATTAGTAATTATGCTCATCACAAATTACAATTACATTACAACGTTTTTAGAATTTGGTAGAATTTTATTTTAAATAAAAAACGTCATGGTCTATGTGTTTGTCCCCTCCAGCTATCTTTATGCTGTTTTCAATGCTGAAAAGTCTTATGGCATTCAGGTCGAACTCAGCCCTATCTCGGTTCGATCTGGATTTATACTCTGCTGTTCACCCAATATTAATAGTCTCAATTCCTTCCAAAATTTTCTCCGAGGTAATTTTGTTGTTATGTAATTGCTTATATAAACCAGGAAACCTCTCAGATTTTTTTGTGACCATTAATCAGAGAGCGGAAATGTATTTTTTTCAACTTTTTCATTTGACGACGACCACGGTCAAACTTTATGCGTGGGTTCAGTAACTCGCATAGATTACATAAATTTCAAAATATTTTTATATATTGTTACGTATTTCTAGGTTTTCAAGAATTATTTCAAAAATACGGATATCTTTTACCTATTTTTTAAAAATAGGGATATATTTTGTAAATATTTCAAGAATTGTGAGACGTTTTTTTTGCTCAAAGAAATTGGACCGCAAAAAATCCAGAGTATTAGAAGATACAAATTTTGCGAACATTTCCTATTTTTATGATGTTTTTCGTACACATTTCGCAAATGTTTCACGGATTTTTCGTAAATACATATGCGCCCTCTGCTATTACGTAATATTAGGTGAAGGATAGTGGACTAAAAATCCTTACGTCAGGAACGAACGGGGGGTCGACCAGGCCGGCCTCTAACCGTTTCCAGTTGATGGAGGCGAAAAAGGAGTGCTGCTTCACTTCAGAGGCTCCTCGCCGACCAGAATTACAACCCAGGCGCTCCTTTGGAGATTTCTTTAAAAACTAGACAAAGAAACCCATGGAAATTTAATGATTGACGAGCAGAGTATAAAATCCTTGCTTTCTCTCTCGCAAAACAACGAGAAAAAGAGAGAAAGCTAGAGCACAGCGATATCCATCATCCGCCAGTTTGCCTTTTATTTACTAAGGATTTACCCAACGACTGACAGGGTTCTCCCAAAAGATAAAAAACAACAGATTGGTAAAAATGAAAAAAAAATTCGCAAAATTTTTAGCAACATGTGTCGCTATTTTTAAACCTTGGGAAAAAACTGATTAACAATTTTGTAAATTGACAAAATTTTTAACGACACGTGTCACTTGGCAAAAAAAAAATTAAAAAATTCGCAAAATTTTAATGACACGTGTCCCTTTTTTAGGGCTTTGGTAAAAACAGATTGACAATTTCAAAATCCTCAAAATTTTTAATGACACATAAATACACGTGGGCTTTTAGTCCTTAAAATTTAACGCAGAAAAAAGGATTGTAAAAAAACGAAAAATTTCTTTCCGCCAAATTTTTAACGAGACATATGCCTGGCGTTTTTCTGCCTCGATTTAAAATCTTTTAATAGGAAAACAATAAAGGTGGAAGTACATAAAATCACATTAATGACTCGAATGCCTCATTATTTACTGGCTGGGACCAATATTGAGATTTCCACGTGCATTTTTTTACCCACTTAGAAAATGACAATAAATTCTAGAAACTGTGACAATAAAACCCACCCAGGCTCAAACCCTGCGTTGTGCTGTATCTCCGGTTAATTTTATTACTCACCAATTGGCAAAGATTCTTGGCTTCATCACAGAAACGGGACGAGTAGCGTTCCTGACTGTAATAAAAACCCAAAATGTGCCTCATATTAAGAACAATCTTGGTCTCAATTGCTTCGACTTAAGCCTACGGGAAGGATTCCATCAACTTCTTTTGTTACCCCTCCACCCCCGCAAGCTTAAAGTGAGCTCAACCCATAGCAAAATTCACCAGGAGAAATAATTCGCACATTTTTCTGCAAAATCAGAAACTATGTGCAATTCTTCTCCCTAAACTTTTCCGAAAACAAATGTAATTTTTCTGCATAATTATCTATATGTACAAATTTTCTGCGAAGATTCTGCAGAAAATTGCGTGAGCTCATCCAGTATGAAAATCGACTAGTCGAAAAATTCGCAAATTTCTCTGCACACAATACTCTGTATCTAAACTTTTCCGCCGAGTGGAAATAAATAAATTTGCCTCAGAATGAAGCAGAATTAATTATGTAGAAATTCATGGGGGATAGATCGCTAAGGGGCAAATTGGTATCAGATCGTATGACTTACTCCTCCTTAACTCGGCGATCGACCTCTTCTCGCTTCACTTTCTCCTTCCTGGCACGAAACGGAGCGGCTCCCTCGATCATTTCGTACAGCAAGCAGCCAAATCCGAACCAATCGGGGGAAAAGGTGTACCGCTCGTTGTCAATTACTTCGGGGGCTGCAATTTTGGGGGACACTTGTAAAAAAATATTCAGGGGAGAAGGTATGATGGTGTATTTACCCATATAGCCGACCGTGCCGACGCGACCGCGGACCGTTTCGCCCTCCGGGACTTCTATGGCAAGGCCGAGATCGGAAATTCGGACGTGGCCATGATCGTCAAGGAGGATATTTTCAGGTTTACAGTCACGGTACACGATCCCCATTTCGTGCAAACTATCCAAACCTAAGAGCACCTGGAACATGGCAAAGGTCGGTTTTTTAGGAAATTTTATTTACTACAGACACTTATCAAAATTGTCACATGATTGATAAAATCTCAATTTATGAAATGGCAACATTCAAATTTTATGAAAATTTTATATTAATCAAATTCCCTAAACCAAACTCTTCTAAATCTATCAAACCAGGTCAGGAAAAGTGATGCCCAAATTGCAGAAATTTACGGATTTTTCAATGTTACCAAGGCCTTCGTGAATTACCGCAATAATTCCTTGTCAATATTCTTGAACTTAAACTATCCATTTTTACTTGTACTAAATTAAGAAGAGTAAAATATCACGTGTTTTACCTCAGCCGCGTAGAATTTGGCCCTGTCCTCATCAAAGCCGGGTTCCGCGCCCATATTGTAAATGTGGAACTTAAGGTCGCCTCCGTTCATGAGGGTGAGGACGAGGCAGAGCGAGTCCTTCGTTTCGTACGCGTATGCGAGGGAGACGACAAATCGAGAATTTATCTTTTGCAAAATTTGCTTCTCCGTTAAAACCATCGCCTCGCCGCGACGCTTTTTGATCCGCTTCTTCTCCAGTTTTTTGCACGCGTACATTTTCCCTGTCGCGCGGACCTGGCAGGCGCAAACCTCCCCGAACCCGCCCTTCCCGAGGACGCGGTACATCCGGAAAGTCTTGTGAGTCACGGGCAGGCTGGACAAAAATATGGTCAATAAAAATAAATCAGGGCATATTCACGCGGTCTCAAACTAAAAAGAGCACGTGTCAAAATCAAATGGTGTGAAATTGGCGTGCCAAATAATGGTGTGAAGTTGGCGTGCCAAAATATGGCATACCAAATAATAGCCTGAAATTGGCGTAAAATTGGCGTGCCGAATAAATCGCGATAAAATTGGAAAACCGAAATTATTATATTGAGACTTCTATTTTACACCATTTTATATGTCAATTTTCGGAAACATTCATAAATTGATTGGAAAAAATAGCGAAGAAAGTTGATCCTTACCTTTCTAGCCACTTCCACTGGAGGTAGCGATGGAAGTACATGGACTGTTCGAATAGGCGGAAGGGTTCGTAAGCGAGGAAGGTTTTCATCTGTCTCGTGCATTCCATGAATTGCGCCTTCGTCCCTGTGTGAAGCTGACATTGTTCGATCAACGACCTGTCCACCAGCTTCACCGGCTCGGGACACTTCATATCAAAGTCATAACATCTCTTTACTCTATCCTTCCCATAATTAATTAACTAATTACTACTCACATTCTCAGCAAGGAAAGTATTGTAGATTGACTCCGCCAACTCAGGGCGTCTCTCGTCCAACTCGATTTCATATTTCTCCTGTAATACGACAAATACGAGGTGATGTAAGAAATCGAATAAAAGGCATCTGTTAAGGAGGAGAGCTTCGCCACCTGGCCGTACATATTTTCGTACTATTCACACTCACTCAAAGGGGCAAAAAACAGGGTAAAAAATCAATTTTTCCCGTATTCAGACATTCACTGATGACTGAAAATCAAATTTTGGTCAGATTTTGAAAATTCTTGTACTATTATAAATACTTCCAGATAGTTAATACTTTCTCATATTGATATTTATTAAATTTTGATTTCTGGAGAAAATTTCTAGTTACTGAAAGCTAAAAAATCCCAAGTTTGATATTGAGTATAATAAACCAACTGCCTGGAAGTGCAAGGATTCTCAAAATCTGAGAACAAAACATTTTGTAGAGGTTTAAAACACGGGCTTTTTTCGGCTTTTGAGGCCGCGTAGCTGACGCAATTGTGGCCAGAGTCCAACCACGTGTTTTTTAGTAAAACAGGGCGTTTTTCGCCTTTTCAGTATATGTAACTGGCCATGGAGTCAAACCACGTGTTTCTCTTAGTACTAAACTTGTGAACAAGGTATCAAGATCTGTTACTGTCAAATGACGAAGCTCTCCTTTCCTCCTTAATGATCGTCATAATCATGCCGGCATATGCAAATACTTACCACGGCGTCTAGGAAGCAATTGCAGATGTGATAGTGGGGGTTTGTGGCTTCACAAAAGGCTCGAAATAACAGCAGACCGATCGGCTGCTGGTCCACGACGTAGCTGTAGGACGCATCTACAAATCAGAGAGAAAACTAGATGAGCACAACACCTTCTTTCCATCAATTTCCTTGCATAAATAAACAGCTCTGGTCAAAGTGTGTGGAGTTTGTTGAAAATTTTAGAGAGCTGGTTATTATTATTCGTCTCAAACAAGTCTCTTCTCTTCTTATCGACGGCGAGACGAGACGAGCTGAGTCAAAAGTTAAATGTGTACTACGAAAATAGAAAAAAGAAGAGCTAAATAGATTCGCTCAGAAATTAAATGGGAGAGCCAGCGAGCATACATTTCACAAAATTCCGAGGGGATGGGCCACCACATTTCGCTAAATACTTGATATGCCCCAAAATCTGCATTTTTACCCCCAGAAATAAATCAGGGGGTCTTCATATACACTGAAATCAGGGGACAAAGTTGGCCAAATATAATTCTGGCAAAAATTTAACACAATTGGCATCCTAGAGATGTCCCATTTCGTTCATGAATTTAACGTATATCTAAAAATATGAATGATATCTATATTATCGCAGAAAAATCAGTTAAAAAGATCAATAAAACAGTAAAGTTGGACATTCCGTGGGAAAAATTAAACCAAAATTAGTATCATCAATGTCCCATTAATGAATTAACTTATCTCAAAGTCTACATTTTATGACAGAAAAATTCATTAAAATTCGCCAAAAACGGCCAAACCGGGGGGTAATTCTTCTCCCAAACAATTCTTCTCTACACCCCACACCTCATTTTTTTCAAAATCAGACTAAAATTTCACAAAAATTCCATATGTGCTCCTTCGGAATTATTATGGCCACGTGAAATTAGTGGGTCACCACCACCACATCATCGCCCACCAATATTTGTCTCATCACACATACATACGCACATTGACAGACGGCCATAAATTTCCTATGTACGTGGCCATCTACACACCCATAAATAAATAAATAAATAAGTTGATCCGTGTAACTCTTGTCCATTCCATACCTATTTTGGTTCTTATCCCGATGCATTGAGTGATGTGAGGAAACTGCAGGATCTTTCGCCACTTTTTGCTCTTCCCTTTATTGCTATCTGCAAATACATGGAGAGACACAGATATAAAAACACGACGTATCATTATTATTATTAGTCACATTTCATTTACAGACGTAAAAAAGACCAACCAACCAAATTAAACCAAGCCAAACTAAAAACTACACAACTTTCCTGCCTTTCTTTATCCACTTATTGCGTATCGTATGGATGAAATCAAACGAAATGTGTGCACATACAAGATTGAGAGATTTGTTGCAGAGAGCGGATATGTATTTTCGAAAAAGGGCGTAAATGTGTATCTATTTCATATTTATGAGAAAGAGAAACGCGAAAATATTTATACAAAACAAATATTTATACAAGAAAAACATAAAATAAGAATTTTAAAAAAATTTATATTTTTGAATATCATTAATTTGATTAATTGGAATAAAGTCCTACGTTTTGTTTGAAAAATTTGAATATAATCCTCTGGATTTTTTGTAATCCAGCTTATTTAAGAAAAAAATTCATCTCACATCGTTGAAATATTTACAAAATGTATACGTATTTTTTAAAACAATATCCAAAAGATTTTCGTAATTTTGAATAACAGCGAAAATATTTATATGTCTGAAAACCTAGAAATATGCAAAAATATTTTGTGCTCTATGAGAGTTAACGGACAAAGTTTGACTGTAGGTCATGATCAAATGAAAAAGTTGGGAATAAATACATATCCGCTCTCTGTCAGGCCAGGCCCGATAGAAAAAATATCAAATATAAGCAGTGCTGAATTTCAAGCCAAGGGAATTTCTTGTCAATCACAATCAGCCACCGGGAGGCAAACAAAGCCATAAAGCATGGACATACATACAAACGTATACATACATATTTATAAACATGCATCAAAGAAGGACATAAATTTTTCTTTTATATCAAGCGAGCAAAGGACAGGGTTAGGTAAATAGGGAGGTTTGCAAAAATTTGGGTTTGCGCAAATTTTTGAAAAAACTGTTCCCTATTTTAAAAAAAAGTTTAACAAAGCCCAGTTCTCAATAAATGTCAGAGTTAACGATTTTTTCTACAGTTTAATGAAGTCGTTAAATATCAAAATTTTATCTTCTTAAAAAATCTGGCAAGTTTTTATGTGCCTAAATGTCAAAATTTTGTCGCTCTAAAAAAATTTAGGAGATTCCTCAGGGTCAAAAAATTTGATTTGTGTCACTGTTTTGCCCAGTTCCTATATATTTAATTTTTTAAATAATCTTTTCCTTGGATTTTTTCAGTTCTTGTGTACAAATTTCAAAATTTCTCTTTAAAAAAACATTTCTGATAATTCATTGAATATTTTTTTTCCACTGAATTCATACTTTTTGCATATTAATAAATCTAAAAAAAGTCTGTAAGCATTTCTATACAGATGATTTCAAATGAACGACACCCTACTCCATCTTTTCTACCAACTATGTCTCTCTCTGTCCCGTTCAGAGAGAGAAACGCGAAGCGAGAGATAAGACGAAAACTATGTAAATTTCGTAAAAGATTCGCATCATGGCGATCAATCATCAATTATTGAGTAAATGGACGCGGATAAAGGGTGACAAGGGAGAGATGAACATGTCAAAGGAGAGGACATGATCATCGCGGAATTCAATTTATCCCGATTCCTTCACTTTTAATGGACAAGAAAATGCAGCCTGGCTGACTCAGTTATTTATCCAGTGTGCGTGTCCTGGGTCCCATTATTAAAAAAAAGAAGGCAAAAAGGAAAGGTCAAACAAGGCCTGACTGACACCACCAAGCAGCAGGTAGGCTGGATACACAAAAAACAGAATATTTTTTACTGCCAACCACAAGGGTCCTTAACAGAGGGCGGATATGTATTTATTTTCAACTTTTTTTTGACGACGACCGATTGTCGAACCGACGGTCGAACTTTGTCCGTGGGTCGCCTAGCTCTAAAAAGTCACTAAAATTTAAAAATATTTTTACATATTGTCACATATTTGTAGGTTTTAAGACATAAATATTTCTGCTATTATTTCAAAAATACGGAAACCTTTTACATATATTTTTTTAAATGCATATATATTTTGTAAATATTTCAACAATGTGAGACGAAATTTTGCTTAAATAAATTCGCCCACAATAAATCCCCAGTATGAAATTCAATTTTTAGAAAATTCTCATTTTTGCGTTTTTCCACACATATTTCGGCGATTTTTTTTGTGCATACATATCTGCCATCTGGTCCTTAACGTAAATAGGCATAAATAAGAATAAAATAAAAAATAATAAATATCATGCTGGAATTTTGGAAGGAATAGGAAGACCAAAAACAAGGTCCCTTCTCTCTCTTCTTATTTATTGGCTTGATTGTTATTATCACGACAATTAGAGACACGAGGATGAATCAGGCCGTGCAGAAAGGATACAATTCTTTGCACTAAAAATATATCCTCAAATTGGCTGCCACATCCGTTCTGCACGGCCTCCCTCGCAGAAAATTAAGGACACAACTTAATAGCACGGAATTGGCAAGCGTTCTCTACAAAAGAAGTGCATTTGTATTTGTTCATGTTAATAAATAAAGTCGCAACCAACCACAACCACTAAATTGACAATAATATCGAGCTGACGTAAAATATATAACTGCGAAATTTCGTCGTCGTCCTCCGCAAACAATAACAAATTAAGTCAGTAATTAAAAAAGTGAAGATTGACTTTGCGAAAAATGCGGTGCAAAAATAAAATACAGTCCAAAGTTTATGAATTACGCGTAAAATACAATACACAACTCCAAAACTTTGTCGTTCTCGTCAAACAATTACAAATTAATGTAGGACTCGATGACTCATCGTCAAAAGTAGCACATTCCTAGTCATTTCTCGCCTCTGGGAACACATTTTAAAATTCTGGACGACAAATTTGTAGAGGAGGAAGTTGCTAATTTTTGAAAAATGTAAATCCGAGATTTTGAAACTTTTTAAAGGAGGAGATCTCAATTTTAAGAAGCCTCCAGAAAAATTGGAAGTCGTCGAAACTGGCTTAAAAAACTCATACTTACTGACTACAAATTTGTCGTCCAGAATTTTAAAATAAGTTCCCAGACGCAAAAAATGACTTAAAATGCGTGTATTTTGACAATTTTGGTGCCGAGTCCTACATTAAGGTGGACATTGATTTCATTGGGGAAAAAAGGGGGTGCAAAATAGAGTCGAGAATAATTATTGCGAATCATGCAAGGATACAAAAAGAGAGATGAATGAATGAATGAGAAAAGTAGACTCGCCTGTCACAGTTGCTACGTGGGCAATTATTTTGTTAAAACCAATTTGTTTTTTGTCAGACCGGGAGAACGATGTTGACCACAAGTATAAAATGGACCGCAGCAATTGAAAGAGAAAAAACGGTTCAAAATTAGTTAACGGGTCAAACATGGAGACGAAATTGGCATATTTTTTGACACACAAAACGTAGCATATGTACATATGAAGATTCATCAAGTGTTATTTGGCTACTACGTTCATTGAGGCAATTCACGCAGGGTTTGATAACTTTGTAAAATCCGTGCATTTTGTACCATAATTTTACAAACTTTTGCAAAATAAAAGGACGTCGAGAAGTAAAATTTAGGAGATAATTTTCCTTCCAAATATTTGTTTACAAAATTTACGGATTTTACAAAGTTCCCAACGCCTTCGTGAATCGTCTCATTATTACGTAAAGCGAAAGGACAACGGCATGGTCACTGACCAGTCAAAAATGACCAGACCAGACCGGACCAGACCACAGGAGGGAGGAAGACGATGTAAATATATATTAATTTCCAGCAGAGTTAGACTAACTACAAAGTAAATATGAGACTAATATAATTACACGGAAAACAACAAACACGGAGTGAAATTTTGAGAAATTGACCTCACTCGTGTCGTGATTTTTTCAAATTATGACTACAAACTATAAAATCCACCTTATTTTAATGTATGACGTAAACTTTACAGACTTTCCCTTTAGGTGCCATAAGCTGGTAAAAAATGCATCACCATTTGGAGGATTTTTTTTCTAGAATTCACTAATTTTGACTCTCAAAACGCTAATTTTTCTCTAATTTTGACGAATTTTTCACTAATTCATGAATATTTACTTCTAAAACCCAATCTTTAACTAATTCGAAAGTTGTTACGTCTAAAATGTTAATTTTTCTCGAATTTCGACTCTCAAAACTTCCATCTTTCCCAAATTGTTCATCAAATCAGAACCGTAACCTAGGTCAAAAATTTACACCCATCTTTGGGAAAGTCTGGCGTAAATGGAAGCCCAACCATAATTAGTTATATAATGACCCCTTCCTAAATCTGATCGATTACCTTCTCTGGCTTTGAGATAGACCGTGTTGGCGACAATGTTCTCCAGTTCCATGAGTTCCAGGATGGTATTTGGTGACGACGGGCTTTTGGCGATGTGCTGATAGGGACACTCCTCCTGCTCCCCATGCACTTAAGCCCTCCTGTTGCTGGATACACGACGACGACCCGCGGCGGCGACTCCCCTCTTCTCCGTTTCCTCTCGATTTTTATTTCCACGAACAACAACACCTCGTCGTGACCACAACGACATTATGACGTCGATAACATGGCAATATTTTCACAGTAATTATTACTTCTAGGTCACTCGAAACTTTACAAAATTTCAAAACGACGGAAAAACACTATCACGAAAAAATTCCACAATTCTTCTTCCTTCTTCCCTCAAACTTTTTACAGATTACACATATTTAGTTAAATATTTAAGTGACAATTTAAAATTTATCTCTGTCGTCGTTGATGTCGTCACTTGTTTGCTACTTGTCTCCTCCACCTCATGAATAATCAGCAGATATCCGGCAACTTTCTCCATCAGCAGGGAGCAGCAGAATTTGATTCTTTCTTTTTTTCCAGTTTAAGCAAGTTCTTCTCTCGTCTTCATGTAATTAATTAATTAATTAATTAACATGATTAATTAATACATATTTAAGTATTACAATCAATTAGTCACTCTTACAGCCGGAAGTCGTTCGTAGTAGTTTCCTGAGTAGATAATAACTCAATGAGAGGGAGGTACTCACTTTTTTTACGTCATCATCATCCTTCATTCACCATATATTTAATTAATTAAGAAGGTCCTTGTGTGAAGCGGCGGAGGGGGAGGAGGTTATCCAATTTTACTTCTCAGATAAGAACAATGTCCCGATAAGAGAGAGAGAGAGACCAGGAAGGAAAATTCGTCCGCTCTTCTGGTCGAGGTGGAACTGACTGGTTGAGCTGTTTCTTGAAGACGGGATATTGTTCATCCACCACCACGACCACCACCACCACCATCAGTCCCACTTATCTTATATTAAGGGGTACGACCAACTGCGACGAGAAAAATGTGACCTTTTTATCACTAATTTTATGACTTATCGAATTTTTGGGATTTTTTCTGGGGTCGATCAACCTTCAACAGTGGGTGTGTATGACCCTTCCTTCTTTCTGAAAGTGCACTATACTGTCCGAAAATTCCCGATATTCCACACACCCCGAAAACGATATTCTTCTATTCTCTCTGTCATGTCGGTTCTGCTAGGATGAAAATTTCGGTAAAATAAGATGTAAGTGTTATCTGTGGGGGCGTACATAGATAGATTTAATGGGAGGGTAATGGGTGGTTATCATGATGGATAATTTGCATGAATTATAGGGTTAATTAGGCCTGTTTTGGAGGTGGATAAGCAGTGATTTAGAATTATGCAAGGCTCTAATAATGATATTAAAAGTTCGGTCGTTTCTCGATAGGAAATTGATTTATAAGGTCTGAATTTTTTCAGATTTTTAGCAATTTTTATCCTTTCAAAATTCAGATAGGATTTCCACATTTCCTTAATCCATAAATTTACATAACTTGGCCAAATCTTGCTAGAATTTCGAAATAAATTCCCGAATTTTGCACAAATTTGAGTAAGACAAATCCCAAATTTCTATGCATGAGTGTCTCTGGTTTCTCTCTGATGCCCGTTTCATTTTTCGCCTAAAACTATTCTTCGGATCCCGGAAACATTCAGGAATCGGTGAATCCGGCAAACTAAAAGCAAAATCCAAGCAGCAGCAGGTTTTTTGGGGGAGTTCTGCAACTTCAACTCTTTTTCTCTCGCATCGTCATGTAAACAGACGAGCTGTGCGTAAAATATTGGCAAAAAATTTTAGCAAACTCTTCTTCACCTGTCAGTCCGTCATAAATAAATTATTAAATTTCAAGTTATTTCAAAATCCGAAAATAAATTCGCTATTAAAAATCAGTACTTCAAAACTAACAATTTTAAACACTTGGCTGTAACTAAATTCGCAAAACCTGTTGACCAAGAAGTGACTGACATTGAATTCAATTAGCACCACAAAGTCCACACCCGGTTTTAACTAAACAAATAATTATCTCGTGTGGGCATAAAATATCAATTTAACTCTATTTAGCGACTCGTAGTTTATCAAAATGTTCAACATTTCCAAACTTGTCAACAAAATTACGGAGCGGGTAAGTGATAAACCGAAAATGTGATTTTTTTTTTCAAAATTGTATAATTTCTGTATAAAAAATTACCCATTTGCCAAGGGGGGCGCAAAAAATGTAGCAAACCCGCAAGAAACGAAACACTAATAATTTCTGCATAACAAAACGACCTAATTTTTCGCAGGGAAGCTCCCGCGACGGCGGAGAACCACCGACGACCAACTCGGCGACTGGGGGTGGTTCGATGTCATTCGTCACCACGGATGACGAGCAACATTCCGAGGGTTTCCTTTGCCCCCAGTGCATGCGGGCTTTCCCCTCCTCAGAAATTCTGGAGGCGCACTATAACGCCACACACGGTCAGAACGATATCATCGTGGAAGGTCATGGTGGCAGCGAGGAGGATGAATCTGCCAGCGGCAGTGACGATTTGCAACTTTTACGTGAACAGATAGTAACTTTGCAGCGGTGTTTAGCCGTGAGTGAATATGAATTATTTTGCTAATTTTAGTCCATATTATTGTATAAAATTCTAAATGTTTTAGGAAGAAAAATCGATCGTGGAGGAGCTCAAAAACCATGTCGTCAACATCCAAATGAATCACAGGGAGAGCACGGAATCACAGGAGAAGCAATTTGAGAATGATAAAGCATTACGTAAGTTATACTTGAGAACTCCTCCTTCAAAAACTGTCAAAATCTGGAGTGTAGTTTTTTAGTTGGGAACGATTTGGTCTACAAACTTTTTGTTCCGAATTTTTAAATAAATTCCGAGACCTGAGAAATGATTTAAAATGATCTGATTTACACAATTTTGGCGTTTAGTCATCGAGTTTAACGTCAAATTCAGAGTTAAATTAGCTAATAAATACATTTTTTAAATCTCATTTCACAGTGAATTCCGAACTTCTCCTCCTCCGCAACCAATTGACTGCAAGTTTGGCCCAAGTCTCATCAATGTCCAAAGAAAATGAAGCCCTTAAAGGTTCCGTCGACGATTTAAGGACGCAAAAGTGAGTACAGTAATCACATTCAAACTATTTATTTAATCATAATTATTTTCTTATTAACTTAGGTCAAACGGGGAGCAGAATTCCGTGCTGGAGGAGAAGCTCGTCTCCACACAACAAATGCTTGACCAAGTCTTGACCTCGCATAAGAAAGAGATTGAAGAGCTCGAGCTCAAATTTAGTCAATTTTCAGAAACCAAGACCTCCCTTTTAACCAAAGTCCAACAAGCTGAGGGCAAAGTGGTCTCCTTGGGGGGAATCGTGGAGGAACAGAAGAAAGAGATTGACCGGTTGAAGGGGGTGGTGGACGAAGGGGAGAAAACCTCAGCCGAGAAATTAGCCCAGGTTAACAACCTCTTGACTGAGGTGAGTTTTCATCAAACGGACGAAATTTAATTTTGATAATTTATTTTATAAACAAATTAACAAAATTCGTATTCTTAAAGGTAAAATAATGACACATTTTTTAATTTGGATTGAAAATTCGTTTCGTTTGGTTGCCAAATTTTGACAAAAATTGTGTTCTCTTAACTTGAAAATAATAATTCATTAAAATTTAGAAACTTTTTGTGTTCAGATTTTCTAAAATTATAAATTAACATATAAACATTTTATGTCATTTATGTCAATTTATAAATTTTATCTATCATTGTGTCCATTTTTTTGTAATTTATTGAACTTAAAGCTCAAACCAACTAATATTTTTTAAACTTCTGGTCTACAGATTTCAGTTTAACCCATGTTTATTCAGTATAACCCACAAAATAATTACGATGCGCTTTTTTAATGTCTAAAATGAAGAATTTGTTTAGTCAAAAGTTCCATTCTATTATATAATAATTCTCCCTCAATTTCTGCAGACCACGCAGCGGAAATCCTCCCTTGAAACCAGCTGCGCGACTTTGACAGAGGAAGTCAAACGCTTAAACGACCAACAGGCCGAACTTTGTCAGAAATTCGAGGGCGGCGAAGGCGCTAAAGCAGCATTGGAAGCGCTCCAAAAGGAGAACAATCTCATCAAGGAGAACGTTTCGACCCTCACGCAGAAAAATTCAGAGTTGTCGAGTGCCCTCGAAAACGAGAAGAAAACGGCGGCCAGTTCGAACCAAGATTTGAATCTTCAACTTACCACGGCACGATCCAAACTGACCTCCCTAACAAATACGAAAGAAGACCTCCTCGCGGCCAATGTCGCGCTCGGCCAGCAAGTCAAAGAGGCTGACAAGAAGGCGCAACTCGGAAAAGGGAGGGAGGAAGAGTTACACAAAAAAGTGGAACAGGCCATCGCACAGGGGAAATTACTAGAGGAAAAAACTACCAAATTGGAAAATGTTGTGAAAGAGAAGGTAAGCATAATGTAAAATTTGGTAATTTTTGTGTCAAATGGATATATTTTTATCAATTTAAACCCCGTATGAAGATCAACTAGTGTAAAATTGCTCCTTTCTCAGTGTTTCGGGTGCAGGTAATCACTTGCAGGAAATAAGGGCAAGAAAACAGTTATTTTGACCTGCAAGAATGCACCACACGAGCAACTACGCCCCGCCGTTATACTTCATACGGCGCGTAGCTGGATTGCGCATTACGCATATTTCGTGCACTTTCTTGCAGTTTCATGCACCTTGCTTTGCAGTGCAAGAAATGTAGCAAACCTGCAAGAAACGAAACACTGAGAATTCTGGACAATTGTTCACCCTAAACTTTTAAGCAGAGTATAAATAAATGTGCAGAATATGTTTGTGCGGATGAATTATGTAGAAATTTTTTATCGAGTTATTCTGCAAATAAATGGACCAGTTTTTACTATGTCGATACGGGATCGTTTCTCCAAAAATTTCCCATTTAGATATTTCAAGTTTTGATTTAATTATAGGACGAACTTCTAACAAAATCGGCCAAAGAGAGGGATCATCTCGAGAAGCAATTGGAACAAAAAGGTACAATCGACTCGACTTCATGATGGAAATGGAAGTTTATTAAATCTATTTTTCAAACAGGGACTGAACTTGGAGAAGTTAAAAGCAAGTTTGAAACCGAAATAGCTGCTGACAAATTAAACTATCACAATTTACTGGAAGTAAAGGTAAAGGAATTTTAGTTATATTTTAGCGAATCTGAACCCTTTATTTTCAATTTTTTACATTTCAAATAATTTTAGGGAATTTCACCCCTTGATTTTTTAAAATTTTAGAAATTGTTCAGGATTTCACTATACTACTCTACGATAATTAATATGCAATTTTTCGTGAATAATTTCGTTTCTAAAACTTGGCAAAATTATAGAAAAATTTAAACTCAGGAAATTGGAGGAAAAATTTGGTCAGGTGTCAAGTGGCACAAAATTTACAAAAATTACGATAAACGTTTTCTCGAAATTTATAAAACTAAAACCAAAAAAAAATGATAAACTTTGACCCCAAATTATTAATTCTTCTATTTTCTCCAGGAAAGTCAGGACGCCCAAGTTGTCACCTTGAACAAAAAACTAGCCGAAGAGACCAGTGCCCTCGCCACCCTGCAAGACCGTTACACCACATTGGAAAAAACGTTCGAAGAAAAGTGTAGCATTTACGATGACATTGTCACCAAATGTCTCGAACTAGATAAGAACGTTGCCCAACTAATGGATAAACTTGACCAAGCCGAGGAACGAAATCTCGCCTCCACCAAAATTAACGAACAGCACACCCAACGTATCCAAGAGTTGGAGTCCAATCTTAAAAACTCGGAGCTACGTGGGGTCGAAATTACAACGACTTTGGAGGCAAAAATTGTCGAACTGAATTCCCTCCTCGAATCTGAAAAGGAAACAAACTCGGTCAAAGTTAAAGAAATTCAGAGCGTTTTAAATTTCACCAATGACGAAATGGTAAATGAGATTTTGCAGGCTTCATTATCTTCTTTATTTTATCTTATCTTCATTTTTTAATTGATTTTTCCCCAAAAAATCTCGCTCGAAATATATGTATATGCTCCTACCTTGTCTATGATTATATTTACGAATCTACTGTTCCTTCCTAAATATTTGACCATTTCCTAATAATTATCTTTGTTTATTTTTAGCTCGTGACGAAGCAAAGCTTGGAGAACATGGTGGTCCGAGAGAAAGAAGGCAAAGAACGATTCGAAGGAATGGAGACAGAAATGAAAGCCGCTCTAGAAAAATTGGAAAAGGTCGAGGGCGAAAAAGAAGCATTAAAAGTACAAACAGACGCTGCATTAAAGGAAAAATTGGGTGGGTACAATTTCATAAGCTTATATTCAAGTGGGAATATAAAAAATGATGGATTTTTACCAGTTTCCCATGTATTTATAATTGTACACCTACAAATTGTACAATTAATTTTCCCAGTTTCACAATTCCTAAATTTTAGCCCATTTTGTGGACTTTATAAATTTAATCCGTACAAATCCATAACTTAATTTTCCCAGTTTGGCGATTTAATAAATTTTAATTCCTCTCTAACATACAGAACTGGAGAAAATGGTCCGTTCCGCCGAAGACGAGAAGGCCATCCTTCTCGAAAAATGTCTCTCCTCCGAGTCCGAAATTGAGCAACTTGCCCTCAAGATTAACGGCATGCAGAGGAAGTTGGACGATTCGTACGCCGCTCTGCAAGAACTCGGCCGCGAAAACCAAAGCCTACAAATGGAAAGTGCCAAGCTTCAAGGGCGCAAATGGGCGGATGACTCCGTCGTCACGACGTGTCCCACGTGCTCCAAAGAATTTTCCCTCACTCTCCGCAAACACCATTGTCGTCACTGCGGCCAAATCTTTTGCAGCGACTGCTCCTCCCGCACGGCGGCGGTTCCCAGTTGCAAAAAACCCGCTAGGGTGTGTGACCCCTGTTATCAAGAATTGCTAACCAAGTGAATGTTGCCATATTATTAAATCTAAAAGAGTTTATACACACAAAAAAAATCCAACACGAGATAAATAAATCTTTTATGAAATAACAGAACATCATATTTTGGGGATTATTTTTGCAAAAAGTGCCAATGTCAAAATTGGATATGTAGATAAAATTGCATGAATTATTTGTACTTGTACCCGTATATTTTAGAAATTATTTTGGATTGCAAAGAAATTGCCAATTAATAATATTACGTGGATAAAATTTCATGAATTAGAGACATTTTTATCATTTTTTGCAACTTATGCCCTAATTAATTACATCATTAATGGTAGATTTACCAATTTGCATTTACGTATTTTCATTTCATAAAGTAAAATTTAAATCTGAAATTTCTCTTTAAAAATCCCGAAATTCAAAAGGCAAAGTTCCCCTTAATATTTTTGCCAAATTCCAATTTTTTAAATTTGCTTTCACCAAAGTCTAAAATTCCTCAACTTCGTGAATATTGCGCAACAAAAACCTTCTCCTCGCTATTTTACCATTTTCAAAGCACTTTCTACTTCAGGCAGACACAGACGTAGACATGCCGTTGCACAAAGTCCTCACTATTCATAAAAACTCATGAATGGAGGACTCTCTCTCTCCCTTCAACGTGGCTTCATTTATGCCAAAATTTTGAATACACCTGACTCCAAAATTGCATCCTGTCCCTGCATAAACAACGTCACCATGTTAAGGTAGGGTACCTCCGTCATATAGTTTTAATCTCACACTACCCCAATGTCTTCAAATGTATTTTTCTAACATTGCATCATTTTCACGAGTTTTGAAATATGTACATGCAACTTAATTTCTACTTTACTGTTAAGGCAATTGTTGTTACTGCAAAACTATTTGAAAAAAATTAGCGAATTGATGCTTGAGAAAGTTTATTTCGAAAAAATGCCAAGCGAATTTAGCAATTTTTTTCTCGGTAATTTTTGTAGTAGCAAAAATTGACTTAACAGTTGTGTAAAAAAAAGTTTCATACATCTCGAAACTCGTGAAATTGAGGCCATTTTGGAAATTTGCATTTAAAGACGGGGCTAGCATGAGATTAAAAATCTATGCCACATCAACTCGTCATCCAATAGCACCTTAACAAATCGCTATAAAAAACCTCTTCCCATCCTGTCCGCACAACCCTCTCAAGGAAAAACTCATTTCCACATTATTCAACTTTCACTCTGGTCGACAACTTGTCATCTCATCGGGTGAAAGCCTCATTCCAAAAGCAAGAATTTATTGATGTTATTCAAATAAAAGGCAAATGTCGTCGTCCTCTTGGCCAAAATAATGGTCCTTCCACAGACAGGGGCCCTCCATAAGGCACGCCGTATCAAAAATACTCACCCTCTCCCCACAATCTTCTACCAAAGAAGGTTTCTACATACATAATCAGGGGACGGATATGTTTTGTTTAAATCTCTGAAATATTTATTTAATATTTACGAAAAAACGCCAAAAAATTTTCATGAAACATATACAAGATCAAAAAATATGAAGTTTCGCAAAATTCGTACTTTTGAATTTAATCCTTCGGATTTTTTGTACTTCAATTTCTTTGAGCAAAAATATTTCGTCTTACATTGTTGAAATATTTACAAAATTTATACTTAACTGAGAACAAAATATGTAAAATATATATTTTTTTCAACTAATAGCGGAAAAATTTATGTCTAAAAACCTAAAAAAAAATGTACCAATATGTAGAAATATTTTTAAATTTTGTGCTCTATGCGATTTAGGGAACACACCCACAAAATTTGACTTTCGGTCGTCATCAAAAGAAAAAGTTATAAATAAATATATATCTGCCCTCTGTGACATAATTCATTCCGCACAAAAATTCACTCTGGAAAGTTTAACCAGAAAAATTATCTGTAGAAAAATATGCGAAGTTTCATAAAAAAATCCCACTTTCTTTCACCCACATTCCTTACGCACGGCCTTTTCAACTTGTAAACTTTCATTTTATGACTTTCTCCTCTGTTCGAGGCCTTATTGATGAGCAGAATCAATTGAGTACAAGGTGGCTAAAAATAAATATGCATGCCATGCATATTGGGAATAATTTCCCCCCACAAAATCCCAATTTGTCATCGTCCTTTCGTGACAATTGGTGTGAAGTGTGTCGCCAACTTGAATTATTTAGAGTGGGCGATTCACCAACCAACCAGTTCATGATACATATCGGGAACTAATAACTTTCCAGATAACGGAAAGGGTCGTAAAATAACCATAAAAAAATCGGCATGTCCTCCAATATTTATTAGTGGTAGAGGGCGGATATGTATTCAGTTTTCAAGTTTTTCATTTCATGACGACCCACTGTCAAACTTCATAATTTGCATAGATCACTAAAATTCCAAAATATTTTTACATATTGTTTCATATTTCTAGGTTTTTGGACATGTAAATATTTCTCTTATTATTTCAAAAATACGAAAATTTATTACATATTTTTTTTAAAATTCGTACACATTTTATAATATTTCAAAGATGAGAGACGAAATTGATCTCCTCAAAGAAATTCGGAAGAGTGTTAAATTCAAAAATATAAATTTGCAAAAATGCATATTTTTTCGTACATATTTTGGCGTTTTTCAAAAATACTTATATATTCGCCCTCTGTCCCTATATTCATTATTGGACGGCAATACCAACAACCATAATGCCATGTGCATAAGGAATGTGATCTCGCAAAATGTGGGCGAAATCACGCGAAAAAATCGATTCACATCTATTCTGCAGGGGACGAAATAAGTATTTTTCCCATGTACCGTTTTATGGGATATATTTCTCTTATTTCGGAGTTCATTTTATTGTCCCCAACTTTCATAAATTACGGGAATCGTGCTACATTAAAGGTAACGCTGTGTTGTGATGGGCTATAACGTGTTACGTAATCCAAGAATGTTCCCAAAATGGTAAATATCTTGAACGCACTGGATGCATATGCATTTAATTAGCATCACTTTTTCTCAAATTTAATTACCCTGCAATATTTGGGTACTATTTTGGTATCTTTACTTGAGGAAAAATTAAACGTAACCAAAAAAATGAGGAAATCAAAATCAAGGTTTTAGGTAGATATACATACGTCAGTCTGGTTCAAGTGCCGGGGGATTGGAACTTAGTACCTGGGAAACGTCACCCAAAAGTTCCGATCCCCTGGACATTTTAGTTATGTAGGTTACAGGGAAACGGAACCCACTTGTCGCAGGATTTAGCGGGCTTCGATTCCCCGGTACCCTCTTACGCAAAAGTTACGATTCCCCGGAACCCAACATTTTTCTTTAATTTTTCATAAATTGGATATATTTCCAAGAAAAAATTTTATTGTCTCAAATTAACCTCCCACCAATGAAGAACATTGGATAAAAAAATTAGAATTTTTTATAGTGGCGTTTTTCCTAAAATCGCAAATATCTGACAAATTTGAGGAGCGGCAAGTCCAAAAAGGTACGGGGAATCGTCACCCAACAATTATTTTCAAGGAAAAATACAATTATTTTACTGTTATTGTTACAATTATTACGTTATAATTGTGTCACAATTATCTTTCTCTCAAAATAATTGTATTTTCATCACCTGGATTAAACATGTTCACTTTGTGATAGCAATATCCACACGGAAATTGCACCATCTTGAAATTGTGTGTTTCTTCAATACACGAATTTTACATAATTATATACATTCTACCCACTGCTCGTGCCCAAATTAAGATGCATAATGTCCCCCAGATTAAAAAAAATAAAAACGTGCAACGTTATCTTAAATACTTATGTAGCATGATTATTCCGATGCTGCAAGATCAAGAGGTCTCCCAGAGTATGCTCTGCGAAATTAGCGTCAACCGATAACAAGTTTAATCACTATGAAATTTAGAAAAGACGCGATCTTCAAATGGCCACGTTTGGCAGAGATATTTATATCCAAAAAGGAGAGAACGCGAATTAAGTTTTCAAAATGTAAAATTTGTCAACTTTATGGAGCACGTTTTCTCCTCTTTGAATGCAAATGGCATATTGATTAAACTTGACACAAATTTGGTCAAAGTCGGGGAGCATACGCTGGGAGACCTCCATTTTCACGGGTGGTTTTCATGCATATTTTTCAATAAATCAAACACGTTAAGTACACATATCTGTAACATGAAAAAAATCCGCAAAATTTCCTTTCACACAAACTCTTGAGCACGATCTTTCATCATTCTTTTAATACGTCTACTTTCACTCGTCCCACACGAATAGACACATTTCAAGCCAAAAACAATTCATAGTTTTATTTGGATTGGGTTTATAACTCACTAAAGTTTCAGTGTGAGTTTGCAGCATTTCTTGCACTGCAAAACGCAAGAAATGCGAGGTGCAAGAAACTGCAAAAAAGTGCAAAAACATATGAAATCTAGCGGCGGGGTGTAGTTTCATGCGTCTTGCATTTCGTGCAGCTCAAAATACCTGCAAAAACCACTTTCTTACCCTTATTTCTTGCAAGTCGTTACTCGCACCCGAAACACGGATCAACTTTCTCCCCACTAAAATTCTTAATCATCTCCCACCTTCAAACATTATGATTTTAAATTCACTCATATCTTTTCACCGGCACGTTTCCTGGATCAGATTGGATTTCGGTTTTAATCAGGCCTGCATTTCACGATGTATAAATTCCAGTTTGAAATGTTACCATTTCAAAAAAGGTGGGCTGTAAAATCCACCTGAACACAAAGTACGTAAAACACACATTTTTACTCGTGTTACCATAAAATCCACAGCCGCCTGGAAATAAGGACCCGATTTATGTATACTGACCGGAATCAAAATGAGGTAATGTCCCATTGTGTTCACAGAATCATGAAACATTTACAACTATACAATTTCACATAATGCACAGGAGGACTGTGCAGAAGTGGTGGAGTTTTTTTAGCAAAATCTTCCAAATTTAGCATAGGTAACTTGCGAAATTTCACAAAACCCGAGCTTTTTTTGCAAATTTCTCAAACTTACTATAGGTAACTTGTGAAATTTCGCAAAACTGTGGCTGCAAAATGACGTATTTTTTGTAC